GTACAATGCCAACTTTTAATCATGCCACCCTCTCAGGAGGCGCGGCCGCAGCCCAAGTTCACCGCAGCCAAAGCAGCTGCCAAGCGATGGGAACCTGACCCACCCAGAGGAATCCCGACTGCGCAAGCCAATCTCATCTCGCTTGCGGTGAGGCGACAGCACCTGGCGGAGATGTTGCTTGTCAAGATTGCATGTATAACATGTACTTTTACCTACAAGATCCTACAAGCGAACCCAAATAGGGAATGTTTAAAATTTTGATTGAATGGGGTTAATTGGTACATAAAAGGCTGAGACTTCGAAAGGAAGAAGAGGCCAAACAAAAGAAAGCAGAAGAGCTTGCTCAGCAACTGGCTTCGAGCGCCCCTGTGTCACAGGGAGCCTTCCCTTTTAATTCATTATCAATTTTAAGGGTTGATATATTTTGCAATACTACTTTAATTTTTATGAAAGGACAGGCCAACTTATTTTGCTAAGGAAGTTCAGATGATCTTGTCCAAACACTGCCAATAAATCCTCTCGAAGCTGAGCTGATGGAAATTTTCCAGGGGATAGTGTTTCGTTTTTATCTGCAGTCCATGGGTTCATAACTTAAGGTTATCCCAGTCTTCCATTGACTATCGATTCTCCCAATATTTTCGTTACCTAAGCATTTTAACCCAAACACAAGTTAAATATATAAAGTAAATCATTCTTTTAATTATTCCCTTATTCCCCTGAAGGCTGACATAGTGAAGAACGGCAAGGCTATGGTTGAAGAACCTCGTGAAGAACCTCCTCTATAAGACCTCCATGACGATGAGAAGGTAGTGGTAGTGCAACCGAAGGAGGAGGAAGACATCGCCAGAGAAAAATTTCCTCTTGAGGCTGGGAAGGCTAAGAAGGACGAGACCTTGCAGGAGACACCATCGTTTGAGAAGGACGATACCTATACGGACACGTCTGCAGCGGATGCCCAAGAGGAGAATCCTGCCACGGAAAAGATCGCTGATGAAGCCCAGTGGGTGAAGGATCTGAGGCAAGATCTAGGGGAAAGGGCTGAAGGAGAAGCAACAGATCTTCGAAGAGCCCAATTGAAGATGCGGGCTGATGAAAAGGAAAAGCTTGAGGAGGAGCGTGACGCGAAGCAAGAACAGAAGAAAGCCAACCCGAAGGGAGCACCAAAGCCCAGAGGCCGCCCCCGCAGGGTTGAAGGAGAGCCTCAAAAGAAACGCCCCAGAAAAAGCGATGCTGGCAAAGAGGCTGACTCGCCCGAAGGTGATACATCGAGCAAAAAGGAAGAGCCCGCAGCAGCGAAGTCTGACAAAAGGAAAAGAAAGTCGGCCACCAATGAGGAGGTGGAGAATGACGATGAGGTTGCCCAACCCAAAGCGAAAGCCAAGGCGAAAGCCAAGGCGAATGCCAAGGCGAAAGCCAAGGCGAAAGCAGGAGCCAAAAGAGCACCAAGATCAAAGGGAAATCTGCCACCGCCTGACAAGGTTATGGAAAAGGAGATGGTTGAGCTGATGAGGAGGTACAAGGACAAGCCTTATGACAAGGAGGTTGACGTGCTGCACAGGATCTACACCAAGAAGAACTCGCCCAAGTTCTATACCTCGATTTACTTTGGGAGGCCTGCTGGTGGTGTGAAGATTGTTTTTGCTGATGGAACTGAGACCCAAAAGTTCTACTTCTCCTATGCCTATTCCACTGTGGCAGTGCACATCTACGCGTGCAACAAGATCATCTCCACGTTTCAGAATGCTGAGGATAGATGGTGGGACGGAGATGAGGCTTTGGCACTTTTCCAGCAGCTTCTGATTACAGCAGCGAGCGCCCAGAAGGCTTTTGACGCCCTCGATGTTGACTAGACCGTGGACATTTTGACATCCTGGACTTTGACGTATAGCCTAGGATCATGTCTATAGCTCTGTTGGGGTAGATGGCCTAGATTGCACATAGGGGTCAACATAGCAGAGGCCAGCGAAAAAGCTAGCATTAATTAACCGGAATATCTTTAAAATAAATTTAAATTATTGCCATAACTTAACATTATGCTAAGTAAATCTTAATTAAGCTCAAGTAAATCTTTTCGAGACTAGTTTTTAATCGATTAGAAAAGCTGGCATTAAATGACCCAGGTGTAGCCTAGCCTCCAGAGCCTAATCCTCGAACCTGCCACGGGATAAAAACATGGTGTGATCCCCGCTGCTGCTGTTGCCTTGTGTTTGTCCTTGGCCAGGTGCGATGTCGATTCTCTTCTCTGTGGCTGCTGCTACCACTTTGCTGCGGGCGCTGCAGGGGCATGAGCATTGCAAGTTGGCGGAGGTTGGGTGTGGTCAGTTGCCTGGTTTGAATCATGCAAGCATTTAAGTCAAATATTGGATGCCATGGATTATAATATAATATACCAGCTTGTTTGACATCTTGGGATTGTAAATTGTAGTGTCACAAACCTTTCAAGCAGTGTTGTGCCATGTTCACATGCTTTGCATAGAAAACTGCAGCAGCCGTTGGGGCTGAAGACCTTTGACGGTTTTTGGCCTTTTTGGGGCCTGATGCCTAATGGTGATGGAGATGGCGGCGGCAGTGAGGATGAGTGGCGCGGCAAAGGGTACGGAGGTGATGGTGGCCACGGAGGCCATGGCGGCCATAGCGGCCATAGCGGCCACAGCCACTGGATGCTCGCTTGAAAAATCATAAAGTTTGACAAACTTTTTATTTTGTTTTGGCTCATATCTTTAATTTGGATTTCTTAGCGTACCAGGAAGGGATGGAATGCCTCCGGTGGATATGGTGGTGGGAAAAAGGGCCGCGGCGGCAGCATGAAAGGCAAAGGAGGTGGTCGACGGCCTGTGCCGATCCCACCGCAGCCTTGTGTGGATCCCGCAGAATGCCCTCCCGATGCCTCCTGCACATGATGAACATCTGGCCTCGGAGGACCTGGGTTATATCCGGATAGATTTTCTTTTTCATATTTATTAATAGTTAATTTAAATTTCAAGTTCAACATGTTTGTTAGGGTGAAGGCATCCCCTGTTAGGAAGAAGAGATCGAGGAGGAGGAGGAACCCCCGGCAGTGGCACCAAAGTCTTCTCCCACGGGCCCACGACATGCTGCTGCTGGCGGCTCGGACGCAACTGCACCTGCAGGAGCTGCATCTTCAGGTGCTGCAGCTTTGGGCGCGAGCTCCAAAGCCCCTCATAGAAGAACCCGAAGCCCCTTGTCTTCCAACTATGTTAGATTTAATTAACCCTCAAGCTAGATTCATTTATTTTCTTCTTTTAAACTAATAGCCCTTCAAAATGACAATCCCTGATAATACTATTTTTATCAAAAATACTACCCTTAAAAATAATCCCTCAAGATCACCTGGTGCCAATTAAGGCAATGCAAGTGCAAACACGAGATTGCCACGCAGCCCGTCACGACCGCCCCCTGCCCGAGCTGAAGATCATGTTGAACGAGAGGCTCCTGCTGAACCAGAGGCTCCTGCTGAACCACCTCCTGCTGAACCAGATCCTCCTTCTGAACGTGATGCATCGACACCAAGGCCGTCTGCAACTGAGGCCCCGGAAACTGGTAGCACCACCTCCCCCAGATCGACTGAGTTGGATCATTTGCTGACGATGGCAGCAGGCATGCGCCCAGGAAGCCCTGAAGCCCAGACTGCATACCAGTTTTTGCGCTACATGCAAGCGCATGGAATAGGTGCTGAAGGTTGGCAAGTCGAAAAATCAAATTTATATAAATTTATAGTGTTCGAATTTCAGTGATAAACCATGCTTCTTTTAGACCACGTTGATTGGACCCTGCAGGCAGCACGATGCCAGCAGTTGTTAATCCTGGAGGAAGTTCGTCTGCATCGAGGCCACTAACACCTGGGGGCACTGGGGCATCCAGGGGGCCCAGTGAGCCACAAGAACCTGATGAGGAGCCTCGCCGCCGGAAGAAGAGAAGTGATCGGGATAGGAGGGACACTAGCCGACACCGTAGCCGGGCCCGCAGCAGACGATCTGAGCTGGATCGCTAATAGATTAAATTAAGAATTCTAAGCCATGGCTAAACAATTGACAAAAATCAAATACATTTCAAAACATTAGATCGACGATTAATACCACAAAATTTAAACCAATTAATTTAATCATGAACTTTCAATGACATGCGTCAAGCTCTAGATGCTGCGATGACTTAGTCTATATACAGGCCACCTTCCGACCATTAGCCATGCCGGAGAAAAAAAAGCACTTGGTTCTCATGCAGCCCATCCCCAACAAACATCTGCCCCTACTCCTGCCTGCAAGCAGGCATGGTGAAGCGCGCTGCCAAATGCCGCCGCTCTGCGCTTGTGCCAGCAGCCGCTGCAGCTCGCAGCATACCTTTGCAGCCGGTGGCTCGTAAGCCGAGCATGTTTACTTGCAAGCAGCATTTTTTAATTATAGTAATTTTATTGATATATTTTAACTTCTGAGTTGCACAAATAAATAATCTCGATTGACACAATAATCGCACATTTGGGGCAGTTCCTGTTCCAAGTTTGTCCATGTAAAGCTCATTGGCTCAAGATCTTAGTTGAAATTTGCAAAGAGTTTTTGGGCTAATTGAGGAGGTCCTACAATAATAGCAACAATAAAGATCGATTTAGCGTGCATGTCAGATAATCTTAACACTAATCTTTCGATCTGTTTGGTCCATCATGCCGCGCCACCATGCTGCTCCTACAGAGCACCACCTAAACAACCTCGTAATCAGGATGATCAAGATGGGGTGCCCGAAGGCCAGGTCAGCTTCAATGGCATTAAATTAACTGGGTTTAACTAAACTTAAGGTTCATTCAATCTTATAGTTTAATTAAGCTGTTAATAATTGAAAGTGCTATGAATTGAGAACAATACTCGCACAGAATTCCAATCCCTGAAGGCATTTCTGATGCTGCTGGTGTGCGTTTGGTATAACTCGAATATGCCGAAGGTGCCTGAGGCAGGAGTTTGTCTCAAAAGAGCACTGTTTAAAACAGAAATATAGAATAGAGCTGTAGCGCTACCATGTCGTTTGCCCATCAGGCATTCCAAGTATGTGAGTTCTTTGCTGGAGATGGAAATGTTGGGAAAAGTGCCAAGTATGGAATGATTGCGTGCGCACAGCTGGATGTGGAGTACGGCAAGAAAACAACACGTGTGCACAAGCAGAATGCTTTTGACTTGCTGCAACCCTCTGGCCTGGCGTTTCTGGCCTGGATTAATGGGTTATTGATGTTCGCTCTATGTGGAAGACCCATCAAGAAATACACCAAATATTAATTATTAATATGTTTTTTGATCACACAAGGTTGGCTATTTGGGTGCTACTGAATGGTGATCCAGCTGGATTTTTTGCTCTATTTGCAGTGGTTTGCACATCCTTTTCAGCAATAAATGTTGGTACGAGCTTGAGGGGCCCTTTGACACCGTTTGGACGGTTGGACTTGAAGTACGTGCAGGAGCTTAAGATTTTTTGACTTAAACTAAATTGTCGGATTAATAAATTCAATGTTTAAGCCAAATTTTATGGTTCAGCAAATGGAAAAAACAACAATTCGAAGGATGGAAATTGCCTTCTCAGTCGAACCATCTTGCTGGCAATGCTGGTGACGTGCCTCAAGGGGACATGGATGATTGAACAACCGGCCTCTTCGAGGCTGGTATGATATCCCCGTTGGGAGAATTTCCTCGCATCTGCTTGGATGAAAGTGTGGAGAGTTGGATGGTGGAGCAGGCATTATGGAGCTTTGAGCCCGATGCTTGTCTTTCAATTTGAAGGTCAGTTTTTTCCAGAAACATGTATTTTTAAATAAATTGTTTTTACAGTAAATGCATGGTTTTTACAAATCAACATGTTTCTCTGCTTCAGGAAGCGGCACCGAGCATGGAGCAACACGAAAGAGATCCACGTCTTGGACCGTGGAAGTCTGCGGCGAGCCGCTCGGGGAAAGTGCATGCTCAAAACCACGAAGAAGGTGCAAAAGGCAGGAGGCAAAGTTATGTTTCAAGGGATCAAAGGAGCTTTGAAAAGCACCCAGTGTGAATCTCAGTGGATCAAAAAGCATGGAAACACCAAAGGTCACATTGATCAATAATTTCTGTCCCGATAATTCCCGATAGAATGTTCCAAAATGTTAAACATGCCTCTCAGGTCCTACCCTGTAGCCTTTGGACTTCGAATTCTCCGCTACTTGCCCCAGCTACGCGCTAGCTCTATGGGGTGGCCTCCGGTGCTTGGTGATTCTGAGCCGGATGGTCTTTCTTTATTTAAGCAAATGCCCATGGACTCAGACAGCTGGTCTGAAGCACTCCTGGGAGATGCTATAGCATATATAAGGGGGTCCATACACCTTAGATTGCCTCAGCACTGGAAAAGTGCATTTCCCACAGAAATTTAATCAAAATCCGGCTCCTATGATGATTTATTGGAAAACCAACAGCTCCTAATACAACCGGAGACAACCGGAGAAATTGCAACTACATCCGGAAAAAATCAAAAATATAACCGGAGAAATTCCTAATACATCCGGAGGCGGAGAAGTTGCGAGAATATGCGGAGAAGTTGCGAGAATAGGCGGAGGAGTTGCGAGAAAAAATTGCGAGAAAGGGCGGAGAAATTGCAAGAATTTAGTTTGTACATGTGTGTGCAAAGTACTGCATTTGGTGCACATATGTTGCCTCAAGCTGTCTGATTGCTGGAGATCACTAGGTTTGTTAGCAAAATCAACATAGAATTGAAGATTTTGAAGACATGTTAGTTTGCCGCCCAAAAAAAAAATAGTTTGTGTTATTCTATAGACTTTTGGCTTCTAGCGATCTGTGATGAACAAAAAGCTTCAAAGCCGTGCTTGGAGCTGCTCTGAGTTAGTTCGAGGTGCAGCCCAGATTATCGACGAGATGCCAGCTCCATCTCTCAATGACATGGTCGTGGATCAGAAACACGATCTCCTGGGCGAAACCTCGAATTTGACAGCAGCTGAACTGGAGAAGCTTCTGCAGGACATGGATTTAACAATCTTATTAAATTTTAAGGTAAAATTAATTTAACAATAAGTCTTATTATCATTATTAAGACATTAATTTAACAATAAGTCTTATTTTAATTTCTATTCAGACATTAATTTAACAGGAAGTTTTATTATAATTTCTTCCTTGGGATTCTTCTGAGTTCTAATTCGATTTAGGGATTTTAAAGAGTAAACCAAACATTTTCAAGATTGCCTTTTGCAACTTGGGTTGCCTTGTATCACAAGCCATGGCAGCAAGAATAACCTTAATATATTAATGTAAATTACGCCATAAATTATTTGGCCCAATGTTGACTTGTTTTGATTTCAATGGCTGACCCCTTTCCCATGGGAGGAGACCGATCAACAGATTGAGTCGCACGACCTACAGCCCCATATGGAAGCAGTCGACTCTATTTTCCCAGCTTAGCTGTTTATTATCTTTTTGGCTTTATTTATTGGCCACTGCTTTTGCTCCTCCAAAACATCCAAAAAGGGTGGAACTGACGATTTTCTTTATTGGATTGATGTTGCATTACCCCAGATGGTGCGACAATATGTGCACCTATCTTAATTTATGGTTTGGGATACAAGCAAGCCTATCAGGAGCGATGGCTTCATGTAAAACATGAGGAACAAGAAGCTATGCTTATAAACAAGCTTTGCCCACCTTCGCAGGCCCATATATCTTAACATGGAAGTGTCCTAAAACGGTGATATTCCCAAATCATAAATATTTTTAAAACAAATAATTTATGTTATAAGTTATAAACCATCCATTTTGAGCATCACACCTTTATAAAAAAACCCCAAAGTATATAATTCAAAAAAATAATCCTAATAGGCTGGTTCTAGGTTTAAGATTCCAATACTTGGCTATGATGCTATTATTTCCATGCATATTTAGCCCCTTTCCCTGCAGGCCAGGCCCGAGGAGAGCATCGCTGCTTCATCTGCAGCTCCTGTAGCGACTCCTGTTCGCAGTGATGCTCTGCGTCCACCAGTCATGCCTCCTGCGATGCTGGCACCCAAGGTGGAACCACCAATGAATAATACACAGGCAAGTTTCGGGTCTTAAAGCATCATAATAATATAATATATTATAATCATAAGTTCCTCATGCGCTTACTTAGATTAATTTAATCAATAGTTTTCTGAAAGAAGCAGCCTGTTATGATTTAAGGGTAACTTGATGTAACTACCGTTCGCAATTACAATGTAACTATTAAAATTAAGCAATCGTTCGATTAGACATGTTTAGAATTTGGTCTTAAAACTGAATGTGCATGGTTTGCATGTTTGTGGTTCGAATTAACTTTCACATCCCTAATAGGTGTCAGCTACAGCAACTGTGGAAGAGATAGACATTTCTGACTCAGAGTCTGAAAGCAACGTGCCCCGAGCTGGAGACGCAGAGGATCAAACCGCCCTGCTCCATGCAAAGACTTTGCGTCTGGATGATGTTCGTGCCCCTACTGTGGAGATTGAGAAGGTCAAAGCACCTGTTGATCAAGCTCAGGAATGGAAGGAGAAGTATGAGGAACTGCAAAAGAAATTGGAATTACTTGAGCTGGAGAGGAAGAGCGTACCGAAGAGCACACCGCCAGCTACTCCCACGCAAAAAGCAGTGTTTTCACCAAGTCCGAGCCCAGCATCCACAGGATCTGCTGGATCAGGTGCTAAAGGATTGCCTTTGCCAGCTGTGAAGGCACATGTGAGCCTGCAGCCACCTCCTCCCAAACAGGTTTCTCCCCAAACAGGTTTCTCCAGTGGTTGTCCCAAAGCAAGTATGCCCTGCCAAAGCATCTCCTTCCACAGCACCTACTGAGAGCAAAGCACCAACTGTCGAGGCAAGTGCAGCCCCAGCAGCACCCGAAAGTCAGATCAAAGAAGGGGAAGAAGAATTGGCACAGCAAATGGATCTCAGTGACGAGGAGAGTTCCTTTTGTTTTTGCATTTTTTTATGCTTGTGGAACTTAGGCTGGTGTTGAAGATAATATTTTATATGTGAAAATAATGTTTGATAAATCATGTCAGGAGCTGAGCCCACATGCCATTTACATGCGCTTAAAAAGGCTCTGTCAGAAGACACCAGCAGGGAAACTCAATGTGGATGCTTCGATCCATGACCAATGGGTTCAAGGATGCAGGGACACGTTGACTCTGGCCCTGGTGCGCAGCATGAAGTCCTGTGGTTGCGACAGTTCGCACCGCACACGACAATTGGTGAGGGCCAGGTGTTCAAAAAATGTTGTTCGTAAATCCAATGAATTTGCTAATTTGACCCCACTAGGCCGGCTGTGAATAATTTTAGGAAATGGTAACATTGATGTACAACCCTGCAGGCCGAATTTCAGAGGCAAGTTCTTCACATCAAAGAGCAGCAGAGGATGAAGGAGGAGGAGGTAGAGGGAGGATGGTACACAGAGGAGAAGATGCAGAAAGAACTGTCTTACTCCACGTGCCTTGTCTGCAATGGTTGGTTGCCTTTTATTAGTTTTATAGGCTTTTTGTAAAATAAATGGACTTGAACACAAGAACGAAAAGGCATACTAGTTTGAGTCTGGTTCTCTCAATAGGTTTAAGGTGCCCATTGAACTCGCCCGCTCAGGGCCCTGATCTCCAAAATCAAGACATACTGCTTGCGATTCCCCTCTGTGATGACGAGGACTGCAATCATTTTTTTCTTCTCCCAAATACTTTATGAGTGTTAGACCGACAGTTTTTGATAGGTTGATCTGTAATAAAAATTGGGTTGTTTTCACCCTGCAGGGCCTTCAAATATGATCCGAACATCACTGAGTATTTCGTGGAAACTGCGGATACTGTGAAGGTGAAAAGGCATGAGCTCGAACGCTGGCTCTCGGCGGAAGAGGCGGCACCAAAGGACTGACTTCTGGCCTAAACTTAACTTCGGGATTTTTGATTAGTCTAAGTATAGAGTGGATTTAAACTTTTATAGATTAAAAGCCGCATCATTTTTAAATTAACTAACTATGAAGGACATGCCACAGAAGCCCATGGATCACTTGGCTTTGACTGATGCCTGTGGAGTTGAAGCTGATGAGAAGGGAAAGAGAGGTGCAATCCAGGCAAATGGCAAACCTGACGTCAAGGAGAACCTCAAGCAGTTCACAGAATCGGTGCACCAAAAGGCAGCTCAAGTGGTGCAATGGTTGGGGCAAATCGATGAAAGTGCGAATGAAAGGTACAAGAAGCTGCCTTGCAGCAATAAACTTAATGTCTAATACTTGACACCTTTTTGAGATTTAAAGGCTTAAAAGGCCTAAGATTAAAATGACAAAGATAAATTAACATGAAATCGTTGCAACCTTTCGTTGCTGCCTCAGGTTTTGCATGGACATGAAGAATGTTCTCGCTGCCTTTGAAGGGGCATTTCTAAAACTTGCGGAGGCCCAGCATCGCTTGGAAGAGACGATGACTGAGCCCACGGATCAGCTTCTTGGCAGCCACATGCAAGATCCGATTTCAAAAGGGGTTCGAATTAATTCCCAATTTTAACGATATTTCGCCTTGGTACTATTTGCCCCAGCAGCCCTGCTCCATTCCATGCTCCCCCCAGGATCCTTGACGAGATCAACCAGGCGAAGGGTGCCGCTCGTGATCCGCTCCTTGGCTACAAAACTGTTGCTTTTGAATAATTTAACAACAATAAATCCATTACTAAGAATGATATAAATTACTCCATCAGATTTTATGGTATCAATTTTAATTAATCTACTGGACCCTGGAAATTGATTCGCTTAAGGCACGTGAGGTTGTCGACCAAATGCAATTGCATCTTAAACCAAATGTAATTGCATCTTAACTAATTGGGGGCCCTTAAAGCATGTTTGAGAAGCGATTTCAAAGTAATATATGTCAGATCTTTCTTGCTTAAGATTCTAGATCAAACAACATTAGCGCAAATTGAGGTGTGTGAAGATCATGGCAGCAGAGCATACCTTCAAGCTCCTGCTGACAGAGATTAAGAAGCGCAAGCGTGGTGAGGATGGAGCACCTGACGCTGGAGATGATGGAACGCCGGGCAAGGCAAAGAGCAAGGCAAGCCAACGCCGGCCGAAGGCCAAGGCCAAGAATGAGTGAGCTGTGAGTTACAGACCTAGTCGCCATAACACCTACCTGCTTGAAATCAGCAGGCGTGTGTTGGAGTTCTCATAGGGTTTAGAGGGTCTCATCGCTACGCATGGCCACCAAATTCTCATATTAAAAACCTTTAAAATTGAATTGATAAAAGATTCCTAGTTTGTGGTGGTATTAAATGCATGTATTAAAATATCGTGATGCTCGTGGCATTAAAATATCGTGAGGCTCGGCCCTATGAGTAATTCTGGCCAATCAAGTTACCAGGGGAAAGGGGGTTCGTGGCACCAACCTGCAAAATATGTTGCGGGAGTGTGCCTATCGACATTAGAAGACAAGCGAACTTAAGGCGCTGCGAAATGTGAAAAAGTTGTCTTGAGCAGCGATGCATATAGTTTAACACATGCAGCTGGAAAAAATAGGAAAACAAGATGTTTGTTGCAAGCCAGGCACCGTGAAGAAGCGGCAGCGCTCCCGGAATCTTCGCCCCAGCAGCGTTGCCTCAAGCCTGGCAAGCAGCCTTGCCAGAGGAGATCCTTGCTTGCAAGAGTTAAAACTTAAAATTTAATGAATTAGATCAATTAATGTAATTTGATGTTATTTAAATCGGAAATTAAATTCCGTCAAATATAAGAATTAGAGTTAATTTCATTTAAATCTGAAGTTAAATCATGTCAAGTTAATCTATAAACGAATTAGTATAATTAATTTCATTTAAATCTGAATACCAAGTCAAATTAATCTATAAAAGAATGAATGTAATTTAATTTCATTAAAATCTGAAGTTAAATTAAGTCAAATTAACCTATAAGAGCTAAATTTAGTTTCATTTAAATCTGAACTTGATTTAAGCCAAATTAATCTCAGAGAATTAATGTAATTTAATTTCATTTAAATCTGAAGTTAAATTCAGTTAAAATTAATCTATAAAAGAATTAATGTAGTTTAATTTAAATCTGAAATTAAATCAAGTCAATTCAATTCGATTCCGTTTAAGTTAAATTAAGTCAAATTCATCTCAAAGAATTAATGTAATTTACTTCATTTAAATCTGAAATTAAATTAAGTCAAGTTAATCTATAAGATCAGGTTTGATGCAGATTTAAATGAAATAATCCGCAGAAATAACCCTTAATCAGTTACCTTAATTTCATAATGTCAGCAAAGTGAAATTTAAACTAAAATTGATCTAACTTAAACGTAGACAGCATTTGAGCTAAATTCTTGCCTGCATCTCATTTGAGACTTTAGATTAAAATCAATCGTTGACAAGGTTGCTTAAATGAAAACTCATCCAATCTCAACTTAAATTAACTTGGAGTAATTGTCACTTCTCAGATCTCAGCATGACCCAGCTCAAAGTAAATCTAATTTAATTAGTACAATTATTGAGGTTTAAACAGCTGAGGTGTTTGTAGAGTTGACGTGAAGTAATGTGGACTGCCTTTAAAAATAAACGTATTATTAGATCCGACTGGAAATAGAAAAGCGAGAGGGTTAGGTTAAGGCACCTTATAGGTTAATTACCTAGCTTGTTGGCCTGCGTAATTGCCCTTTGTGATGGCTGAGGCTCCTGCTATTCAATTGGCAGAACATGCTCGAGCTATATTGGCAGATGATGAGCGCTTGGGCTTTGAACGAAATGATCCGGTTTTGCAAAGGTTGGCACGTGGATCATCCCATGCTGCACCTGGCCCACCAGGTTAATCAAAAAAAAGTATTTGGTTTATAAATTACAATGCTTGGGCATTCTGAATCTTTTTGTTTTCATTTAATGACGGTGGGCACGTCCCAGGCAAGAGAGTGTTTCAAATCCTTGGATGAAGCTGGGCTCCGAGCGCCAATCCCCTTCAGTTATGGGAAAGTTGGTGACGATGAACGTCACATGACAGCATTCAGAGTTTCCTTTTGGGTGTTGGATAATAGATTATGGTTTGATGTTCCAAATTTTAACTAGCATAGTTTTCAAACCTGAGGTTATCCATGGCTGAAGCCAACTGATCTCGTGAAAGCACTGCACCAATGGAACCGCCTAGATATCATCCTTCCGGACGAGAACCTTGCCTCGTCGGAGCAATCACTGCGAACGTATTGGTCGAGGTTTCGCTCTCTATATCCCCAGCATGAAATTTTTGATTCTCTGTCAAATGAAGACCTGGATAGAACAGTACCCATCAAACTTCATGGAGATGAAGGAAGAAGCGCCTCAACTTTAATGTTGAAAAAACGTCTTGTAGTTTGACATGTATGGCAAATTCCATACAATTCAATTTCAAAGTCGTTTTTTTCTGACCCTTCCAGGTAAACGGAAAAGTCCTATTATGTTGCTCAGCTGGAGCCCTGTACTTGGACGTGGAACCAGCAAGTCCATCCTTCAACCTGTGAAGGAGCAAATAGAAAGCCAACGACTGAACATGTTGCTGCAACATGATTTCATTTAAAATTTTCTCGTTTGGCCAAGAAAACACACTGTTTAGTGTTGAGAATTCAAATGCTTTAGTGTTAGTCTTTAATCCGCTGCAGGTTGGGGCCTCCAGTCTCTTGGCTGCTATTTAAGATTTTAATTGTGTTGGGTTTAAAGTCTCACAATTTGCACTATTTTTTTCTGGTAATGAGATGATCTCGCCAGGAATTGTGTCGCTGGCTCGCATTTACAGCTCTCCGGGAGACTTACGCAGATCATCCTGAATGTCTCGATCAAGGGATGGGATTGGTTTCTTCGGATTTGCTCGATGCTATGAAAACTGGTGTGGATGTAGGATCTCCTGGTGCACCCATGATCCTGAGACTTGCGGTGACAGGAATCAAAGGCGATTGGCCATTCCTAATCGAATGCGGCCGGCTACAACGCCACTTCAGGAGAGCACCAAAGAGGGGGCAGTCCAGCATGCAATCGGAAGGTGTGTGCCACCTTTGCTTGGCAGGCTATGATGGCATTCCATTCACTGATGTATCTGCTGCCCCACGTTTTGAGGAAACAATGTCCAGCGTTGCAGTCTCTTGCCTTTGCCTTTGTTGAAATCAAAATTTTCCTGGGAATGTTGATTGATGTCTATGTTTGGCTTGTGACAATTTCGGCTATCATTATCTGATTCAGGCGATGACTCCCTGGGAGACATTGTCACCGTGGGTGTTGGATCTGCCTGCAGAGCCTCACTTTCGACCTTACATCCTGCGACCAGATGTGTTCCATAATTGGCACCTGGGTGCAGGTCGCTACTTTGTGACTTCAAGTTTGGTGATTCTCCAGCAGTTTGCCATCCTGTTCCCTGGGACTTCGGTTGAAAGCAGGTTCTCTAGTATGACCGCTTTGTGGCTGGCATATTGCAAGGGAAGGAACGATACTTAGGATGATTTCAATTATGTTTAAAGTAAAGTTTTTTGACCCTGGCCCTGAATTTTCCAAGTTTTAGAAGATTATTTAGAAGATTAAATTGAAATGGGTGATCTAAACCATTTGTTTTCTTCGTTGTGGGGGACGTCCAAAAACACTTAGGAACGTCCGTATTTGATGAAGATCGGAAGAGATACCCTGGGCTTCAAGTCAGGGCTTGACTGGCCAGAGGGTGGTTGGCAGAAGGGATCCACCACTACTTTGTTGCTCGAAACTTGGCGATTGTATCAAATGCTGTTTTTCTGTAATTTTTAAACTTGGTTTGCTGGAATCAAGATTTCTTTGCCTTCTTTTTCGGCAATAAGGAATGGATAGAGGAACTGCTCCAAGATGAAATTGTAGCTGAGCTGGGTGAGGAGGACAGCCGTGTCCCTCTCATTGCATTGGCTACGAGACTTGCCGAAACATTTTAACATGCATTGTCGAGGTTAAGATTTACAGGTTACATATTTTTTCAAAAAATGTGATAACTATTGTCATAGTCAACAATAGGACAACAATGGACCCAGTGTTGGATTAAGTTAATTAATAATGAACTTAACTTAATTAATTGAAATCACAGCCTTTGGACTGTGGTAACCATGTTCAATTTAAATTCAACATTTTTAGGGACTGGGTTTCTCTCAGCTTAGGCGAAGAATGGACCCAGTGTTGGATTAAGTTAACTAATAATGAACTTAACTTAATTCAAATCACAGCCTTCGGACTTGTGGTAACCATGTTCAATTTAAATTCAACATTTTTAGGGGTTGGGTTTCTCTCAGCTTAGGCGAAGCATCAACTCGGTCTTCAGACATTTGTATCGTGCTGGTGCTTGGCTGAGATCAAATGAAGCATCGACTATTGCAGACTTGGGATTGACGATGCTCCGTGCACAGAATCGATTGGCGGAACTGTCGCTTCAACGTCTCCAGCCCCGATACCCTCTGCATTGCAAACCGCATATGCTCTACCATACATTCAAATTTTTGAAAGTGCTTAGCGAGACACATCATTGGTGTGAGTCACCTTTGGTGGACGCTACTCAGATAGACGAGTCCTTTGTTGGAGTGATATCTAGGTTTTCTCGTAGAGTTTCACCTCGCCTCACGGTTCATCGTACATATGACATCTACTTGGCATCGCTACGGCGCCATTTGGTGGATGATGGTGACTGAGGAAAAAAGAAGTGGGTTGAAGCAGGATGATTTGATAGACATTCAAAATTATGGGATTATTGTAAGACAACGTTAAAAGCACAGGCTTACCCCAATACAACCGGAGAATACCGGAGAGTTGCGAGAATTTAGGGCAATTGCGAGAATCCCCCGATACAACCGGAGAGCTGCAAGAATTTAAAAAAAAATTAAAATTTTGCGACAGCTGTAAGAATTGTTACGATCCTGGTCTAGCTGGTATTTAATGTTTAATATTTTATTAATAAATATTAATATAAATTTATATAATATCTTATGATAAATTGTTTTTTTTTTCAATTTTAATTTATGTTATTTTTTTTTGATATTTTTATATCATTTTATATTTAATTGGATAAGGCTGCTCCAGATTTTCCTCGCCTTACAATTCAAGCCCCTTCAGTTCCCTCAATTAGACGTTCGGGGATCCCGCGCATGAAGTGAGAAGCCACTAATCACTTGCACCAACAACCACCAGGGCTGGGAGGTGCAGGAAGATTTTTTTGAGTTTAGAAGTATTGAAGATTCATCAGCCAGGCTGTTACAGAAGTCTCCAATTCCCTGGCATTCAATTTGTTCAGCCAGGGGCTTCGTGTTCTTAGCAATTCTTAGCTGTGCAATTGGAAAACAGTGGGATTGGAAGCTCCTTGTGATTCGTGGCTCACCTTAGCCTCTGGCTTGTACTTGTCTCCACGAACGGGAGAAGCGTTGCGCTTGGGACGTGCCACCTTGCTGTGGATGACAAACTCAGGTGTAGATTCGGGTCTGGTACACTATGAGAAGAAAGACTCCAATTTTGACATCTCACCTCTACAAAAACTTGTTACAAAACAATACAAAATATCCGATCGATTTCTGATTGCTGAACTAATTTTGGGCCAGTGAGTCCAAGAAGCAATACCGACGTGCGAAGCTGTTTCTGCACTTTTGAGAACAATGAGCCCCAATCACAACAATTGCACAACAATTTACCGCACGGTTTGGTCGCATAACACACAATCCTGGCTGTGAAATCTCCATGAAATCAGCGACGGGTTTGTGAAAATAGGCTACCCAGAAATTCATTCATTTATATCATGTTATATCGAATTTGAATTCATTTTATCATATTTTATCCCTTGGTGCCTTACTAATGACCATTTTTTGGGGCGCCACTCACCTCCGCACGCACTGCGGCCATCTCTTCCCGTTGACCTCGCCGGAAATCCATCGAAATCCACAAATCCATCGAAACTGGTTGGTGGTATGGTTGACCTACCCCAAATAGTTGATTTACCTATGAAAAATGATGATTTACCTATGAAAAATGGTGATTTACCTATGAAAAATGGTGATTTACCTATGAAAAATGGTGATTTTCCATGGTTTTTTGTATGTTTACCAGTGGTTTATTAATGGTTGATAATGGGTATAACTATGGTTGTTAATGGTTGTTAATGGTTGTTATATAGCTATTCTCACATCAAAATCATCTGGTTGCTGGTTGAGCCCTACCCCTCTGGAAAATGATGGACTTCGTCACTTGGGATGATGATATTCCCAATATATGGAAAACATAGAAAATGTTCCAAACCACCAACCAGAATATCTTTGAATCAACAACTAGGTGACCCAAACTCAAACTAGGGTTTATGCGAAAATTACTATGCTAATTACTATTGTAAATCGATTCTTAATGGGCTTCATACACCAACTTGTAGTTGCGGGGCACCACCTTTTACATATCTCTCTGTTTCTGTGCTCAGCCAAGGTACCTTTGATCTCGTGCTCTAACAAGGCCAGCCGGGCACGCCTGGATCCCAACATCTTCCAACATATTTTAACACCCTGACGATCCCTTGCAGCTTTAAACAACACAAAACCCCAAAAGATCTGAACACATCCAACAAGGTTCCCTAAATTGCCGTATAGCCCCGCGTTTCCCTGTCTGAAACTGTCTGTCTCAGCAGCACATTGCTGTGGCACTCCCACCGAAATCAAACTTTGCCAAAATCAGCTCATCATTCTCGTTACTCATTCATCGTGGGGGTCATCAAATGTCTTCATCGTTTCAGTACCCGCCAAAAATGGTTCACTTTGTAATCTATAAGAGTTTGCCATGGAAAATAGCTATGTTTGGTATGCAAATCATCTACGAATTGTCCATGGCCATGCTGGGTTTCCAGAAGATAGCAATCCTGATTGAAACGCTGACATCCCATGAAAACCGCTAGATCCCCATAAATCACCATAAAACCACCATAAAATCCCACGAAATCTCCACATTTTGGGTGTTGAAACATGTTGAAACCCTCCAGTCGTCGCCAAGGCCAAGGGATCCCTTGGGGATCCCTTGGGGATCCAAGTGGCAACTCGGCATGGTGGGTCAGCGCCTCCCTTCGCACCTCCTGAGATGTAAGTGGAATATATAGCCTATTGAAAATGGCCCATTTAGTTCGTTGCTTTACCTATTAAACATGGTGATTTTCCATAGTTATGTGAACGTTTACCAGAGGGTAACTGGAAATCATATGAATTAAGGGGATGTTATGGGAGATAAGGGAATATATAGCCAACAATAGAAAAACCCGAGGAAAGTCTGGAGTAAAACGATGGAAAATCAGAGGATAATAATAATTAATGTAAACCATTGTGGAAAACTCTGAAGATTTACCGAACAGCATTGGGGGTTGGTTGGTTTGTTTTGGTGGAAAAAAAATTGGGCAAGGATTTTTCATGGGTTGCAAGTTGAGCCATACATCCGATGCACTCCGTTCTGATCACCAACGGAGGCGTGTCTGCAAGATTCTGCAAGCACCAGACCGTCAAATGAGCAGTACTGTATCAATAAGTTCGTACGCCCATGATAGAAAAACTAAGCCTATACCCATTTAAAAAAAAAAGTCATATGTGCTATGTTCAAAGCCTCGTGTCTGGCTTATGGTCATCCCACCACTATGGAATTCCTTACCAAGGTATATTAGCGTCCCTATTTTCATTGATGATCATCCCCCAATGAATGGGTGAATGTAATCATATCTAATAAATATTAGCCTTTGGTTATTTAACGTAGCCATGGAAAATCATCACTTTTAATAGGTACATCATCTATAAATGGGTCATTTTCCATAGCTATGTTAAATAACCAGAGGTTAATCATATCTAATCCAGTTCATTTATCCATGGTGATGTTTTCTCCTCTCGTGCGTCTTCCTGACGCTGTCTTTCTGCGTCCTCAGGTGGAAATCTAATGAGGGCCGGGTGGCACCCTGCAGATATCCGAAATCCGATGTGGTAGATATGAGACACGTGTGTATACACATAATCATATCTCTCTCTCTCTCTCTCACACACTGTATATATATATATACATACTGATATTTGTACAGTATTTCTGGACAGAGAGAGAGAGAGAGAGCATCTATTTATTTGGCTACATCACCAACACTTCCACAGATAGATCGGACATAATGATTCATGATGCAAATGGGGCTGGGAATCGTTGATGGTTTGATGAAAGGATCCTCGCATTAGGTGTTAGTGTAACCTCCAAATAACAACGTTGCAATGGCCCAGAACTGGTCAAAACTACTCGATTTCATGGGCATCCTGATTCTCACCTGGATTCTATCATCGATTCTCCAAACTACATGGATAAACCCATGGATAAACTGGCTTTGTAGCAGCAACCCTCCATGGAAAATCGAACAGGACATCAACCTCAAAAACTCCACGGAAAATACCTGTCTCATCCCATATCCCATGGCTGACCTGTTTCAGTTGTAGCAAGCTGAAAAGCTCGGCCATGTCCCTTGCTGTACCCAGATATGTGGCTGTGGGTCAAAACGCTGGTACCTCAAAAAAACTGGGTTTTTATACATGTTCATCCCCACTATGAGTCCATAGGTATTGACCCATCTCCATTGCTGGTACAGTTCCCATCATTTATCTAAATATTTGGGAAACCACTGGTTTCATGATATTGTTTTAATGATGTAACCGGCAAATATTTGGATAAACATGCCATTTACCCTCTGGTAATCAAAAGCGGCAATGTTTTTTTCCGAGTGAAACCCCCTGTTTAGTTCGGGGATTTCCCAGCTAGCCACCATTGATTACTGGGTAATGATAAATTTCCTCATCTACGAAGCATATCCCAAAAAATCATTTCATCACTATATCCGCCATGATAGATATACCTACCATAAACCAAAAAATATTTATACATTACCCACAAATATCCATTACCTATAGGTATACCATCACCAAAAGATATCTATACATTACCTATAGATATCCATTACCTACATCCCCTATGAATCTTCCATTGTCCCATAGGGCATTGCCCATGACCCAATTGGGGTATCCCCAGCACCGCGCACTTTGGAACGGTGGTATTCGTAGATCAGCGCCGTTGCGCTGACACCGAAGACTACGGCTTCACCTCCGCTCAGCACGTTGCGCATTGGGCGCGGCTGTGGATGTGGGGGACCCATCACGGTGTTTTTTTGTGGCTACAGATATAGATTCTATATATGATTATATCACTATGGTGGGAATGATAATGATATAATAATTAGATATTGATTTAGGGATCTAGATTATTCGGTAATGATAACGATGAACCATCATGATTGTAGTGATTATACTGGCATGATATATAATATATACTACAATCAATGAATGGTGTAATATTTGGATTAAACTACTACAAAGTAATTGATGATATTCATCATACACATCACTGATCCAATTACAGTGTTCACTGATGTGATAAACCGTTGTAATTTAGACCATCTATTTTGACAGATCATGATATTCTGAATGGTTGTCGCAACCCCCTAAATAGTGACAAATAACAGTTCTATCTTTTTGGAGGTTGGTCTATTGTAATCGTAATTATAGTGCAAAGTTGGGATGAGTTGTAAGTGTAATGGTCATAGCAATGGGCGTACTATAAATAATGATTGTGGTAATATTAGGGATGTCTTGCAATGATGATGAGGATGATATTGGGTTTTGACTGAGTAGTGTATTATGATGATATCATGTTATTGAATGAGAATAATGATAATGGTAATGCATTAGCAATCGTGATAGCAAGAGCCAGAACAATCGTAACAGCGAGGGTAGTACTAGTAGAAGGAATATTAATAATCATATGGCAATAATAGCGATAGCAGTAAGAATCATCACCACCACCACCACCATCATCATCATCATCAACATCATCATCATCATCATCATCACCGCATATTGTTTCTGTACGCAGCTGGAGTTTCTCGTGGCTTTCCTCAATCTTCCAACCTCAGCAAGAGATTGTGTTTTTGAGGCCACGACCCAACATGGTACATCCAGCCTGGCAGCGGAGCGAAGTTCGCTGAAGTTCCGGGAGAGTTTGCCCCAAGAAATGCCCTGAGATCCGCCTGAACTGCTTGATCATGAGGGAGTTTCAATCGATCCTAGGCACAACGCACGGTTTTTTGGGTCATCGTTGAGAGTTACACTTGCAAAGTGACACAGCAGTGTACTGGGAGAATTCGTGTGCTTTTGCTATCATAGTTCTTAAACTGGACCTATTCAGCATATTTAACCTGAAACAACCAATGAAAGTGGAACATGACCACATCTGAAAGACATGGTTTTCCCATTGAAAACGGCGATGTCCTGTTCCATGGTTGTCTCAAACAGAGCCCTCCTTCTTCTGTCGCTGGTTTGTCCCCCTATCCCACGTCTTAAAGAGCAAGCCGTGCCAAGTAACTGTCTGCATCAGTCGAGAAGCAGATACGCAACATTCCTGACGGATCATGGTACCATGTGGTACCATGCGTCACTGCTCACTGTATCCTCCATATTATAGAGGTGGAATCATCTTACCTGTCATTGAGGTGGCATACCTTGAATGAAACTGATACAAGGCATACTTGACAGAGAAGGGCTCGAAAGCTGGGTCCCGCCAAAACCAAGCTGGTTAATACCCCATGTTTGTTGCTATCTGTCAAGTCTGTCAAGTGTAGGTTGCGCTGCTGAAGCATCCTAGAGTTTTGCACCATCCCCATGTTTGTTGGGTATCCGTCCGATTTCCCTGTCCATTTTTCTCGGTGCATTTTCGTTCGTTCTCCTGTTGTTTGATGGGTAATGTTCCTTTTTTGGGAGGGGCTGAATGTCTGACCCTTGAAACCCCCAACTTTTTGTTGATTGATATCCCAGTGTTTATTGCGGCATGGTCGGGTAAATTCATGATGTCCTTACTTTCTTTGGTGGGTACCCTCTGGTAAACTAACATAACTATGGAAAATCACCATGTTTAATGGGTAAATCAACTATAAATGGCCATTTTCAATAGCTATGTTTGTTTACCAGAGGGTAGATTCCTGATTTGTTCCAGTTGTTCCTGAGTCGTCCGTAAAAATCCTGACTCTTGAACCTCTCAACTTGCCCTCTGGTACTCAAACATGGATATGAATTCACTAACCTGAAGGTAAGTGTCATGATTTTTCCCAGTCTGCCATATTTGATTACCGGAAGGTCGTCATTCTTGGTCGATACAAAAAATCTGAGGTCCTGAAACGTCTTGCTTCGTTCCGCTGCTGCCATTGTGACCTTGGCCACTGGCCGTGCAGCCTGCCGAATGCCTTGGTGCTTCTGGTGATTGAACCTGGGGAAAAGATAGAAAATGATGTGGAAAACCCATGGTTTCCTAGGAACATGATCTATAAATTGTGGGTGTTCTACATCTATGTCTGGTGTTAGTTGACAGGAGAGTCAATACGAGAGAGATAAACTGGATTTTGGATCATCATGGGTTTTCCCCCAATGAAAGATATGATTTCGGCGAACCGGTGCCGAACAACCGCTGAAGAAATTCTGGAAAAACACCGCCAGGATCCGCCAGGTCTCAAGCCACGAGAATTCCAAGGGATACGGTGGATACGAGACAGCCACACATCCCCAAAAATCACACAGCTTCTATAGAATTCCACCCATCAGCAACGCCGGGATCCAACGGGGCTCCAGCCCAGCAAGGCCAACTTCCCTATGGGAAGCCTCGCGAGCATCAACACCACCTGATGCGAGAGATGGCTGGTTTGGTGGATGAAACCATGGTGAAACAGTGAAACACACCAAAAAAGAACAGGGATATATATAAAGCCCCCTTGGGCCCTTGGGCCCTTGGGCCCTTGGGCCCTTGGGTTCGGGAAAGATTGTGGCTATTTATAGAAGCTGCTATCTATAGAATCAGCCGAATCAGCCGATTCTCAGCCACGGTCCACGCGCGTGCCGTAGGAACCAGCAGGGACAAGCCATCGGAACCAGCAGCTGGTGATGTCGAGGTCCACGGTCCACGGATCGTTTTACATGACAAGCCACGGTTCCCAGATGTTCCCATCACATTTCGATGCTTTGCTAGCTTAAACTGCATTCAAGAAAACCAGCCGTCAACAAGCTTTTGGATCATTGAATTATCGAAAGAGATAGCCGGTGCCTGCGGTGAAACCGCCGGTCCAGAAATGTTTTTTCCAACTGCGATCATCAGCATCCGAAACTTGGTTGAAACCACCAATATAGAGAAAACGATCCTCCCCCAATTCGCAGAGTACTAAACAACCACAACCTCCAGATACCTCCAGTACAACCCACCAAAGAACTCTGGACTTCAGTTTTGAGGCACCCCACCATGGCAAAAGCAGATTTGTAGGCAACAGGCGCCGGCAGGCGCTGCCAATCGTGACAGGCTTTGAGCGGGGACAAGGATTAGCAACCAGCCAAACCTCAAACGTGTGGGCTTCGTAATCTTCGGATTTTAGGAATGTGATGAATGTGATGTGGATGAAATATCGAAAACAGATTATTGTAACATGATGAACCATCATGGACCCTGACGTTTCAGCAGGTTCAACTCAGCTGACACCAGGGTCCAAATTTCAGGAACCAGGGTCTAGGATGGTCTAGGCATCCCCATGTGTTTTGGGTCTGATATCACTGGTATCCATACTTTGACCCTGCCATGCGACGCCCAGTTTCATGTCATGGCTTCAAGTTTGAGCAGCTGAAATCCACCAAATTGGGCAGCAACCACAACAGCTCCATACCAGTGATGTATCAACTTCATAGCCTCGCGGTACATCTTTTGTGAAATCATCCCCAATCTTGGATCCCCCCAAAAAATATCCCCAGGTCGATATCAACCGCCCTTTACGCAACATTTCTGGGGAAATATGTTGGCCTTCCATGTATGAAGCATCTAAAGAAAGACTAAGGAGAAATGATCAAACATCGAACGTGCCAAACTTGGTCCATGTTCAACCTCAATCCTAGCATTGTTCGCGGGAACCAAAGATTTACCATCCAAAAATGATAAAAATGGATCCAGTAGAAACAATGATGGAACTGCCAAAGTTTTTTCCAAAACAATGATGGAACTTGTCGATCTGGTCATTTTCAGCCCTGATTTCCCCCTGGTGGCCGCCCTGCAATTTTTTAACCGCATAACACGGGGGAGAAAACTTGGAGTGGGGCTCCTTTTTGCGGTGAAAAGGTGGGCATACCTGCTGCCAACACGGACTATGCATGGGTTTTATTTGGAAAAGTTGTGGGAAACCGTGGCTTTACTTCAACCTATATAGCCTATAAGGGTTTCCTGAAGATGTTCCCTTCAAACAACTCTGGGCTAATCAGATTGATCATGTTTCTCACCAACAACTTGGCGTGATCCTAGAGCAAATGCTCTTCTGACAGATGGAAAATGTGTAACACACTGAAATGAAAATGGGTTTTGTCGTATCCGAAACTGAAGATCTACGGGAAAATTATCCTTGTAAAACCTTCTGGAATTGGCTCTTGGTTCAATGGCTTTCGATCGTTCCTGGATCCTCGGAGTCAAAAAAGTTACAGTAAACGTGTCAGACTTCGCCAGCACGTCGGTCATTGGGAATCGTCATCCTAGGTAGTGATGGAAATAAACAGCCCACATATCTGCGCTAATTCGTCTGACAAAAATGGATGATTAATAGATTGATTAAGCATATTTTTCCCATATGTTCGCTATTAACATTGTAACATAGCAATTTGGGGGTATACCGGTATACCGAATTTTCAAACAACCCCATATTTCAAATCATCAAGCAAACAATGTATAATAATTACTTGCCTAGTTGTCTCTTCAGATCGCTACATGCACCTTTTCACCGCCTAGCCCGAAGCATGTCTCCGCGCTAGGAGTACTGAATTGTGAGTTGTAAGGACAAGTGACAAGGACCTCTGTGGATATCAGGTGTCTTTGAAAGTCTGTGATAAAAATGCCACCCATCATCTATCACCCATCAAACTGCACAAATTTTCTTCATTTTGCCTTCACTGGCCCCAACTCATGGAGTTCGCCATCCCCATTAGCGCTTGGCGCGATCGGCCGTGCGGAACTCGAAAGAACTACGATGTTTCAAAAGTTGGCTCGTTGTGTTGGTCACCCACTCGATCGATTCATGGTCTCACTTCATCTGGCCACTGGAGGTGAAAGCAGGTGATTGTTTGGTCGTGCCAAAATCATGAACAAATCTAGATAATGCATGATGGCCCCCAACCTTGATATAATTGAATCATCTACCTGCTGTGTTACAGCATGGTCGTTCGAAGCCCTAAAAAAAATATGAAAAGGAAAGACATGTTGAGATTGCTTGCAGTGAACGTTGGATGTGCGTGTCAAAACTTGCACCCAAGCTGCCTTATTGCCAAACACGAAGACCTACATACAATGAAGAATATCTCAAGCATCCTCCACCACAGGTTAATCTAAAAACACCCTGTGAAAAACTATGTCGTGCTAGAATTACCAATTGAGGTACCATTCACAAGCGTGTTTCCCCACGTTGTGCTGGTAAAGTCTCAAATTTTGCTGTTCAAACCCAGCATCAAACTGTTCGTAAACACATGTCAAACCGACTATATCACATAATTATTGACCTTTCATTGTATGAATGGTTTCCAATTATGTCAAAACAAGAAGTCTGAGTATAGCAACCCCAAATTTCATGCCGATACAACGATCATCAACGATCCACCAGGCGCCTTCATGGCTGTCTTCTTGGCCAATCGACACTCCAGAGGTGTCACCTCCAGGACCTCGTCCGTGTCCATGAAACCCAACCAGTCGTCGATGCTCATCTGGCCAGGTCAGGCCAGGTCCGAATGGTCTGAAATCTTGATCCAAAGCAAGTTGAGATGATGAAACATGATGAAAACCATTGAAAACCCACCGAGTTTTTGAGGGGTTACCCTCTGGTCAACGTTTAACTATGGAAAATCACCATGCTATTAATGGATAAATCATGATAAATCCACTATTTCGACTGGGCCATTTTCAATAGCTATGTTTCTTTACCAGAGGCTAAAGAAACAGATGTGTTGCTGGTTCAATCTCCAGGTCTGTGACATCTCATTTTGCGCACACGTGACCCTTTTTTTTTACCCAACCCAGCCAAGCATGGCCGGCGTGTGAAGCTCCACACATACCCTCTGGTAAACTAACATAGCTATTGAAAATGGCCATTTATAGTGGATTTTCCCATTAAAAATGGTGATTTTCCATAGCTATGTTAAATTACCAGAGGGTAATACCATAAATTATCCCCTTTCTTGGGTATACCCGTATACCCCCATTTATATCAATTGATTGTATGTCATTCACGAAAATAGATGGTCCTTTATATAATTCATTTTTTTTGTTGGTCGCATATACCATGGTACCCATGGTGGGATATGGGGTTGACCGTGCCACATCAAGGTTTGATGACCTGGTAAATTCACCATGAAATATCCCATAAAATTAAAAAAAACATGAAAAAGCTTCCCATATGAAACTGTCTAAAAAATAGAGATTTTTTTATATCAATCCCAGAACATAAAAAACGTGAAATCTCGCATATTCTTCTCAAAAAAAAAAAACAGCAAAATCAATCCAATTCAAATCCAAAATCAAAAACACAATTTGTCCATTACTTTCCCCATGTGGGGATGGGTCAAAACCCTGGTACCTAGTGAACCCCAAAATAGCTGGAAAATGGATGTTCATCCCACTAAAAATTGTATTAATAGGTATTGACCCATACCCATATCTTCACTGGTTGGTGGTTTTAACCATCTTGAAAAATATGAACGTCAATGGGAAGGATTATCCCATGTATTATGGAAAAATATGGAAAATAAAAACCAGAGGGGTAGGTCAACCACCAACCAGACATGTTGATAGATACATAGAATGCTCCCATCCTTTTCCGAAAAACCGGCGGCCCCTGGCGCTCCGAAAAACGGCGCCTGAATTTTCCCGTTCAGATTCTCCGTGACCTGCGCGCACGCCGCGCGCACGTTACTCACAGCCTTCTCCTGGCGTCTGTTGGTGGGTTCGACCAACCCCAAATAGGTGATTTACCTATGAAAAATGGAGATTTACCTATGAAAAATGGTGAAAAATGGTGATTTACCTATGAAAAATGGTGAAAAATGGTGATTTACCTATGAAAAATGGTGATTTTCCATGGTTTTTTGTATGTTTACCAGTGGTTAGTGGTTTCCATGTTTCAACCAACCCAACTGAAAAATATGAATCAGTTGGGATGATTATTCCCAATATATGGAAAAATAAAAGTCATGTTTGAAACCACCAACCAGTTTAGGATTGTGCCTGCTGATGATGTACGAAGTATTTTTAAGCACTAATAGAGTATATAAGTTATCTACAAGTGATGAACTTAAGTATGTTGCCAAGTTGTTAATCAGGAGTTGGCATTTCACCAACTTAGGATTACATACTATAATTCGTATTATCATTATCTAAATCTTAGTTATTTGATTAGATGCCATTTGTGAATGGATAGCATTAGTCGCGGCATTGCTATTTTTTCAATATAATACTGAAAGATATGTTTTGCCCGTGCAATACAACAACATTAGTTTCAAGTGAGTATTACCTACAGTAGATCTTGGTGATTGGATACCATTAGTAATTAGATACTCGGATACGGCAAGCATACTGTGGTATAGCCCAATACTAGTGATGAGATAACATTCGTAAGTATGATATTGTCTAAATCTAAGCTTCAAGCTTCAAGGGTGGGATTTTAAATACCATGGGCAAGTCTCATATTATACAATTTAAAAAATGTCATGAAGTATCAACAACTGGAAAATGATATTTGTATACTATAGTATGAGGTTTTAAGAGCAAAATTTGGACTGATATAATGTATCTATAGTGATGTTATATGTACAAGAATGGCGCATCAAAAATTGAAATCTGAAAATCAATGGTCCCAACTTCAGAGGAGGGTTCACCTTAACTGATACCGGTGGTCCCACACCTTAAAATCAGCAATCATCCTGGTGTTTTTGTGTATCCAAATCTGCATTGGTCATCTCAGAATCTCTATAGTTGACGGTGAAGATATCCTTGATATTCCTTGATTCAACAACCATATGGTAGAGGAGATTGAGCCACTGACTCCCTGTAGAATTAAGCTGCTGCCCCTTTCCAGGGCCTGTTCCAAGGGTGGGTCCTATTCATCATCGCAGTAGAATCCCCCAGCTATGATAGTTGGTGTTAATGGACTTCCAAGTTGAAATGGACGCTGATACTTCCCAAGACATAAAGGGTGAGCTAGTAAACCAAGAACAGTCATCAACCAACCAGCATTTGTGGTCAATTATATCGTCATATGTTTTGATGGTTACACAAGAATCAAACCCACAATAAAACGATGCCCGCTGCCCGATCCACATTACTCAATATGTTGACAAACTCCCAAACTCGCCGTCAACCACCACGTATCAATCATATCACCGTATGCTTGCCCCGGGACCAGGCGCCATGTGCATAAATCATCATGAATCACTGGTTGGTGGTTTCAACCATCTTGAAAAATATGACTCCGTCAATTGGAAGGATGACATCCCATATATGAAATGGAAAATAAAATTCATGTTTGAAACCACCAGATGGGATTTTAACTCCACCAGTTTATGACATCAACTCCTCTTGTTTATCCACACATCAGCCGGGTCTGTCACGGAGCCTTGGTGATGTTGACTGTCAGGTCCGTCTCCTGGGCCAAAACATCAAAGATATCGAAAACGCAGTTGCACTTACTACTAATACTAGTCCAGAAATATATGGCATACTCAATATACTATTAGTATATGCGTCTATATCATAGAATATGATATAAATGAGCGTTTTGGGAGATCTGGGGGGGATTCTTACACATTTATGGTCAAAACTTAAATAGTACGAAACAACGTGCTTCGGTGAATCCAAGGGACGCCTAGGTATCTGCATAGAGAGCAAGAAAGGCGAAGGAGATGGGGGATGTCTGAATACAAACGTCCTTATCTGAATTGCTTCGATACCCATTGCAATTGTTCAAGTCTGGTTCTTGATAGTATACACCCAATCCATATCATACGACAATTTACAGAAATAGTGTTGCAGACTTCCTAACCAAACTTCCCATGGGCGACCATGGCCCCCCAAAACGGTCACCGTTTGGCGCACCCGGTTGTGCATCCCGATCACTTGTCCAGCATAGACTTCTTCAGCGTGCTGGCGTTGGTAAGCGCCAGGGATGGGCAAAAGATCCGTGCCACGAATCACCACCGGGGGAAAGGAGGTTAGCTATTATTGAAAATGGCCATTTATAGTGGATTCACCCATTAAAAATTGTGATTTTCCACAGTTATGTTAGTTTACCAGAGGGTAGCCACTGCTGGAAATTTGCCATGGATATCTACAAGTTTCTAGAAGTTTTGTGATGGTCTAAAAATTCCAATTCATTCTTGAGTGTATGAAGTTGAGTCCATATGTTTGATGGTATCAAAGATATACCTGCGCTCTTGATTCCAAAGAAAATTCAGACATATGGAGCAGTTGTCCTTCTCATGCCCAGACATGGGACTGAACATCAGAAAAGGTTTCAAACCACCAACTACAAAAATCTCTCCAAACCTCAACAGAATATGACTTTGAGCTTGAATCTTTACTATATGGGTGTTTCTGAAAATGGGCCTTCAAATAATCCTGCAAAAAAAATGTCTTAACCATATAGATTTTGGGATCTTCCATGGTTTTCCCCTAAATTTCCAGACAAACTCACATGGAAATAACAAAAAAAAAATCACCCGAACCTTGGAAGTGTTCACAACATTTTACAACCCACCAACCGCCATCCATGCCATCCCTAAAGCGCCCTCCCAAAGGATTCCGGTGCCTCAACGAAGAAACGGCCCTTCAGCTGGAAGTTTAAGAGACTATAGTAGGTTGCCTCACCATCCCAAGCATCGTAAGTGGACGATCACACCAGGTGTTTTTTTTGATCTCCAGTTCTTATGGGTTATATTCTACTTATATATCATATTATATATAAGATATATGACCCAGGACTCCCAAGCCCCCCCCCCCCCCCCCCCATGGTCCCCCCCCATGTGGCCTGTGGTGTTGGTATGTTGGTATGTATGTTGGTATGTATGTTGGTATGCATGTTGGTATGTATGTATGTATGTATGTATGTAGGTAGGTAGGTAGGTAGGTAGGTAAGTAGGTAGGTAGGTATGTATGTATCCATGCATGCATGCATGCATGTATGTATGTGGCCTGTGGTGGTATGGTTCTTCTGGTCCCCCCCCCTGTGGCCTGTGGTGGTGGTATGTTGGTATGTTGGTATGTTGGTATGTTGGTATGTTGGTATGTTGGTATGTTGGTATGTTGGTATGTTGGTATGTATGTATGTATGTATGTATGTATGGATGTATGGATGTATGGATGTATGGATGTATGGATGTATGGATGTATGGATGTATGGATGTATGGATGTATGGATGTATGGATGTATGGATGGATGGATGGATGGATGTATGTAGGTATGTATGTATGTACGTGTGTATGTAGGTACGTAGGTACGTAGGTACGTAGGTACGTAGGTACGTAGGTACGTAGGTACGTAGGTACGTAGGTACGTAGGTACGTAGGTACGTAGGTAGGTAGGTAGGTAGGTAGGTAGGTAGGTAGATAGGTAGATAGGTATGTATGTCTGTGTGTGTGTGTATGTAATGTAATGTAATGTAATGTAATGTAATGTAATGGAATGGAATGGAATTGAATGGAATGGAATGGAATGGAATGGAATGGAATGGAATGGAATGGAATGTATGTATGATGGATGGATGGATGGATGTGTAAGATTTCACCGGCACTCTGATTGTGATGGATTGTGTCCACGTTGTCTCACGTTTGTCCTCTTGTCCAATTGTCCTTGTCTTGTGCACGATCAGCTGTATTGTTTTCCTCTGGCAATTGTCTTAGGCTCAAGGCCTTGATCCAGAGCACAGATTGTGCTGTGCATTGTTGCCATGTACACTATGGATATTGTTGATATCAAAATTATTGTATTCTTAACACCGTCCCTCGAATTGGCGGCATTGTGCACGCCACTTCGTTTAGGATTGTCCATTCACATTGTCCATTAGCATCATTGAAAACTGAAATCAGCATTATTTTTCTCTCATTGTTCAGTGCAAAAAAATGTTCAAGTCTGTACAGTGGATTGTTGATGATCTGTACACTTCTTTGCCTCATTGTCGACTCGTTGTGCGTCTTTTGATTGTCTCGTTGTCGGCAAAGATGTGGTGTCATCATAGTCAATCTTCTTTGATCTTGTAGATAATCTTCTAGCCGTCCTTCTGTTCGACTTCCATGTCGTCAGCACGGCGTTTCGTGTTCTCTTTGTTCCCAACTTGCTGGATCTCATTGTCAGACCTGGTCATGACCCAGGCTGCATGGTCAGGATGACCAATGCTGTGCATAGGGATCATGTTGGCTGGGGTTGTTGCCAGATTGCGATCCAACAGGAATTCCAATGCCTTGTCTCGGATGTGCTTTGGCATGATTTTGAGGCAAGTTGTGCCTCCATTGTATAGGCCTTGGATGAGAGCAGTCATGATGTGAGAATTGTTCTCATCATCCTTGACCTCCAGGGCTGTGAGCACATTCACTGGCATCGCTGATGCCCACACATATCCACTTGACCACACAAAGCGTGAGGCCAGTTGAAGCACATTGTAGTTGTCATAGTTGACAATGACCATTGTCGACAACTCTTCGGCGGTGAGATTGTAGTGGAATCCTTCCAGCACTTGCCTCATCTGTAGGCTATATCCACGCTGGAATGAATTGACGTGCTTCATTGTGTGATGGGAGCACCAATTGTTGAGGTCCAACTGAATTGCCACCATCACTGTGCTTGACGATGGCGTTGTGTGTCCTTTCGACACGTGCCAACACAGCTGATTTGCTGCGTCCTGGATTGTGGGGACCCCGATTGTCTGGAGCCACCGTTTGCCAGCTCGGACATCACCGGGGATGTAGGTCAATGTTCCTTCTTGCTCTGCGATCATGGCCACATATTCCTCCATTGTGAAGCTGAAGACGGTCATTGTTTTGCCGTCCAAGCCCAACAGCAATTGTCTTGCTGTCTTGTCCGTCTCCTCAGGCTTCAGGATGCGAATTGTGGCCTCTTCTTCATTGACCAGTGCAGCACGGTCCACATAGGTTGTGCCCGTTGACTTCTGGCCAAGAAGTACCAGGCTCTTGTGGTCAATCTGGTCGATCGACTCATTGTAGTTTGGCATGTCCACCTTGGGTGCCATCATTGTTTCACCTGGCGTTCTTGTAGATGATCTTGTTCACCGTATTGTCGGGTCGCTTGTGAGCAGACGCGGCTGCGGTGAACTAATGTTTCATCGACATTGTTCATGCATTGTCAATTCAAAAGCAAAACGATTCAAACACGATTGTCTCAGGATTGTTCCAACTCGACATTGTCCAGTCGCACTCACATGCAGCAAAAGATGACGTCAATGATGAATTGTAGATGACATAGCATATATCATAGTGAAACGAAGATCTTGTAGGTGATCTAGTGATACATATAGTCGATGGTATCCATATTCTTTAAGAAAATAGTGTACCATGGCTCGAGCAACCGTGTGTGTATTGTACACGCAGGGGATGCTTTGATGTTGTGAAACAGTGTTATGCCGGCGGTCAGTTGCGATGTTGTGGGCTGTGGATGCCCGCCATGTAGAGGTGTTTGTTAAGCACCTCTGCCGGAACATACTTTGTGAGTATGTCCGCTGGGTTGTCGTGTGTGCTGATTTTGTGGATTGATAGGATCCCGTTTTGTACCAGTTGCTGTATGAACAAGTGTTTCAGGTCAATGTGTTTTGCCTTCTTGGATGACCCGATTCTTGTTGCGACGCTCTTTCCGCTTGTGCTGTCGGTGTGTATGCGGATGTTCACTTTTGTTGTGGTTGCTTCCTGTATGAAGTTGGCTATGTGTAGGCCTTCTTGTGCTCCTGTGCCGATTGCGTATAGTTCTGATTCTGCCGATGATAGTGCTACCACTGCTTGTGTCCTGCTGCCGAATTGTACAACGGATCCCATCATTGTGATGATGAATCCGCTTGTCGATTTCCTTGTGTTCGGGCAACCTGCCCAGTCCGCATCGACATAGATGTTCACATCGATAGGTTCTGTTGTTTGTGGTGTGTGTGTCGGTCGAATGATCATCTTGCATTGTTGTGTTCCGCGTAGATACCGCAAGAGATGTTTCAACTTGCGGAGGCTGTGTTGTGTTGGTTGTTGTAAATCTCTCGCTAGTTCCTTTGTTGCGAAGCTGATGTCAGGTCGTGTGTAGGTGAGCCATTGTAATTTTCCTACTGCTCGTCGGTAGTCTGCATGCTCTTGTTTGTCTAAGGGTGCTTCGTCGTTTGTGGATTGTTTCAGGGTTGCCGTCCCTGGGGCTGATGCTGGATTGCTTGTTTCCATTTTCGTTTCTTTCAGAAGTGTTGTGATGTACTCAGGTTTGAGACTGAGTTCAAAGTGGTCTCCGCCGTTGTAGATGTCTCTTCCAAGGAATTGGATTGTTTGTTCGACTCCGAGTGTGCCTGTTGGTCGTAGGAGTACGTGCTTTTGTATTTCCTGGAAGGTCTTGTTGACCTCTTGGTGTTGTCCCAGGAAAAGTAGGTCATCTACGTAGACCATCACGAACATTGTCTGTTCCTTGTTTCTGTATACATTGGGCTCACTTGTGAGTCGTGTGAGTCCAAGTTGTTGTAGGACTTGTGCGAAGTGGTCTTGCCAAGATTTTGGGGCTAGATCTCAATCCGTAGATTGCCTTGTTGAGCTTCCATACTGTTGTGCTATTGTGGCCGCTTGGATAGAGTTCAGGTGGTGGCCACATGTACAAATTGTCGGTTGCTGCTGGTGCATGTAGAAAGGCTGTTGACACATCGCCTGCTTGTATTGTCCATTGCTTGTGTAGTGCCATTGTCAACAGGATTCGCAGAATCCCGAAGATGGGCGTGCTGGCGTAGATGCTGTCGAGGTCCTGGATTGTTTCCAGAAAACCTTTCGCGACGATTCTGCATCTCACTTCGTCTTGTTTCGGCTTGTTGACCCATCTGGATTCTATAATCTTTCCTTTGTATTCGTCAGGGACATCATTGTAGTTGATTTCTGTGAACACTCCTTGTCCCTTCATTGATTGTGCTTCTTTCTTCATTCCTTGTTGGACTTTCTTGGAGTCCAGTCCTTCGTTGTCGTAGACGAAGGGTTCTTGTAGCATTCGTTCCACTTCTGCTTCTTGTTCGTCTTCACACGATGCTGTCGTGATTGTGTCTCCTTTCTTTGTGGTGATTGTCACTGCTTGTATCCTCATTTTGGAGTGTGGCTGTTCATCGTGTTGCCCTCGGCTAACTGCTGCTGAGGATTGTGCTGTTCTCGATTGTTTTGGCTCAGCTTGACCTGTTGGCTCTTCGTGCGGTCTTTTGCCTTGTGGTAAGGGCAATGCTGGTCTTGTGATGTTCGTTGGTGAAGTTGCCAACGGTGCTGTTGCCATTGTGGAGTCTGTTGGTGCTGGTAGTGCTAATGGTGTTCCTGCTTGTTGTGTTTGTGTGCTTGTCTCAGTCATTGGGATGCCAGTTTGTGTTCCAATGGCGTAGCTGCTTGCTTGTGGGTTGGCTGGTAAAAAGTAGTTGTGGTGATATTGCCGTTGGCGGTGTTGGTGAGTTCCATGGATACACATTGATTGTATCCAGGAGTTGCCTGTCGTATTTGTCTGGTTCAATTTGTCTTCGAATGGTTCTCACCCTGATGATTTCGCCTGGAATTCCTATTATTGATTCTCCTGTCATTGTGTCTCTTCCAAGCCAGATTCCTTTGAAGAATCTTGGTTCCATCTTTGGTAGTGTCCTTGTTGTGGGAATCATGTATTGTATTGTTTCGGCCATTTCGCATAGTGGTGCTTTGTGATCCTTTTGCCATCTTCTTTGGTAGCTTGTCTGCCCATCATTGTGAATGGCATACCGGTTGAGTAGCCATGCTGCGTGTCTCACAATCCATGGTAGGATTGGATGTTGTACACTGAGTGTGAGGTTGTATTTTGTTGTGACTTGTTGGAGTAGTGTTCTCACTTGTCCCATGAGTGTACGATGGTATCGTTCGATGCTGCCTTGTGATTGTGACGAGTAGGCTGGTGATTGTCGTACATTGATGTTTGCTCCAAGTTTTTGCGCAACTGTCTTCAAGAGGTTCAGTATGAAATCCTCTTGGTCTGTTTGTAGTGTTGTTGGTGAGAGTGTTGCTTGTGCTCGTCCACATTCAAACATGAATGTTTGTAGACATCGTACCAGGTATTGTTGTTGTTGGTTCTTGTCCTTGACAAGGACTGCCATTGCCATACCTGATTCGACATCTATTGCTGTTAGTACTGGTAGTACTTGTTTGTCTCCAAAGCCACTTGTATCACCGGTTGTCTGCTTGTCTGCTTTGGGTGATTGTCTGTTCTGCCTTTGCTCTTCACGCAGATTGGGCACCAAGATCTGTATGGCAGGTGTGTCAGTTCGTGCTCAAATCTTTCTTGCCTTGTTGGTTGTTGTGGGGCCTTCATTCCTCGTGGTCTTTGTGCTTGTTGTGTTTCTTCCTCGTTGTCTGTGTCATACTCATACTTGTACTCGACATCTTCCTCAAAGTTTGTTGATCCTGTCCATTGTCTGTCAAGTGGTCTTGCTCCTGATTCCTTCCAATTGTCGTCAATCCTCCATCCTCTCGCTTGCTCTGTCGGTGACACCATTGTTGTTCTTTCTGAAGTCAATCGTTCAATGTTCGGCCCATCATCTGATTGTTCTGGTACGTAAAGTGTTGTACGTGGTTGTATGTGGACACGCTTCCACAAGTGTCCTTCTCTGATCCAGTAATCAGAGTTTGGTGTCAGTGTTTGTGGTCCTGGTATTGCCGTCGTTGTTGGTGGTGGCTTCTTGGTTGTATGTCGAAAGAGTGGTTCTCGGTTGATTGTCTGCTGGCGTGTTTCTGCTTGTGCTGGCAGTTGTGGCACCGGTGGCTGGTGCTCTGTTTGTGTTGTCTGCTGTGGCTGTGGTTGAGGCACAGGTGTCCTCGGTTGTGCTGCAGATGGTTGCGTGGCTGCTGGTTGTCCAGTCACTTTGAACCAAGTTTCTCGTGTCCAGGCATCACCTTGTAGGATTCGCTTTTGTGCATTCTTACCCAAGTCGTTGTACTGTTCCACGAAATCCTCATTGTGCCCATTTGGCCGTCTGACAATTGTCCTTCGATAGTTGCTCAATCTTTCAAGAGATACTGGACAATTGTTGCCAGGAACGAATAGTGCCTTCCTTTTGTTCCTGTGGTACCTCACCAGGTATCCTTCACTCTTGTAGTTCCAGTAGTCGTTGTTTCCTCCTAGGACTTGTTGTGGTCCTGCTTGTGTCAGCGTGGTTGGGGCAATCATTGCTATCACGCCCTCTGGTGTCTGTCGAAGTTGTAGTTGCTGGTGTTGTTCCAAGTTCACGATTGTTGCTGGTAGGTAGTAAAGGTTGTGTTGTTGGACCAAGGAGAGATCGAATCCCTTGTTGTGGCTCATTGTGGGTGTGTCGTTGAACCTGATGTCAAGACCTTGTTCTGTCAGTCTTGTCACTGACAGAATTGGGTCGTGTATGTCACACACATAAAGTGGTATGACAATTGGTTGTCCTCGTGACTTCATGTAGACCCATCTTACACCATAACATTGTATGGTCTTGTTGGTCACTGTTCTAAGGTTTGGTAGTTGTGCTTCGTCGATCCTGTGCACTGGGTAGTTGTCTGCAAACCACAGTGGGCAGACATGTGTGGCTGCACCACTGTCGATCATAATGTGGGTATTGTCTGTTGTCGTCGTTGTTGTTGGTTGTTGATGATGGCTATTGCCAATCATGGCCATCACATGTATTGGTGTGGCGTTGTTGCTCCCACTGCTTGTTGCTGGTATTGGTGGTAATGCCAATTGTTGTGGCTGGCGGTGTGTCGTGTAGTCGCGATAGTGCCATCCATTGTCGTAGTAGTCGGTGTACCATTGTGCTGTTGTGTCGTCGTTGTCTTGTGGCTCTGTTTGTCCAATGTTGTGGATTGCTACTCTGCAGTCTTTGGCATAGTGACCTGTTCTTCCACATCTGTAGCATGTGTCTGTCACTTGCTTTCCTTTGTTCTTTCCTTTTCCTTTTCCTTTGTTGTATCCTTTGTATCCTTTGTTGCCTTTTCCTCCAAAAGGATTGCCATATCCAATTGGATTGTTGTAGGGGTTGTATCCTTTCCCTCCATACTTTCTTTTTCCTTTCTTGTAATTGTTGTAGCCGTAGCCGTTGTATCCACCGTAACCTTTGCCTTTATGTTTTCCTTTGCCTTTACCTTTTCCTTTGTGTTTTCCTTTCCCTTTGTGCACTGCATCGATGTCCATGGGTGCTTGTCCTCCAGCGTAGTTGGTTGACACGCTGGATGATTGTGTGGCGAGTTGTTGTAGCTTACTGAATGCCGTTGTCGATCTGTAGTATTCAGTGATTGTTGCTTTGACTCTGGCGTAGTTTGGGTTTTGTCCTGAAAGCAGTTGTAAGTGTTGCTGTAGTGGTCCAGTTGTTTCATTGAGTAGGACTGCTATCTTCACTGCATCTGGCAATTGTTGTCCATTGTCACGCTCAAAGCGTTGGAGTTCAAATTCCCATGTTGAGAATGACTCCTCGAAATTGTTGTTGTCGAATTTGGGCTTGAGTAGTCGTGTAAGGTGTCCAATTGATCTTGTGCCAAGTGGTATTGAGAATCGTATGCAAAGTTGTCTGTACATTTCGAAGCCAATTGTGTGCTGATGTTGTCGGCAGACTGTTGCCGCTGCCCCAGCTGTTGTATTGATGAGGATGTACCTCAAGTCCGTGCTGAGGCGAACATGCCGTTCACCATCCTCAATTGTTGTTGCTGCTCCTCGTAGTTGTGCTTCTGTCAGCTCTGCATTGGCGTTCTCTGATGCTTGTAGTAGTGCTGGGTAGTCATTGTCTTGTAAGCCCATGTATGCTGTGAACTTGCACTTCCATTCTTCAAACGTGCTGTAGTCTCCGTTGTAGAAGGGGGGTTTGAGTTTGTATCTGTTCATGTGAGCTAAGTTGTCTTCTGGTATTGGAGGCAATTGTCCGCCTCCTGCCGGTGCTGCTGGGTTTTCTGCCATTGTGGCTGTTTGTTCAAGCTACCACTTGTGGGGTCAAGGCTTGTCTCCTTCTTGTTGCTGTCTTTGTTGCTGCTTGTTGTTGTGTGTTGGTATTGGAGCTCACCTGGATTGTTACCAGGATCCTCGCTCCGCTACCATGTAAGATTTCACCGGCACTCTGATTGTGATGGATTGTGTCCACGTTGTCTCACGTTTGTCCTCTTGTCCAATTGTCCAATTGTCCTTGTCTTGTGCACGATCAGCTGTATTGTTTTCCTCTGGCAATTGTCTTAGGCTCAAGGCCTTGATCCAGAGCACAGATTGTGCTGTGCATTGTTGCCATGTACACTATGGATATTGTTGATATCAAAACTATTGTATTCTTAACAGGATGGATGGATGGATGGATGGATGGATGCATGCATGCATGCATGCATGCATGCATGCATGCATGTATGTATGTATGTATGTGTCCCGTGTCCCGTGTCCCGTGTTCCCGAGAGCGTGAGCTTGGAGGACCATACCATTGGGGGGGGGGCCAGGGATCCGGAGTCCGGACTCATATATACTGTGTATATATATATATATATAATTGTATATATATATATATATATATAAATCACTGCCGGATTCAGATCCACATCATCCAAGTAGCAATGTGGGTCCTGGTCACCTAATCTGCAACCCGAGGAACATCGAGAAAGCCAGCACCCCCCCGGAGTTACCACGGTTTTTGATAGGGCTGATTTCATCACACCGGCCTTCCCTGTGGCTGTGGTGGCAATGGAGCCCTTTTCCTGGCCGCGCGCAGCCAAGTTCTAACGCATAAATTGAAGGAACCGTAGATGCAAGGCTCAAGTTTCTTGGTATAAAATTTAACCTTTAAAATTTCTATGGATTTCTTATCGCGCCCACGGATGTCCCAACACAAAGAGTCCCTAATGTTGCTGTGATTCGGCCAGATTTTCATACCTCCTTCAGGTCCTTCCTTTCTCAGTAAACCATAGGGAGAAAACAAATAGAGGTCTACAGGGCCATTTGCAGGGATCGATTTATGGTTTTCCATCAACATATAGGGATTCTACCATCAACATATGGGGATTTATGGGTCTTTGCTGCAGGCAGTTTTGTTTCCAGGGATCCTGCAGTGCGACTGAAATGTCCATGACATCACTAAGTATGGGTTAGATATCTAGCGCAGCAAAACTTGGCTTAGCCTGGGTGGTGATTTCACCCGAAACGCGTCGGGTGAATGATCAAAGATCAAACGGAAAGAGGTACCCCGAAACTGACCTGGACCACATCTGCTTGGTTTGCGCTTCAGTACAGGTAGTTTATGGTAGTTGATGGTTGATGGTAGTTCTACTGAATCACCATCACCATATATCACCATCATCTCGGACGATCACCGCCAACTGAACCCAGCAGAAATCTGCGAAATGCGCACTCGAATCTTCACTTCACTTCCATCAAACCTCAGAATCATCAAGATTTCAATCGAGGACGATTTCATTGAGTCCTCCCTATCATTTAACTGTGAAGGAATCTATCTACGTTTAATACATATACATATATATATATACACCATTATATACCAATATGTAGACATCAAAACGCGGATTGACATTTAATATGTATCTATATGACCATAAACAATTTAATAAATATATAATATATAAGATTGTATAATAATATATAATATAAATCCGCCAGCCTGCCGGCGTGTCTTGTGGATCTTGCTTGTTCGTAGTTGTACTGTCTGTTTTGTCTTTGTCTTTGTCTAGACATTCCCCTTGGCGCAGATTTTTGCCTCGTCTAACTTGAACCCACCTCTCCCCCTGCCCGCCCAGCTCTTCTTCGTTTCGTCTTCATCTTTCCTTACATTGTGGCGGGCTCAACTCTACCCACGGCCTCGCTCAACACCGGCTTGGTTTTGCACATCTTGCTGTCATTTCGATGATTGTTTCCGTTTTGTGGTTGTGTTTGCCATGGTTTGCTCCATCGCTTCTTATATCCAATACTTGATCCACTGGCTTTTGTGCCGAACACCTTTTGCACGCATAATCTTTCTAAATGTGGCCTTTTCCAGGGCCTTTCTCAATACGGCCTTTTCCAAAGCCCTGGTTTACACACATGCTTTGGTTTAAACCTAGACGGTGGTTTGAACAAAACCAATGTTTTTGCGTCCAAACCCTCTTTTAAAGAGCTGTTTGTATCCACAAACAGCATGTTTTACACAAAAACCATGTTCTTGCTGGGCCTGTGCAAGGGCTGTTTGCAGCTTACAGGATAGCTCTTTCCATGGTGGCCGGCGGAACACGCCGAAGGCGGTTAATATATGTATATGGTGTATATATAGTGTTTATTGGCGATGTATCATTACTAAAATTCCTTGTTAAACATTCTCATCTTAAAACCGTGTCCCATGTTAACGGCCACCTTAAGCTCCAGTACTTAGGCCCATATTTGTTGGAACATGTTGGAACTATATCCCCATGTCATGCCACAGTTCCATTGAGTTTCCTCTGTGTTTGTTGGTAATCCACACCTTTGTTGGAATTATGGCTATGTTTCTCTTATTCTGAGATACCCTGCAAAGGATGCAAAAGGCACAAAATCTTAGTTGGTTAACGTCCACCTAACCCCTTAATGGTATATTATTTCTCCATTTAAGCCATGAAAAATCGCCCCAGCCCCATGTTTTCTTTCATGAAAGAATGGCTGGTTGATAGGTATTCCTATTATGGGAAAACAACAATCCCCAATAATACCCTATTCGGTGGTAGCCCCTGCGGTATCGTCGCCAACAGTGCTATATTGAATGCTTGATTTAGTCTCTGGTAATCTAACAATATCTAACATAGCTATGAAGAATGGGCCGCTTGTAGATGGTTACCTACTAAACATCGTACTGATTGGTGATTTTCCATAGCAAACTGTTAAATTGCCAGAGGGTATATATTCATCCATCACTGTTGGTTGTTTTCCCATGATTTTCCCATGATTAACCACTATTAACTGCTATTATCTATTATTTTCCCATGATTTTCCCAAGTTTTACCCACGTTCGTTCATTAGTTGAACATCCCTTGAACTTCCCGTCGTCAAAGTCGTCAAAAGTCGTAGGGGTCATCCCGCCCGCTTCTTCGCCACGCCACGGTCCCCAATGCGAGAACTGGGACGACATCACCGCGCTACCTGAGGTCCTTCGCGCTGGAGAAAACCCTTGCAAAATGATCTGCAAATACTTTGGGGTTGAAATATATCTCGAAGTTTCCTGGTCTTCATGAGTTTTAGTATCTAAATGTATCTAATCAACTATCCTATGGTATTTCTAGGATTGAACTATCTAATCCTGTCAAGGTCAATAGACATGGAGATCTACTGGGAAGATCTCAAGTTTGGGAGCATAATTCAAGAATGTTTCGAGCCCACCCAGTGGCCAGCTGTGGTAAAAGGCAAGTTTTGCCGTGACATGCCGGGACTGACTCAGTTGGCGCGTCAATAAAGGACTGTTGCCTTCGGCTGATTTTTTTTAGTTGAGCTGTGTTCAAAACCCTCTGTTGACCCTTTATGCTGGTTGGTCAAGAACGGTTTTCCCAGGTAAAGGATTGCGATAACCCCAAGATATTGGATAGTACAACCCCATACACAGCAATGATACAATCATCAAACAACAGAGCTTTTGAACACTGCTCAGTTGTAACAAAGGATCATTCGATGCGGCCCAGGAAAGATTTTGCTTGTGGAAACTGGAAGATCTGTCACAAGCACCACTGTTCCACGGTGACTCGCGTCGCATTCAAAGTCACTCATCTGAGACATCAACTCTGGCACGCCTTGAAACCTGAGGATCTTCAGTTTGTAGGCAAGCAGCTCTGCAAGTATCTCGACACAGGCCTCATTGATTGACCCTTTGACTTTTGCAACTCCGCAACAAGACAAGCGCAGCTGCACATGGACCATCTGAGAGACCTCCTGGTGTTGGAGCCCCACGAACTCACCGGGCTCCTGCGCAATCTTTTTCATGAGATTTTGCAAGGATGTTAGGCCTTCCTGGGGATTCCAGTCCAATGACAGCAGTGCATGTGAGACTTCACTCCAACAAAATCTGGGTCGAACATCACACAGACAGAGGGAATTTTGCAATGCAGGAGCAAAGTTGCCTGGAAAGCCACCGCCGATGAGAGAGCAACCAATCACGGAACCACGGTCCCCTCTCTTTGGGAGTAGAATGGGTGTGGCTTCTGAGATCATCGAGGTGGCCGCAAAACGAGCAAGCTCCAGCCAATGTTGGCTAATATAGTGCTTGAGCGTTTTAAGTCCAGGGTCAAAATTCTGTAGCAGTGCCAGATTGAGATAGGTCCCCTGCTCGCCCAAGGAAGTCAGCTTCCCGAAAATCTGAACAAAATGCGGTGGACTATCTTCATGGATGGGCGATCCGCTCAGGACCTCATGCACCATACACTCGGCCTTGTCTGCAAGAACTGCCGGTGCTGATGCTGCTGTCCACCCCACCTGGAAATTTGGTGACCTCGGATCAAACCTGTCGCCCTGCATAGCTTCCAGGAATTTTCCAGTGTCTGGGAAGGTATAAAGCCAAGCTTCCAAATCCCCGTGCTTCATCACAATGGACGAAAAAGTGCCAAGCTGCCGTTGTAGGCCCAATGTCTTTGACGGCTCCTCCTCCGTGTAGAAGAGGACCCGGGACCAAGGACGACAGCGGAACATGGGTCCATGCGGATCACGGAGGACCCTCTCCAGATCCGCCAAACTTCCAGCTGGCAGCAGGAAGCTACAAACATCATCACCACTGAAAGAGGCAATAATGCTCACGGAAATATCGCCACCGCAATCAGGCGATAAAAAGGCAGTGAGCACTCTTGCCATGAGCTAAACACTGGTGAGAAACTAGACTTCTAGACTTGAGCCAAATATGATGCGGATGCATATCTTACAAAAACAAAACAAAGATCAGGATGAAGGCATATTCAATACATTTAAATATTACAACATCGGGATTGAAGCAAAATATTCCTGATGAACAATAGTTGTTTTGCTACCGAACCAAGTCATTGTTGGATTGACTATGACTCTATCAAGGAGAAATCTGTCCGACGTCGCCGCGTCCTCTGCGCAAACTTGCCCGGCAAGCCAATAGTACAGCGCCTCGTCCAGTGGTGTAATCCACCCAGTCTGACATCATATGGATCCGGTCTTCGATGTCAATTTGTTTTGCGAAATATATGCTGACTGACGTAAAAAAAATGGATGCTGGGAAGTGAGTTGTAGCATGGTCGTGATATCAAGTGTGTTCAATGGGTCCAATCGGAAGAACCATTCTAAGCGACTATCAAGCAGGTCCCTCTGTAGCATTCCACGGATCAAATGAGGGCCTGTTTGGTCAACCACAGAGATTAGTGAATCTCCTCGTTGCGGCCTTTCTTGCCAACTCACAACAAACTCATACCGCATAGCCTCCGGTCTCCCCTCCGGTCTCAAACGTGGCTGGAAAATCCACCATTTACTTCCGGGATTTCCCGACACCAGCATCACTGCCATCATTGGATTTCCCAACATTCTCGAACCATGCCTAAGTCACAGCCCAGTCTACAGCCCAGTCTACAGCCGCTGAGGCCAAAGACGTTGGGATTTCGAAGGTGAGGACAGTGGAATTTTCCACAGCGCCCGCCTGCATTTTTTTCGGACCAAGTGAGTCGCCACGAAAACCGGAGCAGCGGGCCATACGAAAGATTGATGTTATGGTTAGCTATGGGATATATCAGTAGTATATATGATATATATTGATATATCTATCACGTTTGGGATGAAATATCTTCTAACAAATCGCAGATAGCCTTTTTTGCGTTTATTCTGTGGATAGGCCCACAAAAGTGGCAACATCGATAATGAAAAACAATGAAGAACCCAATGGCTGGGCAGCTTTTGGATTCCAATCCGTCTCCTGTCACGCTTCAAGGGCCCCTCTTTAGGGGATTGATTGATATTTCTGATGTAAAGCCGCAGACTCAAAGTCAGGGCAATTCCGTTGATCTCGAATCCCAGATGAATCGGATGCATCGGATGAATCCGCGAGCGCTTCTTTCAAGGTCCACCGCTCCACCGCTCAACCGGAGTGCGGGATATGACCGGAGGTCACCGGAGGTAGGTCAACAGATCCGGTGGATCCGGCCCGAGATGGCCCAGACGACTTAGATCAGCTCTGGGCTGAGCTATTCATCAGCGAATTCACGTTTTTTTCATGAAGAAAAGCGAAGCATTTTGGACATTTTCGGACCATGGTTCGGACCATGGTTCTTTCATGTTCTTTCCACGAAGAAAAAAGATGAGGTCCTACTGGCCACAACGAAAATGAACGAAACCTGTACATTGATTGCTTCATTTGGGATCTCATCAAGCTCCTGACAAATCCCTAAAAATTATACAACAAATGTGTCAAATGGCTCAAAACGATTGACACAAATTTTGGGACAGTTCGATACTAGTGAGACCAGAACTGCTCAATGTTAGATATTGTCAATCCAACTTTTGTGGGTCCATTGTGTCCCGTTCACCCTACCAATACCCCAATACCAGCCGCCTCCATGCTTTGCAGCACACCCTGCTTCCTTTGCATCTCCTGGCGTTTCATTTTGGAAAATGCACAGGAAACGTTGAAGTTTTGTCCATTCTAGGCATCATTTATGTAGAGCAATGACCCAAAACCAAAGAATTCCACTACTCATTTGCTGCAAAGACCAAGTTCTGGGATCTCCCATTACCAACCCTAGGAGTTTTTGAGTTTTTCAGAAAAATCATGATGGAAATTCCCAGGGACTACCATGGGACCCCCAGTCACAGTGGAACTCCGGTTCCGCAACTCCGCATTAACAAACTAGTGTTTCCCCAAATATATGTTTCCAACAAGAAGCAAATACCTAAAACACAACAGATTTCTCAGCAAAAGTGACCAGTGAGCGGCGAAAGTATGAGGATATCTCGACATATCTCGACTACTGATTCTTTCTCTCCAAGTAGGAGCTCCGGCTAGGCACACTTTTTGGGAAATCGTTCCCGCAGCTTAATAAATGATTCTTGTGCAACAGGCACACCTTTCACCACCTACTGACACTGTAGCCTCCACGCTCCCCAAAAACTCATCAAACATGTTTGGATCTCTTGAAGAGATAGACATGGACTTGCCTTCTCTCTTGGCAGGGCTTCATTTTTGTATCGAAATCTATGGTCGTTACGGCTGAGTTTGAGAAACACATGGGTTTGTTGGATTATCATCATTTTTCATATTAAAATGGCCATTTGGTGGTATCCACCATGTTCAGACAACCCCAAATGTGTTTGAAGAGTGTTCAGGTTCCCTAGTGGTATCTTTTCACAGTAGAAGTTGGCAAAGTGCACGTTGGCCAAGCACCTTCATGCACCTTTCATGAACCCATTTTCGGGTTGGTAGGGTTTGCCATGGTCTGCTCTGGTGTGCTAGAAAATCTCACCTACCGATCCTAGTCAGCTTCCACAAAAATCAGCTCTGTCCTTTAAGGTCATCAGTGTTTTTTGGAAATGTCGAGTGGTGATCCACCTAGCTACAAAATGATCACCTGAGAATGATACACCACCAATCTGCTTGTGAAAATCCTCGTCTCACTTTCCCAGCCCTTCAAAATATTCCGCGGCATGCCGCACCTGCCCGAAGGACAAGTGGAAAGTGTCTCACCACTGACTTGCTCATAGACTCATAGATGCTGATTATATTATATTATGTTTATGTTATATCATGTTATATCATGATCATCATTCTTGCTCCTGAACTCATATTGCTAGCATCATAGTCGTACTATTGTCATAGTCATCATCATTGCTGCTATTGACCTTATTATCCTTATCATCCTTATCATCATTATCATCCTTATCATCCTTATCATCATTATAATATATTATAATCCTCGTTTTCCTTACTATCTATATCGTCCTCCTCCTCCTACTCCTCCTACTCCTCCTCCTCCTCATCATCATCAAATAGTTGATGTATCTGATACTCAGAAATATATTGATGTAATATGATCTATTCAATAGTCATAATTACAATAGTTATACATGTGTCATCATCTTCATCATCATTTTTGTCATCTTCGTCATCGTAAGATCCCCCATCTTTCTGCGCCCCGTCCTCCATGATGACACCTTGGAAGTCGTTCGGCACGTCAATGACCACTTCCTGAAAACAAGGAGCAACCGGTGCCTGTGATCCCCCCAAGATGGGTTGAATGGCCATTTTGATGGGTAAATCATTGGGATTGGTTTAGAAAACCAAGAGGAAGCCATTGTTTTGCCCATGAAATTTGGAGGTGTCCTGTAAATGTTCCCTTAAACCAGTCCAACGAGTAAATGATGACAACCCCCTCCCGCTGTTTGAAAGTTGAAACTCTGATTTCGTTACTTTCTCATTTCAATTTCACTCTCAAACATGACAGTCACGACATGTCAAGAGTCAAATGTCTCTTTTGGGCAAGCTGGCATCATGCACAGCTTGTGAGTCCATCACACCTGTCAGGTGGTTGTAATCTTAGGCTGATTTCCCTCATCGCGTGGGTCCTCGTAGGGTTCCTCTTGCTTTCCAGTGTCAGGATTTTCACCTCAAGTCACCACTTGTGACCTCTGAACTCTGTCAAAGCTCAAGGTGCTTCCACCTATGACTAGCCATCTGGGTGCCAGTGACCCTGGTCTTCATCCGAATTTCAGGCACCTCTTAACCAAAAATCGGTGGGCTCTGGGAGTGGGTCACTATATTTTTCTGGAGAAAAACATGGCATCCCACCGTGCTGGAGAAATTTACTCAAGTGTAAAAGCAAGCTGCTTTCTGCCAAGAAACAGTCCCAAATTGCCGGGTGATCGCATAAAGCACTTTGCACAATATATCTACTTAGACGTATAGATTTAGAAAATAAAGAATATATATATATATGAAGAGAATAAATATGCATACACATATACATATAACATACTATGTGTATACATATATATATATATATTATGTATATATATATATATTTATGAACACATATATATATACATATATATATAATTCTATAGCTATATAACATCTTACATACCGGTAAAGTTCCACAGCGTTCCCTATTTAAATCAGTTTTCCAGAACGCCCAGGGACGGAGCAAAACTTCGGGCGCGGAAACCATGAACTCAAAACCCTGCGCAGGTCCGGGGTAGGATTCGGGATAAAGATGGGGATACCTATGTGGATTTTGTGGTAAAAAACATCAAGTTTATCCATTCAAAAATAGGGTTATCATTTTTCATCCAACAAAAATGGTGGTGAATAATGATAACCCTATTTTTGATGGATAACCCATTTTGTTATTAACCAAATGGTGGATAACCCTATTCAAACCCAGTCCAATTGGATATGACTGGGGACATAATTGGTACATTCTCGATAAATTCCAACGACCTCCCTGCGACGTCACTGTTTTTTGACGGCTATGGTCCAGAATCCAGAAGTTTTTAGACGTCAGGGCACCAAGGTGTTTAATCCATGAAGTCAAATATGAATATACAATGCATTGGGCTAACTTATACAGGTAATTGTCATACAACTCGAAGCTCCAGCTAGGAGTTCAATTTTTCTGAGAGAACTCCTTCCAATTCCTTTCTACTTGGATTTGACATCATCCTGGATAAATGTCATGCTTCACCGAAAAATAAGGTGATCTTGTGATGGTCCTCCTTAAGACCCACATTAATGATGACGGCGTGGTGAAGTCGTTATAATTCAGTCAGGACATGTTTTTTCCAACCAAACAATTCGGAAAGACTTTGCCGGCCCCGATTCCGCACATGACATTGGCATCATTGCTGCAACTACAAAACCATAATGGGAACGATCCCTACGTTTGAACGACTGGCCAAGAGTTTGGAACTGCGTTGTGTGTGTGAGAGGGTGCCTATATACATCTATGTATACATTATGTATATATATATATACAATATATAAAATATATAAATACCTATGTATATGTATATGTATGTGTATGTGTATATGTATATGTATATATGTATATGTATATATGTATATATGTGTATATGTGTGTATGTGTGTATGTGTGTATGTGTGTGTGTATGTGTGTATGTGTGTATGTGTGTATGTGTGTATGTGTGTATGTGTGTATGTATGTATGTATGTATGTATGCATGTATGCATGTATGCATGTATGCATGTATGCATGTATGCATGTATGCATGTATGCATGTATGCATGTATGCATGTATGCATGTATGTGCATGTATGCATGTATGCATGTATGCATGTATGCATGTATGCATGTATGCATGTATGCATGTATGCATGTATGCATGTATGCATGTATGCATGTATGCATGTATGCATGTATGCATGTATGTATGTATATATATATATATTATTTATACATATGTGTGTAAAGTGTGTGTGTGCATGGAAATATTCAGAAACCACCAGTCACCGGGATCATCGCAGCAGTTTTCATCGAGACCATCGACGCCTCGCGGCGCATGTTCTCCATCAAAATGCCCAACCTCTGGGCAGGACATCCCACGATCCACTAGGATCCACTGGTTGGTGGTTGAGCCACCTACCCCTCTGAAAAATGATGGAGTGAGTGAAAGTCAGTTTGGATAATGACATTCCCAACTGAATGGAAAGCCATAAAATTCCACGGTTCCACACCAACAACCAGTCCATAAATGGTGGATTTTCCGTATGTCAGAAAAAAAAAGAAACAGTGTGCACGTTGCGACGCTGATCTCAGGGCGGATTTTGCGGTTCTGGCTCCATCGTTGGTACTTTCAAAGGGGATCATCATCCCATTTCTCTGCTTGAAAATATGACATGTATACAACCACAAACCAATCTGCAGTTTCATTATCCAGTTGTATCATGTTGTATCCTTACTCTTGGTTGGTACACCCATTGGTAAAAACCGCCGAGCAGTTTCATCTGAATCTCTTCTTTTGAGAAACACACCATCTTTCTGATTTCTGGCTGGAATATACTAATTTGCCAAGCTGAACATGTTCTCCATTGAGGATACTTTGTGAACCTAATCCAACTCTCCTCATTTCTAGTGACGTCCGAAAAAATCATCCCATCTATTGCGCGTGTTGCACCATGTTTAACCTACCATATGTTCATGCGATTTCGTGTTATACCACCCAAATGTACCGCCACACCCGGCGACATCTCCCTGCGGCCCTGCGGCTGCAAAGTGCCACGGCCCTTCACTTTGAAGCTCTCTGACCTGGCTTTTCGGGGCGGGCCAGTGAAACCATTGGAACGTCCTGTAGATATCACCTATGATATACCTATGATATCTAAATCATCTAATAATGGTTGATACTGATGAATAGTAAATGTTGTGTTGCAGGTATGCTTGATAACCTATGGTTTATAAATAGATACTGGTTGGTGGTTTCAACCAACCCCTCTGAAAAATATGATTTCGTCAGTTGGGACGATGACATTCCCAAGATATGGAAAAATAAAAATGTTCCAAACCACCAACCAGATCATCTATGATTTATACATGGATATCATGTCTATACAATATATCATTTCCATACTGGATTCTGCATTGCAATGGTAGACTACCAGAGGGCAGATGCACAAGAATGGGGAGTTGACCAAAACACAGGGAGTTGTACTCATAAAACATGAGGTATCAGTGCAGCAATTGACAACTGCAGTTGGCCGCAGCCACAAAGTTCAAGGTTGAATTAATTTCAGGACTGTATGATCAGTTTTTTGTTGGAAAACCTTGAACACACGTCATACATTGAAGGGTTTTCTAAACTCAACCATAAAAAGTGTTGAAGAAGCTTAAGATGTTTCATTTCGCGCATGGTTTTTTGCTTATCATTTTGGGGATAATCAAACGTCATGCGCGCTTGGTTTTTCCCTATTTATAGATGATCGTTTCCTTGGAAATTTCCCCAAAAATCCAATGGTGGATCATCATGTTCCTGTTTTAAATTGCCATACTGTATCTTCAAAAAAATTGATCAGAATATACGCTCTCAAATCGAAATATTTTTTGAAAACCAATGTTTGGGCAAGTTCAAACCAACCACAGCCCTTTAAACGAAACACGCCGGTCGCAACGTGCTCCCGCCATCCATTCGAATGGCCAAGTTGGTGAGGCATTCTTTCTCTAATCGCGCCTCGTGAGCTGTTTGGGTCGCATACCATTTTTCTTTGATGATCTTCCGATTCCTTCTACTTGGAGGAGGCTGTATAACAGAACATGTGTACATATATTCTTGGCCACTGTCTACTCTATCACATATTTCTCGGTCAAATAGTTACATAAATCATATATATATAATGTATACAGTTATTTATGCTAGAATTATAGCTGTATACCATATGTCATACTATGTCAACAAAATTTCATGACTATTTTCCGCGATAGAATAATCTACATAGTTAATTTGTTTTATAGTGTATAGACTATTTATACAATAGTTAGTATACTATTTAGCTATATATAGTCACTTATGCTAGAAAATTCTATATATAATATTATATAATGATTATAAAACATTATAAAACTATTTCATACAATTTCCATGAGAGAATAATAAAACTGGTTGGTGGCGTTAACCATCGAAAAATATGAGTTCGTCAATGGGAAGGATGACATCCCATATATTATGGAAAATAAAAGCCATGTTTGAAACCACCAACCAGATCATCTATGGTTTATAAATAGATATCATGTCTATCAAAAATCATCAACATCAGCAGCCCATTTGGCCAATTTCCATGATAGAATCATAAAATCTGGGTAAATTATAATAATTCACTAACCTGAATTAAGGCCATTTGGGGATGATTTCCCTAACTAACCATGATTTCCAGGGTTCGGTCGCGACGTGAGGTCGTTATAATTTACAGTCTACATGGCGTGCCCGCCTTGACCTGCGGAGCCGTCACCTTCGTGGACTCCTCCAGAAAGTCGACCGGGAAGGCAAGGGTAGAGAGTCCCTAGGGCAAAATTCGATGCAAAATGATTGGAAAATGATGGATGAACTATGATGAACTGAGGAAAGTTGGATACAAACATGGGATATGAATGGGAATATATATATATATTTAGATAGCTATTAGAAAATCCAAGAATATACGTGTTTAAAATAATACATCAACTCTGGTAATCTATGCCATGGAGAACGTTGGAAAACGGTCGGGGAATTTTCATAGGTAAATCATCTACTTGGGTCATTTTCCATGGTTAAATTCCCAGATTGGTTTTGGAAGATGTGCCTGACTGGTCAGTGCGGTTTTTGCGGTTTCTGCGTCACATTTTCAGGTGACACTAGACTAGTCAGTCATGGTCTAAACAACTCAACATGCACGGAAGATCTCTACACTTAGCCTGAAAGCCATAGCAAAACGCACGTCCACATACAACCAACAGAATGGTCTGATTTTAAAGAAGCAAAAACGAATTATCAAGATTAGAACCCATTGGAACATATCATGAAAAAAGTAAATAAGCATCTGTCAAAGCGGGTATGTTGAAACAAATTGCAGATTGCGACCAGTATTTACCCAGGCTCAAGTTGGAGACAAGCCAACTTGAACTGTCCAGTCATTGGTGATGATTAAAAATTTTACCAAGGTAGGGGATTCGAATGATTCGACCATGAAAGATGGTGAATTAAAACATGACTTACCCTCTGGTTATGTCAAAATAGCTATTGAAAATAACCATTGAAATAGTGAGTTTTCCCATTAAAAATGGTGATTTTCCATAGTTTATAGTGGATTTTCCATAGAAATAGTGAGTTTTCCCATTAAAAATGGTGATTTTCCATAGTTATTTTGACATAACCAGAGGGCAACTGATCTGTTCCTTCAACCTCGCGGCGAAGGGGGATTTGTTGATGGTAAACTCCATGGCCACAGTGGGTTCCTGACGCGGTTCGAACGCTGGGGAAAAATGCTGCTGAATTGCCAGGTACCATTTCCATAGCAAATCATTTTAGGGGTTACCCTCTGGTTATGTCAAAATAACTATGGAAAATCACCATTTTTCATGGGAAAACTCACTATTTCTATGGCCATTTTCAATAGCTATGTTAAATTACCAGAGGGTACTCAAGCAGAGCTTATAAATCCGGGGCTGACATTATCTGGCCAACCCATCCCATAAATGTTTGAAGATCCATCCAGATGCATTGAACTCTGTAGATATGTGTTGTTTGTGTTTCGCGGTGTTTGGTGCGCAGTCAACATGGTGGCACACCCAACAACGGTGACCCATCCCAATACGGGTATCTTGCGCCATCCTCAAAATCGGCAACCATACTTGGGGGGCAATTCCAGATACAAGTGGATATGTATATTAAATGTAATATATATATACATAATTATATATATTCCCCAAACAGTGTGGCCACACTTGGCGCTCTTACGGTAACTGTTAGGGCCGGGTGTTCGTTCGAGGTGTTCTCCGGGGTGTCCGGCAAATTTGGTGACCTTTATAGCACAAACACCGCCGGAAGTCCCGCATGAAGTGGTGTCCCGGAGACCTCTCGCACAACCCTCTCGTCACTTTGGGTCTCTGGGATCGCTCTCGTTGTGGTGCGGTGCGCATTGTCAGATCGCTCGCGCAACCCTCTGGTCACTTTGAGCCTCTCACATCACTCTAATTGTGACGTGGTGCTCATTTTGATTATGAAGGAGTTCTTGTGCAGAGATCTTGACAAGGAGGTCTTTTATAGAGAGCTTTCGCACAGATCTTGATAAAATATGTCTCGTCGAGAGCTTGTACACAGATCTTGCCAGGAGACCTTGCACAGAGACTTTTTGCAGAGATCTTGCCAAGAGAGCTCTTGCATAGAGATGTCTTACAAAGATCTTGTATAGAGATCTCAGATAGAGAGACCTTGTACAGACATCTTCTGCAGCATTCTGACATAGAGATCTCCGACAGAGATCTTGCTCAGGGATCTTCGACCTAGAGCTTGTACAGAGTGCTTGCCAAGAGACCCTAGGTGGAGATGCATAGAGATCCCTGGCAGAGAGACCTTGTACAGAGACCTTAGCTTTGAGCCACTGCTGTGTTGTCTCCTTTCCACCTTCCTCTTTAGAATCCCTGATGCCCACTGTTTGGGGTCTCTGGCCGGGATAACATATGTATATATATATATATTCAACTATACTTATGGGGGTTATATCCAACTCCCAACTTATGGGGAGTACTACCATGGTTATACACCTATAACTCACCTCAACGATCCTATCTACCTATTTACTTTCGTGGGCAAAGGTCTGGAACATGCCCAGCAGCATGATTTTTGGTTCCGGAAAACACAGGATGTGGACAGAAATTGGATGATCCCAGCTACATGTTGATAGGAAAAACATGGATAATGACAGTCAGATATTTCTTTGTTCACCAAAACTAGATGAAACTAGAGATTCTAAATGCCATAGTTCATATAGTTCATAGACATGAAAAAGCAAAAACCATCAAAAACGGTTAGATCTTTCATGATCTTTCCATATCTTTCCCAGATTTTGAAGTGAAAAAAATGGAACCTGATCATGGCCACACCTCCACCTCGATGGGAGGCAAGGCCATGGGCGTTTCAAGGTCCACCACGGTATCTCCGATCTTCACCTCCACGAGTTGCGAAATCAGTTGCTTCATTGTCATTAGGGTAATATATTATGGTAATACAGTGGAATATAGTGGAATATATTAGCAAATCTACCAAAAAAAACATGTGGTTCATATTAATTTGGTCAATATATGGTTAAATTTTGGCAAATCTGTTAAAAACTCCATTTGGTAGTTTGCAATAATGACTGGTAATTTGGGGAATATGAGCAAAACTACAAAAATTACCAAGGGTAGTGACAAAATTTTAAAGGAAAACCGAGTCAATGGTGGCTTTTGTTTTACCAAGGTTTGACGGTTGTTAAACGGTTATAGAAGATCCCAAACAAATAGAAAAGTAGAGTCAAATTCTGAAATAGCGGCAAATTACGTGTCTATCTTTCTTGCGATAAGTATAACGGTTGGTAAGGTGGTTGGTTTTTCTGGTCTGGGATTATGATTGGTTGATACTGGAAGACTATGATGGTTGGTTGCCAGGGATTCCCAGAATGAATCATAATAAGAATCCCTAATACTAGGGAGTACAACTTCCTGCAATCATCAACCAACTTGTTTTCTTGAGACTGCTCAAGATAAAAGAAGTTCGGTGAAAACGTTTTACCAAAACGGCACATACTGGCACGGTACTGGATTGATTTGTTACTAAGGATATACCATGTTTATCATCCGGCATGTGTATAAGTACAACGTGTAAGTGTATGTTAACCATAATGGAGGTTTGCTAAAACGGGGGGGTACCCCAAATCGTCCAATTTAAAAGGATTGTCCATTATAACCCATCCATTTGGGGGTACCCCCATTTTTGGAAACCTCCAAAAACGCCAGCTGGCCATGGCCGTGCCGATTGAAAAAACGCATGGCGAAACGCTAAACCGCCGTGCCTCGCCAATGCCAGAGAAGCAGCAGATGTCTCCAGCTTTGATCTGAGGAACTCACGGGAAACGAAGAGTTTGTCTGCTTGGTGGTTTCAACCAACCCCTCTGAAAAATGATGGACTGAAAGTCAATGGGAAGGATGACATCCCACATATAATCCACATATGAAATGGAAAATAAAAAATGTTCCAAACCACCAACCAGTTGTTTATTGACAGAATAAATAATATTGTTTTCCGTGTCATTTTCGAATTTTCCGGGGCTGGAAAGCTGAAAATCTCTGGTTTCGGTCTCAGATGTTGATCAACTTTTGTTCTGTCTGCGGGTCAAGTCATGTCATGACCACCGCTGGATGGTCCGCTACTTGCCATCCAGCAGTGATGGATTCTTGTCCCCTGAGTTTTACACGGCCATCCATGAGTTGCATGAAAATGTTCAGTTGCAAACATTCAATGAGTCATGGCCCATCATGGCTGTTCATAATTCCAGACTTGGATTGCCCAACTATTCAACTATTGTCCTAGCTGGGATTGTAACCACGCATCATCACGTCCTCAAACCTGCTCCTGCCATGGACTGAGTTCCCAGCCACGTCGGTTGGAACTCGGTCGTTGTTGTTGAACTGCCAGAGCTTGGTGACCTTGGTCGCCGGTCAGCTGATCTGCTGGCCATTGGGGTTTGAACCATCAAATGTCGACAGTATGTGATGCTTTCATTGGCTTTCAACCATTACCCTCAAACATACAACAAAACTATGGAAAATCACTATTTTTCGTGGGTAAATCAACTATTTCAATGGCCATGTTTAATAGCAAACTCTTAGTTTACCAGAGGGTAAAATCATGGAGATATCATTGATACATGATGATTGATCCAACTGAGCAGTGTCAAGCAAGATTGGGGTCATGGGGCCGCCCCTTCCCAGCTGGATCCCATACCCATGGGGTTCATCCCTCATCATTCTTCGTAAGGTTTGATCCCCATGTTTCTTATGTAGGTCGGTCCCGTCTAAGGAGAATCCCTTAAATGGTGATTTACCATGATTTACCTATGAATAGCATGGTGATTTTTACCAGTGGTTATATATGTATGTTTACCAGTGGTTTATTAATGGTTGATAATGGGTATAACTATGGTTGTTAAGGTTGTTAAGGTTGTTAACACCAACCCACGGCAAGTTCTTTTGCTGTACATATTTCGAGGCCTAGACGTTCCCCTTCCGAAGCTCTCCATCCTCACCATACTTGATGCCAACCTGGCGACGTTGCGTCATCCAATATGGCTGGCTAAGAATGGTAAACGTATGGGATAAAAAATGCGATTTTATGTGGACATACCCTCTGGTAATTTAACAGTTTGCTATTGAAAATGGCCGTTTATAGTGGATTCACCCGAAAATGGGATGTAATGATGGCTAGCTGGGTTTTCCCCACTACATGCAGATGTGTAGTGGGAAAATCGGAAATTCACATCGAGCCATATTTGGTGGGGTTCAACCCCCCATGTTTGATTATTGGAGGGTAGTCTTCCTATTTGGGGCTTCAGACTGGACTTTGGAATTGGGTATGGTGAACCTATTAGCTGGTTTTGGATTGGTTTCTTCTATAATGGGATAAATACCTATAATGGCCATCTATAGTGGATTCCCCACTACTGTACATACCACTTCCTATTTGATGGCTTTTGGAATTGGCTATGGAACGTGGTCTTCTCTATTTTGTCGTGTCTTCTCGTTACATGTTTTTGGGAAGATCCCGAAATCTCATCAGAAAATCAGAAGTTCCCCGTGAAAAAAGTGCCATTTGGGTTCCAGACAAACCCATTGGAGTATAGTCTACATTGTCTACATCATCATCCCAAAAAGTTGATGCTTTGATAATAAAACTGGCCAGTTTTCAGAGTCCATTGATACCAAAAATTCTGACCCATTCCTATGTGAAATGGCCAGTTCTGTGGGGCGTTCCATGGTGGATGTTGGGGTGGACTGTTGATGGATGGCGTGGAGAATCATACTACTGTTCATCAACAGAAATGGTGAAAAGCTGCCATTATCACAGAGAATATGGTGTGTTTGAAGGGCGGAAATTTCTGCTGCGTGCATGCACCCTTATCTTTGGGTGAAGCCGAATGGGTGTATACGCCTAGTACATCACCTTAAACTGCCAAAACAAATAGTTTTTTGACAAACCACACTTGAAGATCGTTTGAAAAACATATATCTTTTGAACTTGGGTATTGAACTTTGGTATACTTGGGTATCCTTTTTTGGCTTGACATGTCTTTACAATGGACCTTGTTGCCTTTTGGCACGCCCTGGCTTTATCTGCTGGCTTTATCCTCCAAGGACTCCACACCTCCTGACCCACTTTCAAGTCTCCAGAGATCAAACGACCGATGCAAATGCGCCTGGGCGACAGCCCAGTAGAACTTGTGACGATTGTGGGATGGGGGTGTCTCCATTGGTATATAAATCATAATTATAGTAATCCCCAAATAGACGGAAAAGTGAATCACCATCAAATTAGTAGGGATTTACTTTTCCATCTATTTGGGGATGACTATATATATATAATATTATATAGGCCCTATCAAAAAAAGAGTCATAGGACCATAGGACCATAGGACCATATTGTCATAGAAGTAATGTAGCTACATTACCCCGTGATCATGTCATATCATGTGTCCATGGTGTTGTTTTACCATGGAAACCCTACAAGTTGGGAGGACTGGGGTGCCCCAAATCGGCCTGGAGCTGTAGGACTGGGGGTATGAAATCTGAATAGCAACCTCCATAAGTTGGGCATAGTCACCATGGTCCAACTAAATGGTTAAATATGGTTAAATATGGTGAAAAATAACCATAGTTGTGACATTATGAATAGCCACTTAAAAAGTGGAACTGCAGCCTAAACCCTAAACAACCACTATCACCCATTCCAACTATTATTGGGCGATGAAGCCTCTAAGCATCATCCGCACAGAGGAATCTCTGCATCGTAGTGGATCTATTCTTTTCTGAGGCCCCTTGGTTAAGGAGTTTCCTATAGTTTCCTGTGGCTCGGACATGGGATCAGTCCACAATCCACTTGAAACATGCTTCAACTAGCTAATGTAAAGCCTAATATAGTATAGTAATGTATAGTAGTGTGTATTTAAAATGTATTTAATGTGTATTTAATGTGTATTTAATGTGTATTTAATGTGTATGACGTATCATTTCTGCTAAAAAAACATCCCGAGATCGGTGGAATCTCCCCATTCAAAACTCCACCCTGGACTCCCTGACCCCACGTAGTCATCGTAGTCCAAGTTCGACACCTCAGCTGGTGGGGTTTCCAATGGGAAAATCCAAGCGGAAAGATACGCTGAACTGGTGACATGGGTGACATGAACAGCCACAAAATGCATCAAAATGCCAAAAAAGAACATGTGATTCATGTTGATTATTGTTGATTTATATTGATTTATAATTTAGATTGATTTAATTGATATGATATGGGTTCCAACATGTTGCGGCGTGGGGTCAACATGGGTCAACTCAAAAACTGGCAGGAAACTCAGAACCAGCCAGGACTGGGGTCATCACTTTACATCATCCCAATAGGAGTGTACCAAATATTTCATAAAGCCCATTTGGGAATGGTTTATGAAATTGGCTTTACCATTGTATAACAATGATATTCCGAAATTCCCATTAAATAGCCAGTATTAACAAGTTTTACGGTGACTACGGCATTGGCTTTACCACAATATTGACCATGCCTCCTTGGCCCTCAATGATCAGCCGATCAGCCATTGAGAAAGGCACAAAACTGGGAGACTTTCCTGGTTTCTATGGCATCAACCCGAGAAATATGGGTCGTTTATCGGATCATCATCCCGGTTTTAGGGTGGAAAATGACCAAATCTTCGCACCAAGCAGTAGAAATCATGGTCCTCCTATCATTTCACCAGGATTTTTCCCAAGGAATTACCCTTTGGTTATGACTAACATAGCGAACTGGAAAATGGTCCATCTATGGATGATTTACCGATATTTACCTATTAAGAATGGTGATTTTCCATGGCGCCATGTTAAATAATCAGAGGGTATGTAGTAATACACCAGATTTACCCAGGAAAAAAACCTGAAAGCCCACTATTAGATGAACCAACTAGATCCTGTTCAGCAAAACCTTCACCCGGCAATAAGCTGGTTATGAATCTTCTGACAATTATATCAGTCATGATTTATATTCTACTTTTTCATCTATCAACTTTGATGATTCCACCTATAGATACCATCCATTTACATCCCTTTACCCTCTGGGAAACGTCTACATAACTATGGAAAATCCACCATGCATTTTTCATGGGTAGTCATCCACTATTTCGACTGGGCCATGTTCAATATAAATCACATTAAATCAACCATGTCCTTCCATGGCTTTTCCCACCATTTACCAGAGGCTACATCCCTAAAAATTCACCAAGACTTCCGTTTTTTCGTGTCCGTTGAGTCCGGACGGGGTCGGTTGAGTTCCAGACCAACATCTGAAGAGGTGCCGAGTTGTCGATCTTTGGACAAGGGGTCTCCTGACGAGCAGCGTGGGACACCCAAAACACGTGGCGTGGGACGTCCTGGTCACCAGGATAGCTGCTGTAACATTATTTATGTAAGTGTAGTAATGAATATTTCCCATAATGAATCACTATATAACTATTAAAAACCATATATTTGCTAAGCACCAAAAACATCATGAGATTAATATAACCAACAATGGGTGTGTATTCACCAACAATGGGGAAAATAATTGTCATGGTGCATTATGGCACTCTTTTCATGGTTCCCGATTTTCATGGAAAGTCTGGAGGTTCTTCCAACCATTTGCGGCTATCATCGCGATTCTTTTCCGGGGACGTAACGTGGATATCATGGGGATATGACACATATACACATCACAAACTATAGTAACTCACTAAGTTCAAAGGACATTTAGAGATAAATAACCTTTACTAACCTTTACTAACCTTTACTAACCATTCATCCAGATCAACTCGGAGCAGGCATCACCCGCCTCCAGGATCGTATCCAGCAAAGGCGTCAAGTCCTGGTTTTCAGTGGATCCCCCATGGTTTCCCCTGGTGGAACGTGGAGATGTTGATGGGAAAAAACATGGGGAAAACCATGGGGAAAACCATGGGAAAACCATGGGAAAACCATGGGAAAACCATGGGAAAACCATGGGAAAACCATGGGAAACCAAGATTTATCACCAAAGATTTATCCATGTGGATTGTATGATTGTGATGTATGCTGATGATTGCGACGATATGGCGACGATGTCCCGGTGGGAACTTGAGCCACGGTAAAACTGCGTAACACTGCTTACAAAAAAAAAAAATGATGGAGGGGTAGTTAACTGTGAAGTTTCATATGATTGGCGATTCCAGCCCCTGCCAATACCTTGCCATTTGGCAAGAGGGACTTCAGTTAGCCCAAGCTAGCTTTGCTGATTCAGCAGTTTTTAAGTTTTTAACCACCGTAAAGCCGATAATTCTGGTGTATTAAACCTTCAGTAACTTACAGTCACTTACGTCAGATCAAAGGTCTAGTCGGTCCATTCCAAGATATTCCAAGCATCCCCATCTACCAATGTCCCAGTCTTCCAATGTCCGGCCTTTTCCAATGAGTCTGGACCTTCCTGGGAACGGTCCAGGCAGATCTGGTGGACTTGGGCAAAAAGAGCTAGGTGATGGGATGATTACTTCATCTGAATTGTACATTTTCTAATATGATAATGTAGTATTGATTCTACCTATCTAATCTAATCTAATCCTATCTTATCTTATCTTATCCAATCCAATACGTCCGTCTGTCTATCTATCTATGTGTTTGATAATTCTCTACATATACCGTCATGTTTGGTGAGCTCGTTGTGAGGTCGCTATAAGTCATACAGAGGTGATGATGCTTCTCATCCGTTGTGAAAAATGCTGGGTGAGATCCTGGAGAAATAGGGATGGAACTTCCAACCATGACGATATGATGAGTATAATATGAGTATAATCCATGGTTGGTATACCTCTTATACTTCCAGAAATACCATGATGATATGATGTGGATATATTTACAGATATATTTACAGATATACGTCTTATCAAGTGTAATCCACCAAGCGTGGGAATAAATTAAATTGAGGTTCGCTATCTTTTTGAGTGAACGACCACGCCTAGATCACATGCTCTGTCTTATGACAGGGAGGAGTATCATATCTCTGCAAGGATTCCTCGGTACGAGAAAAGAACCTGGGGAACGTTGGAAAATGCCCTTGAGTCGCAATGTTTCAAATCTCATCATTCGTGGCAACGCTTAAATAACCTGGACATCTGATTCTCCATGGGTTTTGCCCATCCCATTCTCGCAGTGTTCAATTTTGCCTGGTTGATTCTCCAGGATTCCCCTAGTGGATGATACTCCCCTGCATATTGAAAAGTATAACCTCATATTTACCCTCTGGTAAATTAACATAGACCCTGGCAGTCATCGGGGTTGGAAGACTAGTTTCCATTAAAAATTGGTGATAAAATCAGGGTCTATGTTAATTTACTGGAGGGTATCACTTATACCTAGATCCCCATATTCTGATAGCGGCTAAAAGCCTTATTCAATGACGATAAATCATCCACCGTGCCCTGGGAAGTCCCCACGTTGGATGCGACGCCCTGGAAACCAGAAGCATAGACCTTAGACTCTTAGCCAAAGCCACGATGGCTGTGGAATGATGTTATGTGTATATCATATCATATTATATCATATATCATATATTATCATATTATCTTATATTACATTACATTGCCCTCTGGTAAACTAACATAGCAATGGAAAATCACCATTTTTAATGGGAAAATCCACTATAAATGGCCATTTTCAATAGCTATGTTAAATTACCAGAGGGTAAATTATATTACATTGCAAAAACATTATACATATATACATACACATCATCATGATATGGAGCAACACCCTGGAACATGCAAGAGTCATTTGGGGAATATCCAAAAATGGTTTGGGGAAAACCCCCAAAAAATGACTCACAACAATCATCATATTGCCCGGCTTAGTACAGTGGGGATATCCCAGATGAAAAATGTTGGGATTCTATTGAACCTGGATCGACATGATGTTTTCCTTGCATATCCTGAGATGGAAATGGTCGGTTCATTGCTGAACCTCACAAAAACTCCATTCAAGACAGGCACTGGAAGTGTGCGGGGGCAAGTTCCATATATGAAAACCCGTAAAACGTGTTGGGGGTCAGAATATCTTTAGAACAATCATTGCGTTGTTTTTGTTTTTCTGGGATTTATTTACAGGAACATTGGCAAAACACTGTTTTTTTCTGATTAATCTATCCACTAGGTATCCACTGAATATCCTCCATGTTGTAATCTATGATACTTTATGTTCCCACATTTCACTCATATACTCAGGGGTCGCAAGACATCCCCTTGGTGTGACTGCTAGCAACAGCAACATTTCTTCGACATTTCTTCTATCCAAACTCGGTAAATTCCCAACCTTTCACTTCCTGAAACCATCTTCAAGCCGTCCTAGAGCACCCAAGACATTCTGTTCCCTCCTTGCCCTAGACATATTCCCAGTAAAAACCTGATAGTCATAGTTTCCAGCCAATTCCAGCTATGGCTTTTTTATCCCCCCAAGTTTGGCCTTGTATGGGCTGACCCGCGGACTCACCGCTGCCGTGGCACCACGGGAAAGTCGCAGGCTTCGTCGTCCGCACCGAGGCAGCCGAAGAGATCGAAGGTGGTATCCAAGACCTTGGAATCGCAGCTGAGGCAGTGTAACCACCGTCATGATCATATGAAGGCCCAATATGAAACCCCAGATGTTTTTTTTTCGATAATTTTATATGGATTCAAAATATTTCAAAATGGGAGAATGGGAGAATCATGGAATATATAATAGTTAATGACAGTTAATGGCATTTGGGTGAATGGTTAAACGACTTTTCACCATCAAATCCGTGCTGGTGCTTAGTACGAAATGGGGAGAATGATCCATAATAACCATTGACAAGCACCAAGCAGATTTTGGGATTCTAATTTCTGGTTCCCGTGAATAAAAGACAACAACAGCTCCATTCTTCCCAGACAGTTTTACCCATGCAGGCGTCCGACCCAATCCACTCGGGAGGCAGGCTTGTCAACCTTGCTCGCATGGCGCTGATGGGGGAAGGGAACGATTTTCCTGAAGTTTTACAAGCCTTCAGCATGCCAATTATGGGTGCTCAACAACGGGGCCACAAATATTGTGACCGAGTAATTCCGAAGGCGCCACATCCAGGGATCCACAGGAGCAAAAGCAGTGCAGGGGGTCAAAGGGCAGGAGACAAAAGAGCACAAAAGCAAAAAATAAGCTACAGGACCTGTTGCCCCGTTATATAGCCATTCTGGCTGAAATGCAAAGTTTGAAGGTTCGACTCCTCCCAGGTCTGCTTTCTTCGCTTCTTTGTTCTTTCTTCTTGCCTCTGTTCTCCTTTTTTGTTCGTCGTTTGCCTTCTTCTTTCCTTGGTGGCCCTTGCTTCCTGATGTCCCTTTCAGGAAATGATCGCCTTGGATTGTTAGATCCTTCCGGCCTCAAAAGAAATTTAGAGCCAGGCCTTGTTGATGCAAACGATGATCTTCTTCTTCAACTTCAAGGCTTGCCTTTTCCAGGGATGGTGGAGCTATAAGAACATGCGACAAGGTCTGAGAATGGCTGGGTCTGTGGCATGTTGATCTTTAGTATGGCTATTTTCGTCAAAACCCTGTCACCCCGGTGGTAACCTAAAATAGCTGGTGAATGGATCATCATTCCCCCACATGTGGTAATTTCATAGGTTTTGACACATCCCCAGCTGTGTCGACAACTGCCTCTGAAAACGACGAATCGTGACGTTTGCTCGAACTGTTTTAGGGTATCAGATCAATCCCGGTTCCTGGCCAAGCCCAAACACCAAGCCTCAACACGAACTTGGTTTGAGGCATTGGTCCTTCCTGAATGGCTGAGAGCCACGAGAGCCACAAGGCCGACTTCGCTCGACCAAATTCATCAGTTCCAATTTAAGCTGTGTCCAAAAATATTGGGAAGACCGAAAAGAATCTAGCCTGGTTCATGACAATGGTCCTTTATGTGCCTATTAAAATAGCAATTTTGCATAAGTTTGGGATTAATTCCCCGTTTAGGCAAGGTCGAAATCACATCTCTGGAGAGGTCTGAGACTCAAAAGGGGTTCTGATCTTCGGGTGATGCCAATGTCCACAGTTGGATTTGTTTTTTTGGTGCCACCAACTTGGTGGTTTGTTGATCCCTTGCTAAGTAAAAGCTACGGATTTCTTTGTGGATTGTATGATAAATCAATCTCCCCAAATCCAGCCCAGAACCGCAGTAGTGATGTGCTTATCTGGGCTGGTTGTGGGCCAAAACCATTGGGTGCCCTGGTCAGCGGGCCGCCATAGTTGATTCATCCATGAAGATGGTCGACATCGACACTGACACTGCGCAGTGTCTGAACATATATGGCCATTGAAATAGTTGATTTACATTGATTTACCCATTCAAAATGGTGATGTTCCATAGTTTTTTGATGTTTTGTTGTGTGTTCACCAGAGGGTAACCCATTCCATGCCACAAAGTTCGATACATCCTTCACGACCCATGGGCGACCGTGCCGCTGCATCCACTAGCAGGAGGCAGGCATCCGCCTCGGCAGCATGGCCATGCAGATTGCTTGGATGGTTTGCGCAGCATGGTGCGTTAAACACGCAACGGGAATTTGTCGGGAATGATCCCACTAAATCACTAGTAACAATATGTATATATATAATATGTAATGTCATCATCCCAGCAACCCCCAGCAACCCATCCATTCCCTGCGTGTTTAACGCACCAGTAAGTTTGGGACTAACTTTCAGAATTAGGAACCCCCTCCCAACAAAAAAAAAAACTTACCCCCGCAAGAAGTTAGGCTCTATGTTTGCAGGTGGTTAACCACTACCAACAGCTGCGAATGGGGCGTATTCAACCCCGATTGTTGGGAAAGTTGCCCTTGAACTTCCGCGAATCCTGAGCCACAATAGTGATGTCATAGCATTGTTAGAATGGGGTTACAAGGGGATGTAGCAAACAAGGGCCCTCCAAGATGTTCACAAGTTCCTTGAAGCTTCGGCAACGAAACAATTGGCCTTTGAAGCCATCTTGCGATGATATTCATAGTCTTTCCATGTATTTTCCCTCTGACATAATTCCCATGTGTGTCTATATACTAATTTGAAGGTTTCCTAGAATGGGGGTACCCCCAAATCATCTGATTTTTTTATTTTCCATGAAATCATCCAGCTATTGGAGGTACCTCCTTGTGGCCTCCAAGGGACCATATTCAGAATACGTTCCACCTCCGCGCCAAAGTCGGCGTGCCCGGGCGTGTCCACAATGTTGATCTGGCACCATTTTTGCAGTCACCGATTCTCAAAACGTGAAGCGGGATTCATGGTGGATAGAATGGGATATGATTAGAGATTACAATATTACCATTCTATGATATAATGGGATAATATGGTTATATTCATGATAGAATATCACCGAATAGTAATATGTTAAAAAAAAAAAGCACAAACGGCATTACTGTGTGATAATCCACTTATAAATATAGCCATTATAATGATAGTTGTAATCATTGTGATAATATTATGATCATTTATGATATATTACCCTCTGGTAATTTAACATAGCTATTGAAACTGACCATTTATAGTGGATTTTCCCATTGAAAATGGTGATTTTCCATCGTTATGTCAGTTTACCAGAGGGTAGATGGTCTATGATGACTATGATGGTCTGATTTACCGAAAAGCGCCATTTTCCAGCTGGTCCTGCGTCCGAAAATCAAACAATACCCTGACATCCTTCCAAAGAAGGATGTATTCCAAATCATCTCACAACAAATATCTCAAGAACTTCAGTAGCCACATCCGACATGGCTGTGTCTGCAATTGTGCTACAATCCCCCAAAAAGACTATGAAAAATATCATTGAATAGGGGCAACATGGTGACAATCCAGGTTCAGTCGTGTTTTGTCGTGAGAATCCATCGGAATTGAAGGAAAGTCCTGTTTTAGGGAAACCCGGCAATCACCTTTGGCGATGCCTGACTTTCTGAGGATCTGGCCTTTGGAGACTCGGAAAAAGTACATATATATATATATTATATATACATACATATATATATATGTATACATACATATATATATATATATGTTTTTGGAAGTTCTCAAAAAGAAAAAGACTCAACCCGAGAATCCTCCGGAGCTGAATGGAAAGTCGCCCTTTGCTCATGCCGCCACGGCCACAGCGGCTCCGCAGTTTCCACAGAACTTGCCGCCGACCGGGAGCCCATGACCACCTGAGCTGAGGTCGGCAGTCGAGTTGAGGAACAATCGCCAAAGAGTGAGGCACCAGTCAACCCCAAATAGCCAAAAGAATCCAAAAGAGTACTTATGTTTTTCTTCAGCCAGGTTCGATGCACCGCACTGCATGGGGGAGTGGACATTTTTCCCCTATCATTCGGATCCCAGCTGGGTACGGGTCACTGATTCTCTCATTTTCAGTGTTGGCCGTCTGGTTGTGATGGGTACCCGGGTACCCAATTCCGATGCCCCCTATGAGCAAGCAACACTCTTGTCAGGGCTTGGCCAATTAGTTTGGTCCATGCAGAGTGTGAAAGTCATTCGTCATTCCAATGAACCATCCACTGACCAGTGCAAATGACATGGTCAATGGATGTCAATGGCTTATCTGGGCCAGTACACCCCCTGCTGGCCCATCTTTCTTTAGCTGGTTAGGATGAGTATGGGAGGATCCCCCCACTTCGCAACTGGAAACCATAGTTACAATATGGAGCCCCCAAACGATTAGGTTTACAACTCCAGTATGGTGTGTGATACTTATAACTATAGCTGATGGGGGTTATGAACCAACTTGCAACTGGGGGCCCTGACATTGTACCATATGTGACAACCCCACTTAGGTGACTTCTGCTCACACGACTTACTAACCACTAAGTGAGCCATGAAACATACCCTGATCCCATCTCACTATATGGTTGCTTAATGAGTTATAATCATCGCCAACAAACCAGGAAGGATCATAATCCACATATATCCACATGTCATAACCCATCAACAAGGGTGTCATCACCCATCCAACCCTACCACAAGGTGGTGCCGCCGAGATAAGTTGCTTTAGTCTCACCCCACTCGATACATCTAGCATAAACCCTAGTGAAATTCGAGTTCACCATATTTTTGCTGGCGAAAATCCCTTTAAAATCTTAAGAAATCCCATGAAATTCCCATGAAACTCCTCTTTTTTGGGTACCATCTTGCACCATCTCCGGCCCCCACGGCCCCCACGGCCCCGGGCTCATCGCTGGTATCACCACGCCACACTGCGTGCAGAACGCCGGCGCCCCGCTCTGATTCGCCGCCGGCGCTGCTGCGGCGGGCTCCACCACGCTTGCCTCAACCACCTGGAGCATTTTGAGGATGGCCATAGCTAAATCTGAAGAAAATAGAGATTTTTATTTAATTTGAAAAAATACTTACAATAATTTGTTGTAATACTAGAAAGAAAATTATACTGTTGGATCTTTTTTGGGGTTACTGTACAAATTGCGTCGATAGAAGATATGTGTCCAGACATGTATACTGTATACAGATACATATTGATTGAGTGATTGATTGACAGGCAGACTGCCAATATATGTCTAATATACCCTTTGGATACCAGATTTTCATGAAAAAAGGTCTAAGGTGTGGTATAGCGGGTCAATGAATTTATAAGAATGGATGGCAACTTTTTTCCAGATCGACAGCAATCATGTTGGGGGAACGAGAACGAAACAAAACAAGTCAATGGGGAGGAGAAATATTCTGGATTGGGGGTGATGCATACAATCTATTCATATAGTATCTACTAGATTGGCTATAAGATTCAAACACAATATCCAAATTCTGTCAACATACCTAAATTATCTCCTGTTAAAAAGATACAAGTTGGCTTTATATAACCAGACGGTCAAGCAGAGGTTTCTATGCTTCATCATTCCAGTGGTTTGACTTTACAGGTGTTTTGAACCCACCAGGTACCCATTCTGCTTACCGGTGACCCTCTGGTCAATACAGAATCCCCCAGGACATCTAGATGATTTATGATGATTTGCCTGTGACTTGAATGACTTGAATGAGGAACTTCCAGTTTGGTCGAGTCATTTTGTGCTACCTCAAAATTGGACAGCAATTGGTACTTAAGAACGTGCCAAAAAAGTGTGTATCTTTGACCGGTACCCATTTATGCAGTGTAGTAGGCAGAATGTAACAACACAAATTGTGCAATACAGTACCGGTCAACTAGAATGCTATGGCAAGATAAAACCGTGCGTCTGGCATACTTTCAAAAAGAGACATGCAAGCGGTTCGATGCACTGCTTTTTCAACCCCTGCATTCTATTGGTACTATTGAAAGATACTGCATAAAATTCACTTAGTACTCCAAGGCCTCTTGCTTCGCCATAGAAGCACTGCGCCTACGGCTGTCATCTCTACCCTGGTGACTACACCTGGCCATGGCTCAACATCGGCTCTCTCCGAAATTTACAGGGCAGAAACTCTGGGCGCTCGGAGTCGCCGTTGAACTTTGCCCCGGCCACGTGTAGACCCCACGGCCCCACGCCCCGGAAATTCTATCAGTTTTCCATTCCAAATAAGTCTCACCATTGCTGTAGCAAATCTTACCTTTTTTCCTCAGCTGTTGGTGTCGCGGATGCTGCTTTCATTCTGGTCTTGTATCAATGGGCCACAGTAAGCCCCATCCACAAATTCTTTGAGAGTATCTGTTCTACAGTGTTTGACACATTCCGTGTATATAATCCCTGCCTGATGAGGCGTCGCCACGACAGACTTTGTCATGCGTTTCGAGTAGTGATGGCCAAAGCAGATCAACAAATATCAACATGAAGAGAATATGACGCAAAGCTCGTGCGGCCAAAGTTACTGCATGTGTGCATGTGAATGCCAGCGAAAACACAGTGCGGCCACGATTATCTATCTCCAGAGTGACCAAGAATGGTTCTTCTTCCATGCCAACCAGGTTCTTTTTCACAGTTGGGTCAACTCGGTCAACTGAATTATATATATATATATAATCAATCATGGGATAATCAGTTGGGCCAACCAACTCAGTCAAATCATGGGATATAGATATAGATGCTAGCCCCCCCCCTAAGATCTACTCTTGATGCTCTTCTGGAGACGTACATGGTCAAACTCAATGAATTTAAATGGAAATTCTATTTAATTCATTAAATTCATTTAATTAATTTAATGAATTAAATGAATTAAAAAGAAAACCTATTTATAAAATTCATTAAATTCATTTAATTCATTGAATTAATTTAATGAATTAAATGAATTAAAAAGAAAACCTATTTATAAAATTCATTAAATTCATTTAATTCATTGAATTAATGTAATGAATTAAATGAATTAAATGAATTAAATGGAAAATCTATTTAATCCACTTAATTCATTTAATTAATTTAATTCATTTAATTAGTTTAATGAATTAAATGAATTGAATGATTTAGATAGATTAAATGGAAAACTGTTGCTGGAATCTGAGGGCCCTAGGAATTAAATGAATTAAAGGAATTAAATGGAAAATCTATTTAATTCATTAAATTCATGAAATTAATTTTATGAATTAAATGAATTAAATGGAACATCTATTTAATTCATTTAACTCATTTAACTAGTTTTATGAATTAAATGAATTAAATGAATTAAATAAATTAGATGGGATACTGTTTCTGGAATCTGGGGACCCCAGGAACTAAATGAATTCAATGAATTGAATGGAAAATCTATTTAATTCATTAAATTCATTTAATTAGTTAAATGAATTAAATGAATTAAATAGAAAACCTATTTAATTCAATAAATTCATTTAATTCATGTCATTAATTTAATGAATTAAATGTATTACATGGAAAATCTATTTAATTCATTTAATTAAATAAATTAAATGGAAAACTGTTGCTGGAATCTAAGGGCCCCAGGAATTAAATGAATTAAATGAATTAAATGGAAAATATATTTAATTCATTTAATTCATTAAAGTAATAAAATGAATTAAATGAATTAAATGGAAAATCTATTTGATTCATTAAATTCATGAAATTAATTTAATGAATTTAGTGAATTAAATGGAAAATCTATTTAATTCATTTAATTCATTTAATTAGTTTAATGAATTAAATGAATTAAATGAATTAAATAAATTAAATGGAAAACTGCTGCTGGAATCTGAGGGCCCCAGGAATTAAATGAATTAAATAAATTAAATGGAAAATATCTTGAATTCATTTAATTCATTTAACTAATGTCATGAATTAAATGAATTAAATGGAAAATATATTTAATTCATTTAATTCATTGAATTAGTTTTACGAATTGAATGTTTTAGAAAATTTTAATTCAATGGAAAACTGTTTCTGGAATCTGGGGACCCCAGGAATAAAATGAATTAAATGAATTGAATGGAAAATATATTTAATTCATTAAATTCATTTAATTGATTTAATGAAATGAATTAAATGAATTAAATGAATCAAATAAATTAAATAAATTAAATGGAAAACTGTTTCTGGAATCGGGGGACCCCAGGAATTGAATGAATTAAAATGAATTAAATGGAAAGCTGTTTAATTCATTTATTTCAAATAATTCATTTGATTACTTTCATGAATTAAATGAATTAAATGGAAAATCTATTTAATTCATTAAACTCATTTAATTCATTTAATTAGTTTAATGAATTTAATGAATTAAATGAATTAAATAAATTAAATGGAAAATCAATTTAATTCATTTAATTCATTGAACTGATTAAATGAATTAAACGGAAAATCTATTTAATTCATTAAATTCATTAAATTCTTGAATTTAATGGAATGTTACTTCATTTAATTCATTAAACTAATTAAATGAATTAAATAAATTAGATGGAAAACTGCTTCTGGAATCTGGGGACCCCAGGAACTAAATGAATTCAATGAATTAAATGGAAAATCTATTTAATTCATTAAATTCATTTAATTGATTTAATGAAATGAATTAAATGAATTAAATAGAAAACCTATTTAATTCAATAAATTCATTTAATTCATTTCATTAATTTAATGAGTTAAATGAATTACATGGAAAATCTATTTAATTCATTTAATTAGTTTAATGAATTAAATAAATTAAATGGAAAACTGTTGCTGGAATCTGAGGGCCCCAGGAAGTAAATGAATTAAATGGAAAATCTATTTAATTCATTTAATTCATTGAATTAGCTTTATGAATTGAATGTTTTAGAAAATTTTAATTCAATGGAAAACTGTTTCTGGAATCTGGGGACCCCAGGAATAAAATGAATTAAATGAATTGAATGGAAAATATATTTAATTCATTAAATTCATTTAATTGATTTAATGAAATGAATTAAATGAATTAAATGAATCAAATAAATTAAATAAATTAAATGGAAAACTGTTTCTGGAATCGGGGGACCCCAGGAATTGAATGAATTAAAATGAATTAAATGGAAAGCTGTTTAATTCATTTAATTCAAATAATTCATTTGGTTAATTTCATGAATTAAATGAAGTAAATGGAAAATCTATTTAATTCATTAAACTCATTTAATTCATTTAATTAGTTTAATGAATTAAATGAATTAAATGGAAAACTGTTGCTGGAATCTGAGGGCCCCAGGAAGTAAATAAATTAAATGGAAAATCAATTTAATTCATTTAATTCGTTAAACTAATTAAATGAATCAAATGGAAAATCGTTTTAATTCATTAAATTCATTTAATTAGTTGAATGTTAATTCATTTAATTCATTAAACTAATTAAATGAATTAAATGGAAAATCTATTTAATTCATTAAATTCATTAAATTCGATGAATTAAATGAATTAAATGGACAATCTATTTCATTCATGTAATTAGTTTACTGAAGCTAACGATTTTCCATTGAATGAAAGCCAGAAAGGGAACAACTCATAGACCCTATTATACCCTCTATTTGCTTTCTGGATATTTCATAGCTAGCTCCTCAGCTGTCTTACTTTATACTTAGAGTTTTCTTGATTTGGGTTGAATCTTAGGAAATACAAAATAACCAAGACCTCGAGAAAACCAAAAAAAAACAAAAAAACAAAACTTTTCAGAGAATGTTTGGTCTGAGGCTCATGTTTGTTTTTTTTTGGGTTTTGCCTGAGTTTTTTATTTTTTTTGGTCTTGACCTTGAAAAAACTAAAAAATTCAAGGTTTTTTTGTTTTTTGGATAAAATGATGTTTAAAGAAGTGTGAAAAACCAAAAAAACTCAAGGTTTTTTTTGGTTTTTCATTGCGCAGCCAAAAAGAAACTAAAGCCACAAACACCCAAAAACCCAAAAAAAACTTGAGCTTTTTGATTTTTAACAATTCTTTAACCATCATTTTATCCAAAAAAAACAAAACACATTGAGTTTTTTAGTTTTTTCAAGGTCAAGACCAAAAAAAACAAAAAAAACTAGGCAAAACCAAAAATAACCAAACATGAGCCTCAGACCAAACATTCTCTGAAAAGTTTTGGTTTTTTGTTTTTTTGGTTTTCTCGAGGTTTTTTTGATTTTGTCGATGTTTTTTTGTTTTTTTGGGTTTTCCCCATGGATTCTCTCCAAAAGAGTCGTCAAATATTGTTTTTTTGTTTCCAACTTGTTTTGATAGTGTGCACAGCTACTACCCACAAGACATCTTAAGAAATAACTGACTCTTATACATATATGCACATAAATATATTATATATACATATATACATGTAGAGACAATATATCAAAATGCTCTGAGGTAGATCTCGGGGGGGGTACCATATAGATATATAATTAATTAATTAATTAATTAATTAATCAATTAATTAATTAATTAATCAATTAATTAATTAATTAAATAAATAATTAGTTATATTCCCCATTACATCAACATATCAGTTGATAAATCCCTACAGGGCGAGGCCCCCCAGTTGCAAGTTGGATTACCCGCGCCGAACTGACCCTGCGCTATCCAATGAAGGCACCTGCGCTTGGGCCACTGGCATTGCTTGGGCCTGACCGGCCTGACCCCCCATCATTTGTGCAAGGGCGTCAGCTCTCATCTGCTGCATCTGACGGGGCTGCGCTGGAAATGATTTATGTATACTATATATACATGCATAAACGTATTGTATGTACGTATGTGTATATGCATGTGTATGTGCATGTACGTTTATATATACATATATATATACACACATATATACATATATATATATTATACAATATCTACAATATATGTATGTATATATATATAATATGCATATATGTATATGCCTACGGGTTGAAAACCGAACCAGCGTTTTGCATGTTTCTATGTCTTTCATGGGGTTAACGGGGTAGGGTGGGGTGGGGTGGGGTAATAACGTTCATTTGCACTTCCTCACATATATGATGCAACGCTGCTGTACGTCTTTTTGCACTTCCTCACATACATGATGCAACTCCACTGTATGTCGTCTTGCACTTCCTCACATATATGATGCAACGCTGCTGTACGTCTTTTTGCACTTCCTCACATACATGATGCAACTCCACTGTATGTCGTCTTGCACTTCCTCACATATATGATGCAACGCTGCTGTACGTCTTTTTGCACTTCCTCACATACATGATGCAACTCCACCGTATGTCGTCTTGCACTTCCTCACATGCATGATGCTACGCTACTGTACGTCGTCTTGCACTTCCTCACATATATGATGCTACGCTACTGTACGTCGTCTTGCAATTCCTCACATGCATGATGCTACGCTACTGTACGTCGTCTTGCACTTCCTCACATATATGATGCTACGCTACTGTACGTCGTCTTGCACTTCCTCACATATATGATGCTACGCTAGTGTACGTCGTCTTGCACTTCCTCACATACATGATGCAACGCTACTGTATGTCGTCTTGCACTTCCTCACATCTATGATGCTACGTTATTGTACGTCGTCTTGCACTTCCTCACATATATGATGCTACGCTAGTCTACGTCGTCTTGCACATCCTCAAATATATGATGCTACGCTAGTGTACGTGCTTGGCAGTGGAGATGGGAAAACAGTTCCCACAAAAACCTCTCCAAGCTCACTGCAGAAATTGTGAAGAACACTTAGCGCAGCAAAAAAGAGAGTGCCGCTGAGGTGTCTTACGTATCCAGTGAAAAGTACGCGCGTACTTTTTAAGGAAATTGAACTTTGAGAGAGATGCAAAACCACTGTGATTTGTGGAATGAAATCAATGACGAACACTGCAAACGTTGAAAACGCGGGTTCGATAAACAACCCGCCGGGATGTATATCGATGTGTATGTCTGTGTAGTGTGTGTGTGTGTGTAGTGCAATGTAGCGCAATGTAGTGCAATGTAGTGCAATGTAGTGCAATGTAGTGCAATGTAGTGCAATGTAGTGCAATGTAGTGCAATGCAATACTAATAAAGTATCGTTCGGTTCACTTCAAATGGAGAGAATGTGTCCGGCGATTCGCACCTGATTAGAGATGGATCTATAACTCCATTCTCAGATATTGATACCCAAAGCACTGCCTGGAATGGTTGGGAATCAGAACTTTTCGCATTTTTCACCACCAACATTGAAAATAGTGCGAGAGCTGCACGGTTGACCTGCAAGTTCAGAGATGTGAACACTGAATATAACCAGCTTCTATGAAGCCGGACATGTTCATCAGATCTAAATGATCTAAGCAAAAGTTGAACATCAGAATCATCAGAATATGTGAAACGCCAAAGCTCCACAAAGATCACGGCTCCAGTTCCAAAATTTCCAATTCGCGAATATCTCAAAAGTGTTCAAAAAGACTCTGTCGAAAAACTCCAAGCATTCCCCTCCCGTCGCCTGGGGGTTTTGCAACACCTGCTGGTGAGCATTTTGCAATACGGCTTGATATGCCGGATCCTGCATGTACCGATCCATCTTTTTCACTGAGCGATCTATTGCCGCCGCTTGCATACCTTGGGCTCAAGTGATGCTTTTTTGGGTGGTAAACCATGTGGGGCAGTTATAACATATCAATGTGAGTGATTTATTGCTTAAGATTGATTATTGTGATAAATATGGATAAATCGGGTGTTATCGCTATAGTGCCATCTAACGCCCCTTTTACATTCATTTACCCAATATTCGGATTGTGGGTATCAAAAAGCATCCCCCATTTACGATGGCTGTGCATCTGGATGGTGTTTTTTTCCAAACAGAACTGGCTGGATTCTGTTGCCATCCTGTTGCCATCCCCACATGGTATATATCAAAAAAAAAAACACAAATCCCACTCCAGGATGCTCCCAAACGAGCCCAAAAAAACTAATCAGCAGGGAACGGGCAGAAGTGCAACCCATGGCAGCACTGGTGGCAGCGTCGCTGAAGCCGTTCAAACTGAGTGCTGAAGCCAAAATGAATCTGCTGCATGGCTAAATTCAAACATAGCGACAATACCCCAAAATCTGGATGGTAGATAGACCTCCGTGGCCTTAAAATTGAGCACCATGAAGGGAAAGAAACGTCTCTGAACCAGCCTCAGATCATCTGTTTTTCAAAGTCAAATCATGTATGTATGTATATATATATATATATTATGTTTCAGCATCACAAAATCAAATCATCTACAAAAATCAGATCATGTAGCCTCCCCTTGTTGGTTACCTGCAAGAAAAGCCTGGTGGATTGTGTTGGATCTGACCTTGATGCCCTTGTAGCTGACTGCTGCATTCTTTGCCAGGATGGTAATGCCTCGCTCCTGCCCACCAGGACAAAACCATGTTCAATAGTGTAAAAAGTGGGTTCTGGCATTTTCTGAAAGGCTTAAACCAACAGAAAGATATTGTCGATCTTGACTGTAAGATCATGTTTTTTTGGGGGGCAAATACTTGGATTCTCTTGGAGACTGCGGAGTTTCGAAACCGTGAAGGGAGGTTCTCTGAAGACCCAGGGTACCACCGAATCGAGCTCTGGGTTTTCAAGAACTTTGAGGCGCACCCTACTGAAAAATGTGTTTCTTCGTTTCAAGCCTCTAATGAAGAAATAAGCCACTCGCAATCTTTCCACTGTGGCAAATGGACACGGGCCTCATGGTGGGATTCTGCAGATTCCCTAGATGGTTGTTGTACTCCTAAACCCATGCCCTCACATAGTAAGTGTTGATAACCCATTGGCCCTGCTTTCAAACCAAGAGAAGGGCTCCAGTCGTTTCACCCGAAAAAAAAACGGCCGTCTTCCCCAAAAACGTTGTCACACTTCGTAGACACCAAATGCTGCTGTGGGATTGGGCCAACAACCCCAGCTGCGACCTGTTCCAACTGGTCGCTATCCATAGATTTGACCTTCTCCAATCCACACCTAAGTGCCCCTCTCCGAGAGGTTTTCATTGCAGTCTTAAGGATAGTCTTGGTTGATGCTAAGCGTGGAAAACCTCACATCCTTGACATCTCTTGACCCTGTTTGAATACCCTCTGTTAAACTGACATAACTATGGAAAGTCACCATTTTAATGGGTAAATCCACTATAAATGGACATTTTCAATAGCTATGTTAAATTACCAGCGGGTATGTTCCATCCCGTCTTTTGCTGCTAGAATCACCACGTCTTGATCTCAACACATTCGGGTGGCGGAACTCGGGAACTGGTCAGCAAGTTGGTAGCGACAAATGGATTGGTCAAAACCTGTTACCCTCTGGTAAACTGTCACATAGCTATTGAAAATGGCAATTTATAGTTGATTTACCCATTGAAAATGGTGATTTTCCATAGTTATGTTAGTTTACCAGAGGGTACATCTATCCTATTTGAGGAGGATAAATATCCATGTGCCACCATTTATCAGCTATTTGAAGTTCACCGGGGTACCAAGGTTTTGACCAAGTTGCCATAAACCTCAGTTGCTACTGTACCCTCTGGTAAACATACAAAAAACTTTTGAAATCACCATTTTCAATGGGTAAATCAACTATTTCTATGGCCATTTTCAATACTTATGTTCGTTTACCACAGGGTAACCATTTACAACATCAGTTAGATATCCCAAGAACCCTCTCGATGCGCTCCAAGCTGCTGTTTCATCAGCGCGTTCGTCAGGGTGGTCCTTATGAAAATGATGGGAATGAACCCTGGGGGGTTGGGAGCCCCAAATCGAGAGTTATCTGTCAATAGATGTACAGTACACAGCCACAGAGACACATAGGATTCTCATGGATTCTCCTCTTGTGCAACAACTGATTGCATCCGTAACCATGGTCCTATATAATTATATAATATCTATATCATCATAACTATATATATGTAATTGTGTATATATATATATAATTGTATATATAAATGTATATATATATATATATACATATATATAATTGTATATATAAATCATTGTATATATATATGTGTGTATATTTTATTGTGTATATATATATATATATGTATATATAATTGTATATATATCATTGTATATATATAATTGTATATATATAATTGTATATATATGTATATATAATTGTATATATATATATATTGTATGCAGTGTATATAGATATATATATATAATTGTATGTGTATATATATATAGATATGCTCAGCCTCCCATGATCTACCCCAAGGGTTCCCAATGAAGGTGTTACCTTATCTTTCCCCATGGCCCGCCTTTGACAACTATGCAAGACCCTTTTGGTGCTCTCTGCTCATGAAAAGGTTGGTGTCACTTTGGAGATGCAGAAATAGACATTGGCAAGATGGGAAGAAACAAGTGTTCAAAGCATGTGATTTGCAGAAAAATGTTGTTACAAGAAAACGCTGCTTACAGGTTACAATCTGCCTTGAAGACAACATATTCCCTCAAATAAGAAACACTACTCTTGCAAGAAAACTATCATGCATGGAAGGATGCAATACAGGCTTTAATGAAGCTCATCCTTCCTCTCACTTCTCTTGTATGACCATGGTTTTCTGTTTTTTGATGAAGTAGAGGAAACAGAGTAAGAATAATGCGTTGATCAAACATATCTAAAATACAATGACTATACCTCTACTGTAACCTCAATATATCTTTAATATACCATTCTATTGACTATGAAAATATCTTCAAGATACCTTTATATAATATGTGTTTTTAATACAATGCAATACACCTTCAATGTTTTATATGCAATCTAATATACCTTTAGTATACCTTTATATAAATACAATTGTATTAGCCATGTTCTTGCCTCTAATATACCTTTAGGATACCTTTAATATCCCTGTGATGTAACTTTTGAATGCCATCTAATACATCTATCCTATACCTGGAATATACAATTTAATATACCTTTAGTATATCATTTGATATACCTAGAGTCTACCTTTGATATACCATTCACTTGACATTGAAAATAACTTTAGCATGCCTTGACGATACCTTCAATACATATACCTTCAATATACCAGCTAATTTACCAATTAATATACCTTTAGTATACCATTTAACAAAACATGAGAATACCTTGAATATAAACAGGTAGAGAGAGAGTTCGCTATCAGTGTAATCACCAGCATACATTAACTATTGTACCTTTTAGTTCTATGGCATTTTCAGCACCCACACACCCACAACCAAAGAACAGAAGTATCCTCAATTCAGAAAATAGATAGGCAACTATAGATATCTATCAGAACAACACAAATCACAAAAAAAGATGTACACACAAACAAACACATAAACTGTTAACTCTCGCCTCAGTTAAACCATTATTTTACTAGTAATCGATAATTTAAGTCATTTGAATTCGATACTCATTTAAATCAATTTACTATCCTATGCTCAGTATACTTAAAGGGATTTCTATCATAGGTGGAATTATAATACTATAGATCTTAACACTATTATATATGCTGATCACTAATATATTAATGAATAATGACATTAGGGATCACTAGTAGTACTTATAGTAGTAGTGGAAGTGTTGGAATTAGTAGAGGTGTAGGAACTGATGTTGTCTTGGAAATAGGATCAATAATCCTAGTAGCCCATACCTTTTTCGTCACTTTACACTATTATGAGAGAGGATAAGAAAGCGGAGGATACAGATAAACATAAGTGAAGCAGTTGAGACATGCGAAATGAAATCTTAAGAGAGGTAGACACTCAGGCAGTTCTCTTATGACTCAATATAGAACGTAATGATCTGTAGACTTTGCAAGGTAAGCGAAAATTACATTGGCTGTCGAAATAAGTATCCAATCACTTGGGCACACTAGAGGGAACAAGGATATGTTTAAGTGTGTATGTGTATATTGTTACTACACGTGTGAAAAGAGAGATAAATGTTGCTATATACTAAAATAGCCGTAAAGAGAACAAACACTTCCATCTTTTATTTTATCCATCAAATCTTATAGTGCTTGTAGATCAGTACAAGCATCTCAAGCTGTAAATGGAAGTGCGGCTTCAACAGATGCCTTCAAATCATTTTTGAATACGAGTTCAGATACATCTTCTTCGGCATTATCAAGTTTAACTTTATAAGGTACAAATGCACATGAACTAAAATTTGCAGCTGAGAATAACATTTCTCTAAAGGGAGAGAAAGATGAATAACTATACACACCTCACCCACGATATTACTTTCACTCTCTCTCTCTCTCTCACTCACTCACTCTCTCTCTCTCTCTCTGTGTAAAAAAATAGAGTAAATGATAAAACAACTGAAGGAGTACACTCAACAATAAAAGTAATCTACCAAGTAGTAGATATATGTTTAATATAATATACCTTTAACATACCTTTAATATATCTTTAAGATCTTTTCATAATCCTCTTGAAATACTGTTGATAGACCATGTCATATGCGTTGAGTGTATCATTTAATATACCATGAATATACCTTTTGTTTTTTCAATATCGCTTCAATATACAAGTTCATTGACCATGAAAACATGTTTTGATTATTAATATACCTTCCATATACCTTTGAAATGCAATCTAATACACCTTGACAATACCATTTAATATACCTTTAATATACCGTCTCATATAACATGCGTATACCCTGAATATACCTGTATTGATGCTTTAATATACTTGTAATATACCTTTAGCATATTGCATACGCATAGGCTAAGAAAGCTTTCTTATTTAAGCAATTATGTGCTCTTTCAAAGGGACCTCACACGTTTGTTTGCATTTTCTAAGGAATGCTGCGCCCATGAAAGAGTCTTGTAAACCATGCTAGTTTAACGCAATGTTCCATTTTCTCATACTTTTCGTAATCGAATAATGCAAAGAGTGATGCTGCGCTACTACATGTGTTTAAGAATACAACACACATCAAAAGAGTGCTGCGTCCATTCAAAGGCCAAGGCAAAACTTGTTCAAAGTACTACTACATCTATCCCTTGGAAAGAAATAGTACAATCTTTAAAAAATGTTCCACCATTTTATGCAATATGCCCGATACTCTTTCAAAAGAGTACTGCATCCATTTAAGGACTTTCTTTGCAGGTAAGACTCTTTCAAAGTACTACAACTGCATCTATTGATGCATTTTACTACACAGAAACAATACATTCTTTTACAACATGCCCCACTGGCCTCAACTACTTTAACGCAATTTGTCTGGCGCTCTTTGAATCAAATACTGCATCCAATGAAGGACTTTCTTTACAGGTAAGATTCTTTCAAAGTCCTGCAGCATCTATTAAAGCATTCTGTTACAAAGCAATGTTACATGTTCTCAAAGAAATACCCCACCATTCCCCCCAAAGTATCCAAAAGTGTCAGTTTCCAGGTACTTATATACTTTGTTTGAATATGTCAAACCTAGACAGGAATATGTATGTACGAATCCAAGATTCCAAGATTTCAAGATTCCATGATTTGCACAGAAGTTGCTAGAGATAGAGCAGGAAAGCGTTGCAACAACTAATTTTCAAGTGCATTATCATCACATTATCATCACAGCAAATCCTATGCCAAGCTTAGTCTCACATAGTGCACAAGCTCTTGGGTGAGAAAATGTGAGAAACGTTGGTCAAAGTTTGACTTCCCAGGACCGATAAGGTAAGCAAACATAAGGACACAGATGGCAATCATGTGAAATAATAGACAAAACAAAAAAAACAAAGAACTCGAGCAAAAACCAAAAAAATGAGAGAATGTTTGGTTTTGACCCAAAAGATGTTTTTTTTGGTGTTCCCTCGGTCGTTTGTTGTTTTTTGGTTTTGAAATGGAAAACCCAAAAAAGAACCTTGGGTTTGTTTGGTTTTCTGAATGGATATGATCAATCAAGATATCAAAAAACAAAAGAACTCATGGTTTCTTTGTTTTTTGAGACTGTTCAATGCAGAAAACCAAACCTAAAATGCTGAAAACCCCCAAAAAATGATATTTTGATTGATCATATCCGTTCAAAAAAATAAAAAACAATGTTTTTTGGGGGTTTTTCCATGTCAAAACAAAAAACACAAAAAAAACTAGGGAAAACAAAAAAACATTTTGAGTCAACAGCAAACATGCTCTCAAAAGTGGTGTGTTTTTAGTTTTTTGGTTTTGCTTGAGTTTTTTTTAAGTTTTCCAGGATTTGTTTGCTTTTCTGGATGTGGCCCAAGACAAGTATGGTTGTAGGCATTATTGGCTGCATGAAAGAGTGAAGCAAATGATAGGGTGAAGCAGGCCAGGGGCGAAGTGGTCAGACAAAAGCTTTAAATCAGTCGTTGCCATTGAACAAGAACGCATTAGATATTAAAATTACAACCCAGATATATTGAAACATCCAAGTGCAGAAACCTGCACCCCATGAGCGCCGCTTCTGTGAGTTATTGGTTTTCCGGTTATGTTTTATCGAAGGAAGTTTAGAAGTCAAACTTCTGACAGTATGGACAGATGAAAAGCAGAGATGGGAAGAGCCAGAGAAGAGAAGAGAAGAGAAGAGAAGAAGAAAGAAGGAAGAAGGAAGAAAGAAGAAAGAAGAAAGAAGAAACAAGACGAGAAAGTCTCAGAAGAAAGAAGATCCAGGTGCGCGAAAAGGTAGCAAAGTCGCGAAACACTGTGTTTTTCTGATGATTTGTGGCTCCGGAGGGTCGAAAAATTGGGCTCGCTAAAGTGGCGGGTGCGGAGCCATGTGGCCAGATGAGAGATGAAAAATTGCACGCCCTTGTGGCACGAAACGCGTTTCCAAGTCAAAATGTACAAAACACACCATGCTCGGACCACTTTTGGAAGTTGAGATGTCGAAAAAGTGCACGCCATTGTGGGGCAAAGCACATTTCCAAGTCGAAATGTACAAAGCACATCACGGTCGGAGCACTTTTGCAAGTTGTCGAAAATCTGCACGCCGTTGTGGCACGAAGCACATTTCCAAGTCAAAATGTACAAAACACACCAGGGTCGGAGCACTTTTGGCAGATGAGATGTCGAAAAAGTGCACGCCCTTGTGGCGCGAAGCACATTTCGAAGTCAAAAGTGTTAAAAACTTAAGGGGTCGGAGCACTTTAGGACGTTCAGATGTGGTTTTGCGTGGCCGGCGCAAGGTATTGTGCACCTTGTCAAAAGTGAGCAAAACGTGAGGATTTTCTATGATTTCCAAAAACGATGGCAGGCGTGGGACAGTTGAAGAGGATCTGGAAAGATGCAGTTTCCGTGGCAGGGGCAATACAAGAGACATGTTCATTAGAGATCATTAGAGATGTTAGGAGGTCAGGGCACTGATTCCTGAGATGGGTTGCATTTTGGAGCATCAGATCTTCAGTTTCGGGAAGATGATTTTATGTGACAGGTGCAGCACGTTGTATGACCTGGCATCACTTTTTCGTGGCAAGCACAATACTTCAGACATATGGGCTGGAAAAATTGCAAAACGCATCGGTACGAGGCCGTCAGCTCTCATTCAACTTTCCATTATTGAAGGGAGTCTCGCAGAACTGCTTCGTTTTTGATGTTGCCAACTTCGAAAATTCAGGAATTCTCGCAGGATTTCTTCGTTTTTGATGTTGCCAACATCACAAATTGAGGAAGTCTCGCAGAAATGCTTCCTTTTTGACGTTATCAAGTTCAACAGTTGGGGAAGTCTCGCAGAATTGCTTCGTTTTCAAGCTTGCAGATTGCAAATAGACAGACAGACAGACAAACAGACAGACAGACAGACAGATAGATAGATAGATAGACAACTACAACTACAACTACCACTACACTACACTACAACTACAACTACGAATACAAGTAAACTACGCTACATTACACCACAATACACTACACTAATTGCACCACACCACAACTACAACTGCAACTGCAACTGCAACTACACTACACTTATTGCACATTACAACTACAACTCCACTACGCCACACTACAACTACAGCTACAACTGCACTACACCACACAACATCAAGCAGTTGTGGGTCAGGTGACCACTGCAACCATTGCAACCACTCCAAAAAACACAACTTCAACCACCTTTCGGTCCATCAGTGGATTCGCTCTGCCATCCGTGATTCACAACAACGAACCTCTCCTATAGGTTCCCTATTTTTGAAACTTCCGCCACCGCCTTGTGCGGTACTACTGGTATGCAAAAAAACATGTTATTTCCATAAACGGTAAAATGCTTCTAGGTAGATCATGGGGGGGACCATATATATATATTATATTATTAATAAATATAATAATAATAATTGGTAATAATACACAATATAATTAATATATTACATAATAACTTTCAAACTGGACTATCCAACAAGAAAACAGTTGATGAGTGCTTCATCCCAGCAGCTTCCCGTGATCCACGTGCGCAATGATGGCGATGTTGCGGATGTCCTGCGTCGCCGTTTTGTGGCTAGTTCTATGGTCAAACTAAGGACATTTTATGGATCTTATGGTAGTTTTGTTTAATGGTTACCCTAATTATATGATAGTTTTATAGTCTAGTTTTGCTTCGGATATTTGACATTATTTGACCATCTAAGCGATGGAAACTGGATGAACACGGCCGATTTAAGGTGCGATGATTTACCTATAATTTGCCTAGAAATGGTGACTACGATAGCTGTGTTCAATTTCCAGAGGGTATATTATACAATATAAAAGGAACAAATATTTAGCCAATGCCCAGAAGCTGGTTAAAGTCTTGGTGGTTTCGGGCAAGGTATGCCCACGTCAAACCAGCAGCTTGGACCAAAAGTAAACTAACTATGCCCAACGCGGGTTCCACTGACCAAAACCTGTCAGCATTCAAAATCCAGAAACCCTTGAAAACCTAATTGGTGGTTTCAATCCGTCTCAAACATATATGCGGCATTAGGGCTCATCATTCTTAGGGTGGCATGGGGTATGTTACTGCTAGAGGTCTTTTTGACCATATATACACCCTAAGGGAACCCCATTTAAAAAAAAGCCCAAAAGATACCAAAGTAAGCTAACAAAAACTCATTGAAAACCTATGGGGTTTAGTGGGGAACGTTGGGTTTTGTTTGTTTTTGTTTTAGTTGTTTTAGGTGTTATTTGGTTTTTTGATGTGGGTGCAGCCAATTTTTGGGAATTTGTTGTGTTTTTGTTAGCTTTTCTTAGGTTTTATATATTGGGTTTGTGCTGCTGGTGCAGCCCATTCTTGGGAACTTGTTGGGACTTGTTTGGGAATCAGTTGGGGATCCCTTGGATGTGCTTGGCCCATTTTCGGGAATTATTTAGGTTTTTGTGGGAATTAGCTAGGTTTTTGTGGGGATAAGTTAGTTTTTGTTGGTGGTTCAGTGGGATTATTTGAGAACCTTTTGGGTTTCTCCTGGGTTTTGACTGGGAATCCATTGGGCCTAGAAAAGGCTAAAAGGCTCTTAGCAAAAACCTACTGCATGCCGGCCGATGAATCATCCCAAATATGGTTGAAAACAAAGTTGAACCTAAAGAAACTGAAAACTACAAAAAAATGCTGTGAAAGTTGCTGTGACCTAAGGGTCAAAGACCCTGAGATTCGGATAAACTTTGCCGCACATCTGCCCCATCCTGAAGTAACCATTCACAGTCCTGTCTCCAGCCTACGTTGAGATGCGTGAATCGGGAACTGGATGTGGTCAACCACCCCAATACTCCACCAAGTTCCACCAGGAGTGCGAGTCTCCCTTTTCACAGCGTCGATCTGCGGCACCAAAAAAGGCACCCGGACGCACCTAAAGCTCTGCGAGCTGGTCTCGGATCTTGGTGCTTTCACCACCAGCACGTTATTTGCCCCATGTCACTAGCGAGCCATCTGCCAAAATCACGGCAAAAGAACGAAGTGTGCCCTGAAACACCTGTACGTTTCTAAGCTGACCTTGGACTTTGGAGCTGTCACCATGTTGGGCGCCCCAGGTTGCTACGGATCCATCTGCGAGAATCGCAGCAAAGGCAGTACCTGCAGGCTGAATCCCCTGGACGTTTCTAAGCCGATCTTGGACTTGAGAGCTGTCACCTCCAGAGCATTCATTGCCCCAGGTAGCCACTGATCCATCTGCCAGGAGTGCAGCGAAGGCATATCGACTGGCATGGACAGAAAGCACCTTGCTGAGCCGGTCTTGGACTGCAGAGCTGTCGCCGCCATCAGTTGGGTGTCCCCAAGTAACAAGTGACCCATCTTTCCGGATCGCAGCGCAACGGATGTAGCCTCGAGCCGCTGTACATTTTGAAGCTGACCCTGGACTTCCTGTCACCACCGGAGGGGGGGGGTCACCCCAGGTAACCACTGAACCATCTGCCAGGACCTTACAGTAGCAGCTCCAGCACGCAGCGCGGCGCAACGCTGAGTGCTAGCACGCAGGTTCGTCACGCAGTGGGTTTTTAGCATTGTGATATATTATGTAAATGCATTTAACTACATCCGGGAAAAAAAACATCCATACAAATTTTAGACCTTAAAGGGCTAGTAAATCGCAAGTTCGAAACGCATTGGGTTTTCTTATCCTATTCATACCTCGGTGCATTTACTTTTCTGTGAAAAAAGCATCCGGTAAGGTGCGAACTTCTGCCTGACATCCGGATGCATTTTGCGCTTCCCAAAAATAACATCTGAGGTTTCCCCGTTTCCTCCAAAAGGGTAAATTCTTTCACGGTGTTGAAAAAATCAACGCCACTTGGAGGTACTCGTGTGGCTCTCGTGAATGTGATGAGTATCTCATGATATCTCGCGCTTATCATCACTCCAATGCATTTTTCCTATTCCAATAAAAGCCTCCACTATCTAAATCAAGATATTTACTAGGATGCACACCCGGAAAAATTCATTGGAGTGAGTGCTGAGCTCGCGAGTGCTGGCACGCGAGTGCTGGCACGCGAGTGCTGAGTGCCAGCACGCGAGTGACGAAACAGCTAAGGCCAGGACAGCTGCGAATGCACGACCTGTGGCTTGAACCTGCACGACGCTCTTCAGCTGATGCTTTACAAGGGAGCTGTCGCCACCTGCCTCTGGATCGCCCCACGTGACCACAGAGCCATCGCTCAGGATCCCTGGGCGTTCCATGTGGCTTCAACTTTCTGCACGCTCCTAAGTTGGTCTTGGACTGCAGAGATGTTACCACCACACTATGGGTCACCTGGTACCCTTGACCTGCTGTACACTCTTCAGCTGATCTTGGACCGCGGAACTGTCGCCACCCCTTGGGTTGCCCCAGGTGACCACCGAACCATCGGCCAAAATCGCGGCGAATGCACCGTCGATGGCATCGCCCCATGTGATTACCCTGTCACCTCCACAGCACCACAGCGCAAAGGCACCTCGGTTGCAGCCAGCTGTGCTTCTTGTGGAACGACTGTGAGGTGGTCTCCATCTTGAATCCCAGCGTCTGCCAAAGATTCCGCAGGAGTTACGACATGGCCTGCTGCTGTCACCAGCCTTAGGAAGCCCTTCCCAAGAGATTTCCGTGCCAGAATCTTCAAGTCCCCAGCTCGACAGGACTGCGGCACTGAGAAGTTCTCACTGTGACCACTGGGCAAAGCTACATTTATTTGAAGCATTTCAAAAAAGACCAAGCCCCCGAAAATGAAGCGCAAGGGTCTGGAGCCAAATGTCATCGCAACTTCTGGTCGAACCTGCTGAAGGATTTGTCCGGAGCAGATTGCATAGGAACGAACGGATCCAAGTGAATCGACAATGGCAAATCAATAAAGCAGATAGACCGATCAAGACTCAAAGATCTAATCTGAATTCTCGAAGACACGTCTGAAGACAAAGTAGGTCGGAATGCTTGAGAAACGGAATCTGGTCCTTTAATGTTCTTTAATTTCAGGATATCCCATAAAAGACAAACTCACAAAACGAGGATATCCCAGGATATCCCTCAATGATCCACGCCATGTGTTTCGGTCCCATGCCCGATGCCCCCAATGGCCCCAACGGGCTCTCCTCTCTCTCGATGATGCCTGGCTTGTCGAGGGTGGCCACAAAGCGTGGAAGCCTGATACAGTGGGCCACACAGATCTGAAAACGGATGGGGTCGGGGTTGTCCTTAAAACTGGGGATATCATGGGAATATCACGGATTATATTAATTGGGATAATTTGGGATGTATAACCCATGTATAACCATCAAATACGTCAGAAAGTTAGGGGAAAATCCCCTAAGCCCTAATCCCTAATCCATTGGTTCATCATCATGTTCTCTATTAAGACAGTCATGTTGGGGCATACCCTATTTTCAGACTATCCAAACAAATGGACAAATGGGCAGTCCAGTTCTACAAAAGAGATTTAAACAATGCATTTTGGGGTGAGAAAAATGCGAGGTTCTAAAGCATGGAATGGGGACGAATGAGGTATAGCAATCCCAAAAAAGATGCCGAAAAGTGTTTCCAGGATGATAGTTCGATGTCCAACTTTTCAACAACTTTTTGGGGGTTGCTATATTCTATTTTCAAACTGGGGAATTTAAAATGGAGGAGGGCACCAATCTGCACCTAGCCGAAGCCAGGGGGGTGGGGTGACCATCCAAAAATGTGGATTTAAGAAGGAAAATGAGAGATTGTTTATGATGTTTTATTAGATGTTTTATGTGTTTCTTCCATTATGTCTCAACATGTCTCAACATGTCTCAACATGTTGGGGAGAACCATGTCTCAACATGTATCTTGAAATGGAGACCATGATGGAATCGGGTCCCAAAAATAAGGGGACCGCCAACCTGCGATAGATGGTGTTGATTGCCAAGTTAAATTGCCAGTATATCCAACCTTTTTTACCTGGTTAAATCTGGATATACCAGTCAAATACCAATCCAAGTTAAATCTGGATATGGATATATATGGTCCCGTGTCCCGTGTTCCCACCCCCCCCCCCATGGGATGGGGGGGGGGGTATGATGCCCCTGTGGTGGTGTATATACATACATACATACCTACATACCTACCTACCTACCTACTTACATACCTACGTACATACCATACATACCATACATACATACATACCATTACATTACCTTACCTTACATTACCTTACCTTACATTACCTTACCTTACCTTACATTACCTTACCTTACCTTACATTCCATACATACATACATACATACATACCAACATACATACATACATACCAACATACCAACATACCAACATACCAACATACCAACATACCAACATACCAACATACCAACATACCAACATACCAACATACCAACATACCAACATAGGCCACAGGACCCATACCACCACCACAGGCCACAGGGGGGGGGGGCCAGAAGAACCAGACGATACTGTCCACCCATACCCATTGGTGGGGGGGGGGAGGGGGGGTGGCCAACGCTGCACCATATATATATATATACTATATTGGGTACATCCCCATTTTTCTGGTTTAAATTCTGATTTTTGCGGTGGTGAAATCACCATTTTTGTCGGGAGGCGCTGGTGCCTGCTGCGTCGACCAGCACGGGCGCTGTTAGAACCGCGGGTCGCATGCAGAGTGGCTACTGGCAGTGCTAGCAGTTAAGCCGTGGGGGAAACGGGGGATCCATAAATTGGCTAATTGGCTGATCATCCCCAGATTATGCAGTGTGGCTATAATATTTTTTACTGGAAGATGTGATGACTGATTTTTTGGGTAGCCTCTTTTCAACCAGATATGGCTAAACCTTGGTTTTATGTGGACCCGAAACCATAGACCCTCCCTACGACCGCCACACAAATGGATTCCTTACCATCCCCCAAACTGGACTTCATTGAATGCTAAGAGCCATCACCTGATGAACTTCCTAGTGTTGGGTATGAACCATACAATTTTGCTCAGTCCAACTAGTTTTTGCTAGTTTTATTGGCGAAGCAATGGACTCATCTACCCGTCTTCAACATCACATCATTATCAATCCTTGCCATCAAACGCTCAATGTGCCGAATACACAAATGTTCCATCAATTGCGGATCATGCATCATTAGGGTCTTTATCATCATTTTAAACCTCCAAAGTGAAGGTGGATATAGGTGGATGGATTATTTGCTGATGTCCGAATGTCCAAACGTCAAAACCTGAGGTCCTTCAGACTATGCAACTGGATGATGTTTTTTCTTCACAGATAATTAGTTCGGAAATTTGCCAGTGAAAGACCTTCATCATGGGGTTCTCAACAGTATGTATTGGCCCGGGACAGCATGGAAACCTCTTAGGGTTGGCCGGGACACCCCCGGCCATTCTGGTCGAGTTGCCCGCATCTTCCCCTTTTAAAAAGAGGCTGGTTCCCGGTACTCTAGGGATCATATATTTTAAAGAACTATTTCTCAACCATGGTCGATCAGTGTCTTCATGTTCCTTCTGAGGTGTACAGAAATATCCCATTTCCGAACCCGCAAAAACATGTAAGACATGAAAGGGTTTATATACTAAGAGTCATGCGCAAAAATGTGGAAACGTAAATCATCATCAAAAGGTAATCCCTATAGATAGACTAGCATAGTTTGATCATGACATGTACTTTTTTCCCTGTGTACCTTTCTATCTGCTGGGAATGACTGTATATCATACATAAATCATTACCATCTGGCTATTTAACATAGCCATGGAAAATCACCATGCTAATAGGTAAACATTTCTATAAATGGGCCATTTCCCATGGCTATGTTAGTCATAACCAGAGGGTAATTCTTATAAGTTTTAAATCCCACTTCGTAAGCAGAACTCCAAGCTCCTGCACCAAACATCAACGAGGCGCACCACGCCTCGCTTTGCGCGCTTTGCGACAAACCGACCGGAAAAAAATAGGTACCTTATTCTCAAACCCATATCCACTTGTTGATTCTATATCCCATCATCATTGATATTCTATACTATTGACAATATCAAGCATATATTAAGCATATTATAACTCCCCAAACCCCGCGAAGAAAATCACCAAGGGAATTTCCACCTGAGCAGCCCTGCATGGGAACTCCATGCACCCGATGCACCCGACAGCTGTGCAGTTGGCTTCACCTCTAACGGCCTGTTTTCATGCGGAATTTGCTGGAGTTGAATGGTCTTTGATGGAATGTTGATGGGATTGTCGAATTTTTTCATATCCCAAAACCACGACATGACGGCATAACCAACAATTGTGGGAAATAGATGTGTCTGAAACTAGGGGATGCCCCCCCAATTTAAATGTAAGGCAATTTATGGCAATTTCAATCCCGAAAATTGCGATTCACCAGCAGATGTAGGCGTGCCCTTTTTACGGCAAAATCATATACTGGCGAAGCAAGAAAGACAGAAAAGCTTTTATCATGCACGACAGCATATTGATCTGCGCCAGTGGCGGAAAATTTTGCCCTATTTCTGGATGGTGCTTGGAGCCGACAACAGCCTGCAGAATTTCCAGGGATCGTTCTTTGATATCAGCCCACCTGCTCTTCCTCCTGAGCGCAAAGCCGCACAACCTGCAGTCTCTGGACAGTGGAGTGTAGCCCATTGCCATATCAGTTTTGCCTCTGGGAATGTCAATTCTCTTTATGCCGGAGAAGATGCTGGCAGAGGCAAAGTACACTTCCTTCGTACGCAAATGAGGCAATTTGGCTTCAATTTTTTGGGTTTACAAGAAACACGATGTGCTGAGATTTGTAGCTGTGTCGACGATGTTTATCGTTTGGGAGGTGGAGCTGATCATGGTCATTGGGGGACGGAATTGTGGATTGATCTTGCACGCCCAATTGCATACGTGCGCAAACAGCCCATCTATCTCTCCAAGCAGGATTTCGTAGTCTTGTTCAAGTCTCCAAGTCTCCACGTTTACTGCTGGTTCGAGTGGATCATTGGCTGTGGAGTGCATTGGTTGTCGTTGCTCATGCGCCACAAAGTGGACAATGCGAGATTGACAGAGCCAAATGGTGGCAGCACTTTGGTGAAGTTATTCAACAATTTCATGACGGGTCTCCACTTTTCCTCATGATTGATGCGAATGCGGCCCCAGGGCCAGCTGATGGCTGCGCGGTGGGATCGGATCATTTTCAAACCTCCAAGAACACGCGGTTTCTGCGAGATTTTTTGAATTCCTATGACCTTTGCCTTCCCTGCACTTTTGATTGCCATCAGGGCTCGACAACTACTTGGATTTCCTTGACGGGTGAGGCACAACATTGCATTGATTTTGTATGTGTCCCTCGTGCTTTATTGCCAACATGCACGTTGTCCACTGTGATGCCAGAATTTGATCTTTGCAATGGAGAGGCTGACCATCGAGTAGTGGCCATACAACTTGAGTGGCAAGAGCACACATGGTATCAACGCCATTCCAAGAAAAAGCCCAAAGTGGATCGTTCCTCCATCACCTCCTCTGCCGTGATGCCAGGATTGCTTGACATTCAAGCGCCTGCATGGACTGCGGATATTGCCCAGCACATTGAGACATATACGCAAGACCTCCATCATTGCCTTGCTGAACGCTGTCCTCTCAACAAGGAAGCAGGCAAGAAAACCTTCTTTCCTTTGAGTTTGTGGAAGCTCAGAGACCAAAAACTTGCGGCCAAGAAGAAGGTCACTGCTATTGGAGGTCGATACAAGATTGAATGCTTACGTGCTGTTTTCCAGCAATGGCACAGCATTGTGAACCATGTGGAGGTTCCTTCCCCTGTCTTGTTTTTCAACTACACGATCACCTTGTGGTGCTGGCGTCTCAAATATTACGTTGAGCTCAAGATTTTGGCAGCTAAACTCAAAAAGCTTCTTCAACAGTCTCGCCATGCTGCAATGACTGAAGCGCTGCAGGAGCTTCCTGTTACAGCATCTGCCAATGACATCTTGAAGGTTGTGAAGCTCTTTGTAGGCCCCACAAATGTCAAACATCTCAAGAAGAAGACATTGCCGATGCTTCTTGATGAAGATGGACAACCATGCGGTCTACCAGCTCAGCTTTTGAGCCGCTGGATCACCTTTTTTGGTGACATGGAAGGTGGAGTGCGTATCGATGAAGAGGAGCAATGGACCAGATGGAGGACCAACTTGCAAAGATTTCGCAATGATAGCCTTGTGCTTACTGTGGAGGATGTTCCAACGCTCACGGACTTGGAGTTAGCCTTTAGACGTGTGCCTCGCAACAAGGCTAGCGGTTTGGACAACATCCCGTCTGAACTTTGCAGTGCCTGTCCTGCGCAACTTGCCCGTCAAATGTATGGTGCTTTGCTCAAGTTGGTCCTACACGGGCAAGAGAGCTTGGAGCACAAGGGGGGTATACTTACCCCGGCGCACAAAGGCAAGGGTCCGCTCACTGATCCAGCAGCATACCGCAGCTTATTGGTGAGCTCTCACCTTGGCAAGACTTTGCACAGGACAGTCCGTCAAAGACAAGCGACACTCCTTGAGACGTATATGGCACGTTCTCAACTTGGAGGGAAAAGACGAGTCCCGGTGACTCTCGGTCTACATGAAGCTAGAGCTTTCTTGCGTGCTGCAGTGTGCCAGCGCAACTCAGCGGTTTTGCTGATGGTTGATTTGGTTGAAGCATTTTACAGGGTGCTGCGCCCATTGGCACTTGGCTCGGCTTTTACTGATTCTGACATCGCTCACCTGGTTGCAAAGCTCAAGATGCCGCAAGAGGTGCTGCATCAATTGAGAGATCACTTGGCACAACCTTCAGCGGTTATGCTTGCAGGAATGCCATTGCACTACCAGAGAGCCATTCAAGCAATTCATGAGGACACGTTTTTCCAGATGCCCGGTCAAGAGGATGTTTGTAGGACGTCAGTTGGCTCCAGACCTGGAGATTCATTTGCGGATATCGTGTTCACATTCTTGTTTTCCAGAGTGCTCCAAAATTTTCAGCAGAAACTCCAAGCTCAAGGTTTGCAAGAATATTTTCGGGTGGACCCTGCCTTTGACCCTTTTGCTATGGACCATTTGCAACAGCGGGAAATGCGTGAGCATACTGGCCCTGTCTGGATGGATGACTTGTGTGTCACTATTAGCTCAGGTACGGCAGAGGGAGCCCTGAACAAGGCAGGAGTGATTTCATCACTCTTGATGGATACTTTGGAGGAGCATGCCATGTTGCCAAATCTTCGGAAGGGGAAGACTGAGCTCTTGATCTCTTTGCGTGGACCGGGTGTTCGAGCTGCCAAAGCACGTTTCTTTGGTCCTTGCTGCACCGGAATGATGCCAATTGTCGGCGAACACATGGTTCGCCACATTACGGTTGTTGGTGAATATCAGCATTTGGGAGGACTCCTCCATCACGGTGGAGATCATCGCAAAGAGATGAGGAAGAGAGTTGCCTTGGCACATCAAGCTTTCTCCTCACACAGAAGACAGATTTTCCAAAACCAAGATTTACCGCTCATCAAACGTACACAGCTCTTTGAATCACTGGTGCTCACGAAGCTCCTCTATGGATGTGAGTCGTGGCACCTGGCTGACCAGCGCTCCAAGAGTTTTCTCCACTCTGCAGTCCTCCGTCTTTACAAGCGTTTGTTGAGGGTGCCCCATGATTGTGCGTGGACAGATGAGGAAGTTTGTGTTGCCCTATCTTTGCCGACGCCCACTGAGCTCCTCCGACGTGCGAGATTGCGCTACATTGGCACTTTGCATCGGTGTGAGGGCACAGTGGCGTGGGGCTTGCTACACGCAGACCTTCCGTGGTGTGAGCTCATCAAGGATGATCTGCTCTGGATGTGGCATCAGTTGCGGGGAAGCTCATCGCTGCCTAATCCTGCGGACAGTCTGGAGGCTTGGCGCTATCTCTGGCAGTATCATACCAGCTACTGGAAAGGCTTGATTAGGCGTGCAATTCGACATGCTTGCCTGCAACGTCAAAATGCTCTTCTTGTCAGCCAGGCTCATCTGGACATCCTAGATGATTTGACGCAACATCGGGTGATCTGTCCAGGACCTCTTCCTCAAGATCTGCGGTCGCCATCTACGGCAGGAGTATTTGGCTGCATGTGCTGTCAAAAGATGTTTCGTAGCAGAGCTGGCGAGGGTGCGCACATGTTTCGTTGCCATCGGTTGATTTCAAATCTACGCTGGCTTTTCGATACGACTTCTTGTCCTTCTTGCTTGCGTGAATTTCACACATTTGGACGGCTTCATGCACACTTACGCCATCAAGAACACTGTAGAAATGTGCTGCAGAATCGAGGGCCCCTGGCCCAGCCTGCCGCAGGGATTGGTTCAGCAGTGAATGATGAGCAAGAGCGACGAGCCAATGGCTTGCAGCATCCTCTGCAGGGATTTGGCCCTTTGCCTCGCTCAGAACCTCAAAGGGATGTACAACACTATGACATTGAACTCTACGGTGAGATCACTGAAATTTTGATCCCACAATTACCAGAATGTCGCTTGCAGGCAGTGCGTGAGGCAATTTGTAGGCGTCCCATTTCCTGGAGTTCTTGCGTTGTTTTGCTGCGGGCTTTCAAGCTCAATGCGACCATGGAGGATGTGACAGCGTTTGGTTTTGCTTCTCAGGTGGACTTTGAGCTCTTTATTGACTCTTTGTTGGATCCAACCTCATGGACATTTTTGAACATGCCTGTGCCGCAAGAAGCGATCCCTACGCTACCAGATTTGGAGAAGGCCATGCGAGAAGCTGAAGTTCTTCATGCTGCACCAGCGCCGCGAGCATTTGGGGTGCATCGCCTGGTGTTGCATGCCTTCTCGGGCCGCCGGCGTCCCGGTGACTTCCAGGAGTTTTTGGAGGCCATTGTCTCCAAACATTCAGGTTTTGTAGTTCATGTGGTCTCTGTTGATATCATTTTGAACCCTACTTGGGGCGATGTTACCAGTCCTGATTGTCAAAACTACTGGTTCCACGGGGTTAAGTCCAAATTTGTGATTGGATACCTAGCGGGTCCACCATGCGAAACCTGGAGCAAAGCGCGTGAGCACTCTTTGGGTGATGCTCCTGATGTTGCTGCTGATCAACGCGCCAGAGGACCGCGAGTGCTTCGCACGCTGGATGAGCTCTGGGGGCAGCAGTGTCTGGCGGTTCGAGAAGTGTTGCAAGTCTTTGTGGGCAATCAGCTGCTTCTTTTCTCTTTTCGAATGATGATCCTTTTGCACGCCACTGGTGCGGTTGGAGCTTTGGAACACCCGGCGCCTCCGTCCAATCCTACTTCTGCATCGATTTGGCGCACTGAGATTGCAATGCTGCTGAGCCGACTTCCTGGTTTTGAGAGGATAGATTTTGCTCAGGGGCTCTTAGGTGCTAAGTCTCCTAAGCCGACCTCGATTTTGGCCCTGCGTCTCCCTGATCTTGCGAGGCAGATTAGGCAAGGCAGGGTGTGTGATGATTTGCCGCAGGCTGCCTCCATAGGCCGGGATGCCTTGGGACGTTGGCAGACGTCCAGCCTCAAGGAATATCCCCCAGCAATGTGTAGAGCACTTGCTGCTAGCTTTGCCAGTGCAATCGCACACAGTACAGTGGACCCAGATATTTCCATCAGCCCCTCTTTTGGGACAAGTGTGCTGATATGGTGGTTTCCGACTATAGTAAGCACATTGGTCCGGACTTTGCTGGCTGACTGGGTCTTGGCAGAATTCAAAGCATTGGCCGCGACAGTTTGTCTCTGTGTGCCATGAAGGAAAATATGACATCAAGGCCCAAGTACAGAAATGGAATTTTGGGGTCTTGATGGGTCTTGTAGTTATGAACATAGAATACATGATCTGGGTGGAAAGGAGTTTGATTTGGGGTAGAAAAAGGCAAAAGAACCTTGCGCAGCCTGCGTAACCAGACTCAACCAAATGAGCAACAAAGAAATCTAGAAGCAGCCAAGAGGGAGGATCAACGAAGAATCAGGTTTATGACAACAGAAATGCTGAGGATCAAATGGACTTTAAAACCAAGCATTCACTACGCATGTCCACTTGCGAAACCCTCAAGTTATCTGCCATTATGACCCAACAGGGATGGAAAAAATAATGCCAGATTCCCAAGCCACAGGGCTTCGACTTGTGCACAATGTGGTAGACTCAATGCCATAAATCATCCCCCATGACTGAGCGTCACCAGTTGTTTAGGGCATTGGATTTGACCCGGTGCCATTTGGCGCCCAGAACATCGTCTAACCAACATCGTCAAACCATAGGTGTAGGGCCGCGTATTCCGACTTATGGAGGCTAGAATCCCATAGTCATAGCGTCATGCCCATGGAAGCAGGGTTTGCCTGGAGCGAGCAAGAGATGGAGCTCCCACCTGACTCTTGGCAGTTGGCATCAATATATAGTAACCCCCAAGAAGAGAGAAAAAGCAATGATAAGTTACTGTTCAATCTTTTTGGGGGTGCTAGACATGTTTGAATTGCGCTAGGGCCCGGCTTTTTTTTCAGTTTGAATTGCGCGAGGGACCGTTTTTGCAACCAACAGGGTAGTTTGAACCAAACAACACGGCAACATGCTATGACAGGTATGAGGATCTAATCGATCTCAAAGTCAGCTGGTGTTACATGTGTTACATGTGTTACATGTGTTACCTTGGCTCCCAGAATTTGGGAAACTTCCATGCTATGAGGTTCCATCATTTTCCATCCTAAGTTAGCCGCTAGGATCTTCGCCGATCTTCGGCATTTTCAGAGGCACCTTCTCTGGGGATTCCCCATGGGTAGCAGCTGGTGGGATGAGGATCCCAGGCTACGGCACTACGGTCGCACCACCACTCCCGATGTTTTTTTTGAATGCGCACCTGGCTCAAGTTCACCGGAGCCACAAAACTCGTCGCCATGGCACCTGGAGGGAGAGAGTTTGGAGACTCAAAACACATTCCAAAAACTGATAGGTAAAGATGGAATCTCCAACCTCTCACCTTTGTCCCATCACACTTTGAGTACAGAAACAGAACTGATTCCAACCTCTCACAAGAGACCCACAGGTCAGCAGTTGTCATTAGAGCCAGGTCTATCATCGTTTCCATGAATTACACAATGCCATCTGGTTGGTGGTATACCTACCCCTCTGCAAAATATGACGAATCGTCAGTTGGGATTATGACATTCCAAACTGAATGGAAAGCATAAAATTCCATGGTTCCAAACCACCAATCAGATCCTATGGTTTTCCTATGGTTTTCCTATGGTTTTCCTATGGTTTTCCTATGGTTTTCCTATGGTTTCCATGGTTCCAGTCACCACCAATCAGCACAAGTTGCATATACCATCCCTACTTCGACCATGTTGGACTATGTTGGACCCATGGAGGGCGCTTTCTCATCATGGTTGTGAACAACCATGGGTGGACCAACAAACCATGGCTTTCCACACGGAAATGACGACAAAATGGATGATGATCGTTTGGGATAGTTTGGGGTCATGACTTCAGAAACACAGATTTCACCATGAATTAAGCATAATTAAGCCCAGTTCATCATCAAACATCTTCAAAATCAATGATCTCACCATGAATCTCTGATGACTTAAGAAACACCCATTGAAATGGGGAAGTTCTCCAAAGAAACAGCTTGCAGCACTAACCCCAAGTGGCCACCTCGGCCTCCGCTGGAAATCGACAGCAGATTTCTGTGAAGAGCCACTGAGCCACTGCGATGTCCCGGATCCCTGGAAATCAAAGAGATAGAAAAGTCATTTCGTGTATTAGAGTGTATATATCCGCCGACCCCGGCCTTCGCCAAGGCAAGGGGAAAAAATGTTAAAAACGTTACTTCCAAGAAGTTTTCTAAACTCATATCGTAGCAGTATAACAATTCAAAAATTATTCACAAAAAAATTGAAAAAGTCTAGAAGGTCAGTTTAAATATTGTTGATTGCTTCATTTTTACTCAACAATATCAGAACATAATTACCCCTTTCATTTTTCAAAAAATAATCACTGCTAACTGCACCGCTACCCAAAAACTGTTTGTTTTGCCCGCGTCAACACCAGGAGGTAGACCACGTAGCTTCACTGAACGTGGTGGATTTCTTGTTCTCTCTGTTGTCAAAAAGCATCCAACCACACTTGCCCAAAGGACACATGCAAGTGCACCACGCCATTTACGTGAGCCGGACATTTCATGAAGTGTAGTCAAGAGTATTCAAATAACTTGTGCAGGTTCATCAAATTGCAACAAATCATGTGAAAGGTTGACCATGCAAAATCTCTGAGCGTCTTTACACACCTCTGTGCACATGTCGGGAACTAAGGTTGATATCACTCACTGCATTGATACCACTGATAGTGTGAGTACTGAGCTCCGTGACTAGAATGAGTTTTAAGGAGAAGCAAATTCCAGCAATTCCTGTGCAAGTGTGCCCGAAAAACAGTGAGCATTGTAATGTCCAAAATTTGCAGTTGTCCGCGAAGAAATTCCTTCACTTGCAGTGGCTTGAAGCCCCACGGCCACATCCCTCGCTTCTTCTGGGCGGTCCAGCCTGCCGTTCGCCAGGCGTTACACGCTTTAAACCCTTCCAACGCTTCAACATTCTCTTGGCATGCCTAATCCCGCGGCCAACAAGCACCCCAAGGCCACATCAATGGCTTCTTATGGGCGTCCAAGCCTGCCGTTTGCCAGCCTTCAAACCCTTAAAACCCCTAAAGCCCTCCAAATCCCTGACGGCACCCACCAAGCTTTCTGGCCGTAAGCCTTTGCTGTCCCAGCGTTGCAGCCTGCCGTTTGCCTGCATAGCCCTTTGTTGTTGGGGCGTTCAAGCCTGCCGTTTGCCAGCCTTCAAACCCTTAAAACCTTTAAAACTCTTCAAACCCCTAAGACCCTCCAAATCCCTCGCGGCAGCTTCCACCAAGCCCTCTGGCCGTAAGCCTTTGCTGTTCCAGCGTTGCAGCCCGCAGTTTGCCTGCGTTTGCCTGCATAGCCCTCTGTTGTTAGGGCGTTTGCCAGCCTTCAAACCGTTATTCAAACCCTTAAAACCCCTAAAACCCTCCAAATCCCTCGCGGCAGCTTCCACCAAGCCCTCTCTCTCTCTCTCTTCCTCCCTCTCTCTACAGGACCCCCCAAATAGGGGGGGTCGGCGGCACCAGGGCGCTAGCCCATTCTATATACATAGTAAATATATAGTAAGGAAAACTACGGTTCTATCTGTTTGTAAAATTCTGGAGGTTACTTTTTCCTATTTGTGATATTAAGAGCAAACTGATGGCAGCAATATGGAGGTGCTCGCGTTATTTAATCAGCTAAGGTTTTTGAGTTCAGGCTTCACATCACAATCTTCGCAACAGGTAGGTCGCACACTACGGGCACAAAAATCAGCCGGTTTGGTGGCATCATCTTAAGTCGTGACGCCATCAGGGTGTATTCTGCAGAACCAACAAACGGGAAAAAACAACAGCTCAGAGCCGCAAGCACCTGTTGTTCTTGAACAAGGTGCATGGACCCTGAAATCACATTGGGTTGCCAACTCAACATTAAAAAAAAAAACATGTAATTATGTAGATTGCAGGTGTCCCCAAGTTTCCCTAGTCATCACTATTTTGGGAAAATAGCCGAGCTCTTTGGTCCGCTGTGAAAAATGGTGATGACCTTTCTTCTCCATTCACCAGCGGGGGGATTTACATGGATTTACCGGTGTAGACCCCGGGTTTAGTGTGACTCGCCGCCCAGGGTTTGAGTTCCCAGGGTTTCAGCACCCAACGACTCGCAGCCAACTGTTTGACTCGCCGTCACAGCCGCACATGCACCCCAGGCGCAACAGTTTGCGCCGGCGCAGCCATGGCAATGGGTGATCGCATCGAGCATGGCCTCAACACCCAGCTCGGATCATGTGCAACTGGAGATTTTTTCCACTCCAAACCTAAACTGGATATGTTTGGGGATATAATATATATATACCCTCCAAAAAACTAAGATAGATCCAAGGAAAGCCATGGTTGCCCAAGGAAAATGATCTAGAAAAGGCGGGCAAAGTTTTAGTGGTCCAGATCTATATCAATTTGCTGGGGGGTAAGTGATAGAAACTAATTGATAGAAGCCGCGTGTGATTCGCTACCACAAATTGCCCAAGACTTGACCAAACACATTGTTCCATGATGCTCCATGGTTCTTTGCCAGTTTCCCTATATTTCTTTAGCGCCTTGACACGGGGCATGACTTTCAACCTATAGGCGGCTCCTATTTTTTTGCCCATGTTGTAAAGGGGATCCTTTGCCCCAGTCTTCGTGCCTCACCACTGGCTGCGCCTGGCTCAGGGCAGTTCCGAAGGTCCCATAGGTCTTGAGTCTTGACAAAACATTCACAAATCTATCTGAAAAGTGGTTTTCTGAAACATCCCATAAAATTCTCACTTAACTAAACCACATCCTAAACCCTGTTCCAAGCACTTCCCATGTTCATTGGCGAAGCCTCCCATTTTTGCCGCTGAAAAACTTCCCATTTTTCCCTGGATCTCCAAAGCTCATCCTGCCCCAAGCCATGCCTGAATGACTTGCACGGAGGATGCACTCCGAGCAACCTGCACCGCCTGACGGATCGGGCGGAATTCCATGGCAAATTCTGCCACTTGGTGCTGAACAGCAACAATGCAGTGGGAAAATGTCATTAGTTGGGATAGTTTGGGGACTCAACAATGATCCAACATATGTAAGCCGGGCTCAAAACCACAGCATCTTGAGCCCACCACCGAGTAAGGCGGGGAATACCTTGGCAGTTGTGCTCAGCCGTGAAAAATATCCTGCTGGTTGATTGTGGGGGTTGCCACCCTGAGTTACCGATAACAACTGATATGTGATTCTCATATCGTACAGGTGTGTAATATATATATACAGTATACATGTGTGTGTGTATGTGTCTCTTTTAGCTATCATGTACGAGTACTATCAACCCCCTAAGAAAAACAACACTCTTGGCGTCACTTGAAAACAACCGCGGCAACTTGGGACCCCAGCGAGCCCGCCTGGCAGATCAGGCACCGTTGAGTTCACCCATGGAACCAATGGTTTTGGGTTAGTTTTGGAGACCCACCCAATGGAGAGCATGGTTTTGGAACCCCAAATATTCCAACTGGTCAGAGGAATGGTCAGAGCTCCTGGATTGTGATCATTCTCAATATATCGGGTAGTACAACCCGAACTAATCCCCATCCAAAAAGGGATTTTGAGCACTGCTCAAGTGATGTTAAACATGCCTGAAATGGAACCAAAGCTCAAGAAGCCTGAACATGTTGAACCATGGGTCATTTTCAGAGTGCAACAGGCTGGAGAGGCATTTCCGTTTCCTTTCCCTCAGATCTGACCATCACATAGCTACACCGTGCCGTACAAAACAAGTTGCAAGAAGTTGCACGACGAAGACTTCGATGCTGTAAGGACTTATATGTATGAGAAACCACCCCTAGACATTGGGTATATGGGTTAAAACTCTGCTGCCCTAGTTTTTACATCCAAATAGCTGGCATTTCTGCTTCAAATGGATATTGATACTTGCATTCCAAGGGTCTCATAGGTATTGATCCATCCCCACTGTTTGAGGGCGTTCCAGAAGTATACCTTTGTAGGTGTTTGGTGTTTTGGGATTACTTCTCATATGGTTGTTGTTTTTTTTTGGCGAGTGCTTTTTGGATACTGACTACACCCCTGGAAACCGAACATGAAACCTCAAATCATTGCTAATTATTTCAGGTTATTTGTGGGGTGCAAAATCTCGAAGTTCGGTCGTTGAAACATATGATACCCATGTTTTTGATGTTGAGAAGCCACTGAAAATTTCGTGCCCCTTCCAGTTGCAGGGTTCCAACAAATCACTGTCGCGGGTCGCACCGCAACGCGTGCAATGCTTCCTCGTTGCCTGGATGGTGAACTTTGCAGCGGAGCTGATGACACCGGGGATGTTTTCACAGATGAACCACTGGAAATAATGCACTATACCCTCTGGTAAACAAACATAGCTATTGAGAATGGCCATTTATAGTGAGTTTTCCTACTGAAAATTGCCATTTATAGTGAGTTTTCCCATTGAAAATGGTGATTTTCCATAGTTATGTTAGTTTACCAGAGGGTAAAACCGGAGGAAAAAGCACGATGATGGAGAACAGTAGCGAGTTGTGGTTGTTTCAGGGAAGTTAGGAAGGGGTTGCTGCCCTTTTTTCATGGTGCCAACAGCCTTTTTTTGACACTTGCCAGTTTCCCTGCCTCCCAGGAAAACTGATGGCTTTCCCATTCCACCAGCGATGACACCAGGGAAAGTTCCCTCTTTTTAAGTCCATGTTTCAGATCTATGTTAGCTCATGAGTGAACATTTCTTAGCCCCGGAAGACAACAGCCCCTTGACAACATCTTTTAACATCGGTCTTCCGAAGCTAAACCAATACTATTTTAAGATCATATATGATGGGGTTGAAATTGTTTCTAATAAAAAAAACACAAAAAGTTACATAAAATTCCTGACTGCTAAGTAGATCAAAACCAATACCAACGATCACCAGTTGAAGCATTTTTGCTGGCGATCAAAACCGTGCGAATATCATCCTGTCCAGATCTTTTTTCTGGCAGGAGGTGCATCTCTCAAAAATCACCAGGACCAATCCGTCAGATTTTCCCCTTAGTTCAACTGCAAAATGTTGGCTGCTTAAAAATCATGTTTTTTATCCACATTCTGATATGTGCTGCTGATCAAACATACTTGAAATGGTGCAGTTCTACTAGTAAGTGGGCTATAAAACCATAGGATACCATAGGTTTTTCGGGGTACCACATCCCTACTTTCGGAAGTTTTCAAATCCTATGTGTCACCCTTGGCCATCCTTCCCCCCTTACGTCACGTCTGAGCTCGGGACGACAAACTCAGACCAGATTTGCCTGGAGCCACTGGGAGCTAAGGGGCATCTAGGGGCGAGCAATGGATAGCATATGGGTGTGTCTGAAAATGTCGTGTACCCCTAAACCCAATGGTTTTGCTGATCATAAAATCCCGTTTTGAAATGGCTATTAAACTATGGGAATATTAACCCGACATTTTCAGACAAAGCCATATGGATACATGGAATCTACCACCACTGGTGCATCTGCCCTGTTTGACTAGGATCTGCCGTGTTTGAACCTGTGGTTTGTGACTTTCATAACCACTATTGTGCAGCTCGCAATATGAAGAGCTTCCAAAATATGGCAAAAAAGAAGGTCTTTGTTGCTTAAATATATGTGTTCTGTACATGTCTATATAATTATACAATATAGCTCATGCCGCATACCCCATTTCACCATGTTCCACCCTTTCCCCCGGCAAATCCAACCTTCCAACCACCCCACCACCAGGAAACACCACCGACACCAAAAGCACGTTTTGGGTGAGACCCGGACGGGCGGGCATTGCAAGGCGCATGGAGCCCGCCTGCAGGTGATCTAGTGACAAAGGTTTTTTTGTTAGTTTACTGGAGGGTATCTCATCGATTGATTTATCCAACTACCTACCTGCCTGCCTGCCTACCTACCTAGCTACCTACCTAGCTACCTAGCTACCTAGCTACCTAGCTATCTAGCTACCTAGCTATCTAGCTACCTAGCTACCTAGCTACCTAGCTACCTACCTAGCTACCTACCTAGCTACCTACCTAGCTACCTAGCTACCTAGTTACCTAGCTACCTAGCTACCTAGTTACCTAGCTACCTAGCTATCTAGCTATCTAGCTATCTTGATCTAATAATACAATCTCTTTGACTGATCTGATACAAACTAATCTGCGAATGTAACTATGGACTTAAGAGTAGATGGGTGGAAAGATGTATAGCTGCATGGATTTATCAACTGTCCATCGGGTAATTTATCTATTGTATGTATTATCGGTTTACTTGTAGACGGATACATAATGTATAGATGAATAGATGAATAGATAGCTAGAGAGCTCGACAAATACTCATCAAATTAAATACATACCGTCCCAACAATCTTGTAATGTCACAGGTATTAATCTTTGGTCATCTACTCATTCTATATATATATATGTATCATATCGTTGACCATTATATACCCCATCGTTTAGTAGTCCTCAAAATCATGGTTGGCTTTACCATATGCAGAACCATGGTATCCCCCATCAAAATTGGGGGATGAATCAAAAAAAACACCTTGGTGGACCATAGCACATCTGGGCAAAGATCATCCTCTAGGTCAGTTTTACCATGTTTGTCCTTATTATCTATGTATATATATAGAGAGAGAGAGAGATTATATACATACATGGTTATAATATTTATATATATATGTATATGTAATCCATTGAAACCAGAACCGACCAAAATCATAATTTAACCATTAGATGTACTCTAAAACACCCTACAACAATTTAAGCCCATACGCTGATTGATCTACCTGTGGCATCGTCGCTGGCGTGGCCAATGGAGTTGCCTAAGAACGGAAGGCAGCGACGAACGGATGAGCCACCAAGAAATGTGGTCTTAACATATTTTGATCACAAAAAATGGAGATAATAAAAAACATCAATAATGAGGTTTTGACCAGATTTACAGTAACCACCAGAATGGAGATTCAACCGCAGTAGAATGTGTCTTACCCTTCAAAAATGGACACCTTACCAAACAAAACATGGTTCAATTCCCCATCTATGGCTGAAATCTCAACGAGCAATCTAGCTGCTACTAGCTCTCGACATGGACGTGCAAGTTGATAAAAAATGATTAAACAAATGAAAGGATCAATCGGCGAGTCACTAGAGGTGTTGTTTAATGGCGTAGTCTTTGCCTGTGAGTGACAGCTGTAATTCACAGGAAAGAACTCCTTCGATCCTATCCTGTTTCTCTCCTTTCTGTCTGGCTCCGATTGTAGATGAAATCGCAGATGACCATCATGGAAAACAAGATTTCTTTATCACAGATGGCTGATGATGTCCGGAACGAAAGATCGTTTACCCAGAAATTGGAAGTTGATCCCCGGAGATTAACAAGATCACTGCAAGGGCCGGCCTGCACGGTGTGCGCGACCACATCGCTCGCCCGGACCTGGGTTTGAGCGTTCAGAAGCAGTGAATGGATTGGTTTAATAGGAAAATCTACCCGAAGCTATGGTTTTTAGCCCCAAATTGATTGGGCAGAGTTCATCATTGGTTGGTTTTTACCCTGGGAAAAAGAGACATACCCTCTGGTAATTTAACATAGCTATTGAAAATCACCATTTTTAATGGGAAAATCCACTATAAATGGTCATTTTCAATAGCTATGTTAAATTACCAGAGGGTAAGAACAAGTGACCCAACCCTTTAACCCTTTGCATCACAGCCAGGACGCTCTCGGGCCGGGCAGTGGCACTTGGGAAGGGCGTGGTTGAAGGGGCCTGGTATCCAGCAGCAAATTGTCCGGCGCAAATGACCAACTTTGCAGCCCATCCTATCTCTTGAGCCATAGAAAATTGGAGATTTTGATCCTCCTTTCTGGTCATCAAATCTTGTCATTTTGATACATCTTGACAATGTAACCTCTACTTTCTGAGCTGCCCACTGCGCATGGGAATGCGGAGTTCCTCCATCTTGGTCCTTTCGCAGCACTCCCAGGCAGTGACATATATCGTGGGAACATCTCCGATCTCACTCTATTCCAAACAGAAGGCGTTCAAGCATGTCTTTTTCCACTACTGTATTACCAGTAGGACTGCGAAACCCCATGCACTTCAGTTTTCAAAGTTTTAATCATGACTTTTTGTGGACAAGAAGTGCTCGGTTCCTGCCAAGCATTCACCAGCAATTCGGCCTGGCACGGCCCCAAAAATGGATGGAGAATTTCATTGAAAACTGGCGAAAGTCTACAAGTTCTTGATGTAATTTTGCCAGATTCCATCAGATTTTATGAGGACCAAACTTTTGTGGCGGGTTTGGGGCCCTGGACCAAACTTCATGGATTACGATCTGAAGTCCGAAAAAAATTTAACCAACATCTCCCATGAATGATAACCTGGATCCTAGATATCCCACAGAAGGCAAAAGTTTCCAAGTGCAAACACCAACTCTCCAATCAATTGTTCAAAAACCATCGAACAACCATCAACCATATGATCAACCATCAAAACCCATCAACCATATCAAGCATCTATACTGGACACCCGAAATTAAACTTGAATTATCTCTTTACGAAAGAATAAACATAAAACCATCAAGTTGATTCAGCTCAACATGGAAATAGAAACAAATAATTAGCAATAAGAAGATGTTAAAGAATCAGAACAAGACTGTTGGAATGTTGGAAAATCACTATTTCAATCTATTTCCAACATCTCAACCATCATTGGAATCACTATTTCAATGATTCCAATCCTTGAAATAGATTGGAAAATCACTATTTCATTGGAATCATTGAAATCTCAACCATCCGCGGGCAGTGATGGCAGTGGTCCAACTCAGCCTGTCGTTCCAACTCACCAATTTGCCGCTGCGCCATCCAGCGCAGTTCTCGCAGTTGCGCCTCGTGCCTGGCCGTGGCAGGCCAGAGGTGAAAAGAAATGGGTATAACTATGGATTAATAGTGGTTAATAATGGTTGATGATGGCTAATAATGGTTATTCTAACCCATAGTTATACCCATATTATACCATTATAACCATGATTATAATCCCATAGTTAATAATGGTTTATAGTGGTTAATAATGGTTATTAATGGTTGTTAATTGGTATAACTATGGGATTATAACCTAGGTCGGGAGATGGGGCCCCGAAAAAACTATGGCTAAATCACCCACAAAAATTGGATGGGAACGAACCACAAAAACTCCATGGAACTGCACCTGCAGGTGGGATTTCATGGTCTTCATGGGATTTTTTACAGTAGGATTGTGGCTGTTTTTCTTTACTGTGGGATTCTTGCAAGGCTTTGATGGCAAAATTCCCAAAAGATGATGTGAAGCGATGAATATCAGGGATAACCCCATAGGAATATGGGCACAATAGTTAAAAATGAGTATATAAAACCTATGGGATTATCGTAAGGATATCATGTGTCTGTTATGATCCTACAGTTCTGGCATCGCAGATGGAGAATATGAATTTAAGGAACCATGGTTTTGCAAACAGTAATATTCTGAATGTATATAACTATATATTAGATATATACATGATTATACATGTACGTTGGATTATTTGGAGGGAGCAACCATTTATTGGGGCAACCTTTTTCTATCCACATGCAGCATGCAGGATCCAATCATGGGGCGATCCGATCATGGTCCCAGGGGGTCCCAGAGCCTGGAGACCACAAACAAAAAAAGCGTGACGATTTTCAACTGGGGATCACATCTGGCGAACATGGCTAATCAAACACTTTCAGAAGTGTACTGGTACAACCACAAGACACAATGAGTCATAAGACACAAACGTCTTTGATTTTGGCAACCAAAAAGGATGTAATCATATAACAAGCTTTGGGAGAACAACACTCAGCGTCGATCTTCCTCTAGAGTGCCAAATCAAGTTGTGTGGTCAGCCAGCACCTGGTACTCGGCCCAAAGGAATGCAGATGAACAATATGATTACTAAGCTTTCTTAAAATGGGTGACTGCTCATATTTCAAAACATACAGTGCACACTGATGGGATACACAGCTGAATGGCTTACCCTCTGGTCAAGAGTTTGCCATGGAAAATGACCCATGCAAGTTGCGTTTGCCATCATTATCCATTATCCATTATCCATGGCAAACCGGTAGACAGCCAGAGGGTATGTACCCTCGGGTACTTTAACATAGCTATACAAAATACCACATTTGCAGATGATTTACCCATCAAAACATTGTGATTTCCCTTAGCTCTGTTAGATTACCAGAAGGTAATAGTGTGGGATTTGCTATAACGTCAGTGAAAATAATAAACCACCCACATTTTGATGGCCTATACCATCTATTTCACCTATTTATGGTGAAATTGGGTTTGTTTTACTCACAGTAATAACCAATCAACATCAATAACCAATCTATCAACTATATCATCCATGTCTTTGATAGTCAAATCCTCATAGACTATCTTCTGGTTGGTGGTGCAATAACCATCTTGAAAAACATGAGTTCGTCAATGGGAAGGATGACATCCCATATATGAAATGGAAAATAAAAGTCATGTTTGAAACCACCAACCAGATTATATAAACCCTACAACTATGGTTATGTAAGCTTGGATCATCATCCCAACTATTGGGGAAAATAAAAAATGTTTGAAACCACCAACGAGATTGGTTTACTATTGTTTTACTCACATAAAAAAAGTCCCAACCGCTAGGGCTGCAGGCTGATCTCTCAGCAAGGTCTCTTGCTCCTTGACCTAGGAGAAAAGTTCTGATGGAAGGGCCGTGGGTTCAAATGTGGGGGGATGTCTCAAAATCCCTATTTTTACTAGGGAAAATGATGATAGAAATGATAAAAATGTGGGATGTCGCTTTCAAATTTGCTATCTTGGAAAGGAGAAACATGATCAACCAATAGCAACCATGGCAATTCCTCCCACGGCCACATCCCCGGGTATAACCAGCTGCAGTAAGACCTTGACGGCCAAAGCCAAGAATTCTTAGGCGGCAAAAGACATTGCTGAAGAACGATGTTCATCATATAGGTCGTAATCCACCCCATGTGAATGATTGACCCCAAGAGTGTGCTCATCTGGAAGATATGTTATGTGATTTCCCGGAAAAAGACTGACTGCGGGAAAGACATGAGAAGGTGCATCAAATGACCAAGTCATCTTGAATCATGCCTATGTGATTTGAGGAATATGTGTATCTCTACATATATATAATATTGTATATATATATATATGGTTCCATATATATATATATCATTGCAGATTCGCATAGTTGAGGACTTGAGGAAGAATAAGTCAAGATCTACATAGATCCTCATTCTACAAGTGGGATGTATCGCCCATTTTCGGATCATTTGGAAACACCGGTTGCAGTCGTCAACAGAGGATCAATCACCTTTTTCGCACTGCACCGTATCTTATGACCCTGGCACCCTTTTCTCTCCGTGGATTTCTGGGTTCAGAAAGAAAGCAACAGGAACAGCCACATGAATTGCCCACGAATTCCATGATTTTCCGAAATCTTCCGATTACGTGGGAACGTCCAGTGCCATGTTTGCCAGCTGCCAGAGGCTATTCTCTGGCAAATCTGACCAATCCTCACCGAGGCTCCAAACCATTTTGGACAGAGCAATACTATACCTTGGAACGAAAACCATCGATGCTCCTACTTGGAGTCAGTCTGCAACTGCTTCCTATTGGAGATTCGGCTATCACCATGCGGATCCACTCATGAGCCAGTCAACAAGACCTAAGTGACTTGGAGCAAATCCACGGTAGCTTGGTCTATTGGACTCGGAAAGCCAATAAATTTTGAGCTCCCTGGCTTCAAGAAACCAACACATCTGCCGGTGGTTTCAAAAACATAACGGATGCATTCCATATCGCTACAAGGCTGTGGCTGGCTTCGTTGATGGTTGGCGTTGGCGTGCAGATTGTCCTGCCCACATCGAGTTTAAGGTCAGAATAAAAGACCGGATAGTTTGGATGCAGATTGCCTGGTCATTCTTTAAACCTCAACCAAATTTGGTGATATTCACACTCACAAGGTTGGGCACTACTGTCGCATCTTTACCGCTAAAAACCGCTTTATGCCTTAGCCCCGAGCAAAAAATGCAACTTGATTGAAGCGCGCGGGCAGGACGGAAAGAAGAAACAAACCAAAACAAACCAGTGAAATGTGGGTGTCACGTGACGCTCGTGATTGAGTTTAGAGATGTTTAGAGTCCCTGCATTTGGAAATGCTTTGAATCGGATCATGGCACCCTTGGCTTTGGGGAAAAAAGTGATCGTCCACTGCTGGCGAGGTTTTTTTTGCTGCTTGACTATGCACGTTGCTTGCGCCCCGTTATGCCCCGTTCCCGTGACTGCAAGGTGGCTTTTAGCGACCATGATCATCATGATCATCATGATCCTGCTGGCAATGTTGCCATATGTTACCTACCTCTGGTTTTTCTGCCGTTCCTGGTTCCCAGATGCAGATATCAGAAGCATCAAGTCATCCAGTGGTCGTGCGACGACGTAGAATCGCCATCCGTGGGTCAACGACTGGTCACGCCTATGTATAGCTGCTATCTGTTTCAGGGATCCCTGGTTTCCAACGATCCTTTAGGATCAGGTATTGACCCGTCCCCATGTGGGTTTCATCACGTTTATCCGGCTGATATTGCTTCACCAACCTGAAATATAGTGATTTTCAGGTGTTGAGGTCGTTGTCACCCAGAGTTTATGGCTCTAAATTCCCCATGTTGAAGTTGTAATGGTCAGCCTTCACACCCAAATCTCGTGCTTTCATTTGTTTTACTAGACTCTAATAGACTCTAACATCCTCACTCAAAAAAGATAAAAAAGTCACAGCTTGGGAATCCAATGGCCACATATGGCCACCAAAAATCCCACACTTCGTAGCCCGTTCGGCCGCGGCTCCGTGAGTTTCTTGTGCTCTTTGGACAGCTGATCCACACCCCTCCGGAGCTCCAACTCCAGCTCTTTCGCGTGGGCCTCCTGAGATGTGAGATGTTTAGCCAATGTTTATAGATGTTTATAGATGTTTAGCGTGTAAAACAACTATGTTTAGACATGTATTTTATAGGTCGGTGTATCTTTCAACAATGTTTAGATCTGTATTTATAGGATTTTATACAGGATTATACAGGTATGTGTGTTTTTTCAGCATCAACATGGTTAAACGATGTTAAACGATCACTTCCGTTCACCAAAGAGAGATGTTCTTCAATTGTCTGGAGGCGATTCTGGGCCCATCACCTTGGGCCCAGCTGATCAGTGCCATCCAAACCATGACCCGAAGAATTTCACAGCTGGGTCTCTCTGTTATGGCAAGATCTCGACTTTTCACCACTTTGTCTCTGAAGTGTCCAGATTTTCTGTGGTAACAATCTGCGCGGGTGTGAAGTCCCTGTTTCGTGGCTGAGATCGTCCTATGTCTTGCTGGAAATGTTCGATGCTTCTGTTGGAATCATCCACTTTTTCAGGATCATCCCGCAGAATCCGGTTGGTTGGTAAAACCCCGTAGGTTGTTCCCCGTTGTAAACTTCCAAGTCCACATGAAAAATCCCATGAAAATCCATGAAAATCCATGAAAATCCCATGAAAATCCCATGAAAATCCATGAAAATCCCATGAAAATTCCTCAAAAACGGCTAGATGTTAGTTAAAATATGTTAAAATCCATGAAAATTGACCTTCCAGCCCATGGAAACCATCATCATTAGAAACCTACCCAGTAAATCCTATCATCAAATCCCATAAAACATCTTCTGGTTGGGGGTATACCTACCCCTCTGAAAAATATGAGTTCGTCACTTGGGATGATGACATTCCCAACTGAATGGAAAGTCATAAAAATCATGTTCCAAACCCCCAACCAGCCATAAAACATCTGCAATATCAGCGAAATCGTTCCTTCTGCGCTTGCACCGAATCAGGCGTCGGCAGCCCTGAGGTGAGGCATGGCACCTCTGAAGCAGCGATGTTAGAAACAGCGGCGTTCACGGGCAAAATGGTGATTTTATGCCCCAACAATTGGGATTGAATGGAACCAAATATTGGTGTTCCCGCCAAGTCATTTTTCTTTCACCATTCTTCTGTTGGTTATTGGGTATTTGGTAAAAAAATGCACGAAATTAGGGAAATAAACCAACACTGAAAGTTGGCCAAAAAGATGGATCTGAATTCTCAGGCAGCCCTAACCCATCCTAACCCTACAAATACTTCTGACGAAAAGATCGCAGTATGGGAATCGTACGATCATGAATCATATCTTATATCTCATGATATTATCTGCACAAACAATGCACCAAACATCCCGAGGTCCATTGAAAGCGACAGCACAAAGCACTTTTTTTCACCCCGTCAGAAAATCACCGGCTTCATACAATGGAACCTGATGATATAAATTCAAATTCACATCATTCTTCGTTGGCTGCTCCCCATGACACTGGGCCTGGAGGTGTTCATTTTATGGGGGGTACCCCGAATTCATCCTAATCTTAATTAATCGGATGTTCCATTTTTTTTGGCCAGGGAAAACCCGGCCATGGAGATTCTTTTTTTCATGGCCATAGGTGTTTCATACTAATCTAATCCAGCTATGGGATGCTATGGGGGTACCTCCAGGGAAAACCCATCTGGAGCTGTCACGAGATGTGTCCCACGGTCCTCAAGATCTGGACTCCACACATCATCGCTGGCCACCTTGACAGCCAATGCGATGCGGCTGCGCCATGGTTTTTTTCGGGTCCCCAAATAGATCCAAAAGTGAAACCGGGAAAAAATGAAACTGGTATAAGAACAGGGCATGATAAATATATATATATACATATGATTACATATGTATGTTTTGTAAATTCATATAAATTGGTATAACCCAGCAGTAAATCTCTTTTGGAGCCTTTGTAGGTCACGAGAAAGTGATCCCCCTCCTGTGACACCTGGTGTCATCCGTTCCATGGACATGGACTTATAATTTCAACCATTTCGATTCCCCAGTCTGGATGTCTTGCTACCAATCCCTCACTATTTGGAGGTACCTGCTAGATGAAACATGGCTCAAGTGTATTACGCCCTGCGAATAAAAGACTGTTCTCACTGGGATGGTCAAGCCAAACTGAATCATAAACCATATATATATATATTTGTTTCCCAATGGGGCTAATAACATGTAATTCATTATTGGGTATACATGGGTATACCCCAAATAAACCCGTGATAAACCTGTAAATAGCCCCTTGACGATCAACCTTCTAAAGAATTGAGAATTCTTTGCCACGTATACTACACAGGCAAAGGTTTCACTTGCGGGTCGGAAAAGCTCACACGTGTAGCTCAGACCGTTTGCTCACATCTCGTGTTGCGGGGTGGGATCGCTCTTGCACGTGGACTGTATGCTATGCTACGAGTATGAGATCTTCTCTTGCACTTGCAGACATGATGCCACCCCCTATCAGATCTTCTCCTGGCTCTGTGCTGGGGTGGGGTGGGGTGTGGTGGGGTGGGGTGGGTGTCATACCGTTCTTTGGCTCTTGCACATGGGCTGTATGCTACGCCATGAGATCTTCTCTTGCGCGCACGCGGACACTGATGGTCGCTTCAAGGGCGAAGCGGCTGCTCGTTGCTTCATGGGCGCAGCAGCTGCTGGGCGACGCTTCGTGATGCAAGATTTGTTTTGATGATTTAGACATTGGGTCTCTATGCAACCATGCTGCGTCTCAACCATAATAAATTTAGCCTCATCAAAGCCACACCTCACACATTCCAGTGACTTTGCCCTTTCAGTTCCTCATCAAACATGACAATGAACTTTCTCAAACTCTAGAACATCTTGGTCTTGGAATTGCCAGACTTGCCATACGCCACTAGTTTTCAATTGATCTGCTCATTCCAATATGACCATGACCATGACCATGACCATGACGTGTCTGGACCTTAAGAAAAGAGGAGTTACAAGCGAGACATCGCCCATTACACACCGTCCCTCACAGATCCACACCTGAATCATCAGTGACCAACGCGACCAATGTACACGACTAAACCCGTGCTTCTGGGGGTTATGCCTAGATTGAGGGTATCTGTGTCTCATCCGTGAACATCCTGGGAATCCTGGGTTTGACATCAAGAACGCATCGATGTTTTTGTCTATGTAAAACATGATCTAGGGTCAGTGGATAAAAGCCGCAACCCTTTGATGGTGGCCAGTTCAGCGTGTTGAAACAGTGTGGCTCTTGTAGAAAAACAGCTTACAATACTTGCAGAGCAACTACTTTTTCTACTTATTTCTCTGCAATAGAGCCAGGCTCAAAGCGCTGCAGCGCTGCGACGTCGGCTGTCTCCCACACAGAGTCCTTGGATGTCCTTGGAATGTCCAATGGTTCATCATGTGCAATGCTACAAGAACTAGGTTCACACTGCAGAATATGCCTTGAATATGCGGTACCATCTGGGCAATGTGATAAACCCAATGCCAGAAAGGCCATAAAGGCCATAAAACCTACCATTGGATGACCTTAAAAAACACCCATATATCAAGTGATCTTGGGGAATTCACGTGAAACGCACCATCATATCAAGGGGACTGGGTGAGGCCATGGAATTTGCAAAAAACGGCTTTCAGCTTCACGTTCTGAACTTCATCGGCTTGGTTTAAGCGCGAAGTTACAGGAAACCACGATATTTCTTGTCAAAAATTGTTTTTTTTTTTTAAACGTAACTGAAATCGCTTTACCCAATTGCCGGACTTTTACATCAAACATCATCAAACCAGTTCTGGGTGGTGGTTTCAACCTGGTATACCTACCCCTCTGAAAAATGATGGACTTCGTCACTTGGGATGATGACATTCCCAACTGAATGGAAAGTCATAAAATTCATGTTCCAAACCACCAACCAGTTGTTTTTTGTAACCCGTGATAGAAAAGTAAGTTACCACTACTATCATCACACCAGTAAAAACATCATCAAACCAGTTAATTGGAGAACCACATCCTGTCACATCCTTTTTTCAACACAAAACGCATCTGCTTCGGTCGTCGATGTCGGGACCGCACCAATGTCCATGTCGCGCAGGAAACGGTTTCCGCCCGGGTGATTGGCAGATTTCACCGAAATGGACAAAATCACCGGGTGATATTGGAAGCGACCAAAAATGATCATTGGGGAAATTGGAAAACCAAAATGGAAGTTGATGTTCTTTGTTTCAAATGCCAATCAACCATAATCAACCATTCTCTGAAGAATGAAGTATAAGTAATTGAATGTAATTGAAGTATTTAATTGATCCATTCTTGGTCAACTATCAAGGAGTCTAACTGTTAGATTGATGAAACTGTGATTCTAAGATATTCTCCAAAAAAACATCAGTCGCATATTGAAAGAATTATCCCCAAGTCCTGGGTTTCAATACTATGCTGTTTGCTGTTTGCAAACGACCCGGCCTTGTCAACGTTAACAAAAAACTGATGGGAAAGATCCACCATGCGATTTTCATGAGAAAATCCACTATTTCAATGGCCATTTTCAATAGCTATTTTGACATAACCAGAGGGTAATTTTGGATGATTTGGGGGTACCCCCATGACTAAACGGAAACCCCAAAGTTACGAGTTCGTCCGCAAAACGTTTCGGTGTCGCTTCTCACGGCTTCCAACAAGACCTCAGTGGCAGCGCCGCAAGGGGAACGAAGAAGACTTGGAAAATACGCAAGGGAAACACCTTCGGATGATCATCGTAAACATTGGAAACTGATTGAATTGCAAATTGGAAACAATCTATGGGATTGTCGTTCGGAATTGACGTGACCACCCATGTGCAGTTCCATGGATGTGTCCAACACCCCACTCTTTCATAACCCCGACTGAGTATGGAAAAAGATTGGCACCACTCTGAAGCCAGATGTCATTGCAGTCGAATTGCTAGATTACCAACGCTGGTTTCTACCGCCTGTTCATGTTCGGCTTGGAGATGGTATAGTGACTTCAGGCATGGGTTTTATCAATTTTTATCACATTCCCAAGACCTCAGTGTCTTACCGGCCAGATGTGTCCACCATACAGCAAGACTCAGCCAGTGACAGGGGAAACATGGAGCATTGCCTCCTGGTGTGGATGAAGGGCGGAACCCTAAAGTCGCCAGAATCTCTGCGCCCACGCCGCTCTTGTAAGTCCTCACAGAGCAAAGGCGACCACAAAGGAATGGGAGGTGACCAACAACTATCAATGGAGGCTGTCATTGGGAATTGGTTTAAGCAACAAAAATATCATTGGAATTTGCTATGAATGAACAGCCATGTGGATGCTTGGATCTGTCCTGAAACGTTGATCCAATATCATGCCGTTGCCTGTTGTGGGACAAACCCACGACAGAAAATGCCCTCCCAACTGCATCCCGATTGCTTTGGGAAACAACCCAGTTGCACCTTGTATGATTTCGCTACTCTATACTCTATACTTCATACCTAAAGCACCGTGATTTTCCCCACCCTCTTGTTTGCTGTTGTGTGCCTATTTCTACTGGTTTTAATCCCTACTTCTTCCGGGTTTCATCATTCGATCCTAAGTTTATGGTGTTCAATTCAAATGTTTGTTGGTTCAACCTCCATTTATGTTGTCTTTTTGTTTCCATGCTTATGAATATTCATCCCCATTGTTGTTGCTGAAGCCATCCTCAGATCAACGAACCGCGTCCTTGACATTGCCCCGGCCGCCGTCAGAGCTACAGGTCCCATCCTGTTGCCAAGCGGCAGGCACTAGCCCAAAATCGATGAGGGATTCGGCCGACGGGATTGAGCTGTGGGAGCCTGCTAAATGGTGATAAATGGTGGGATGATCTTTGGAACAATGGGCCTACAAACGAGAAATCAACGAAAGTTTGCACGTTTAAGCTTCGGAGTTGCAAACAGTTGCAGATTGCAGTCGAATCACAAAATGGGGTTTCTGGTGACCCCATCTGAATGGAAAATCCCATGTTCCTTTTTGGAATAGCATCCGCAAACAGTGGCTGTGCCGAAACTGCCGGAACTGCCGGAACTGCCGGAACGTCAAGAAGGCCACCATCCATGTGAGGTCAAGCCCAGCACGTTTGGCGACACGACTCAATCATAATCCTTGCAATAGTGATAGGATATATATATATAATATATATATATATATACCCTCTGGTAAACAAACATAGCTATTGAAAATAGCCATTTATAGTTAATTTTCCCATAAAAAATGATGATTTTCCATACGTAGTTATGTTAGTTTACCAGAGGGTAATAGGATTTGTTGAAAAGTATCCAACAATGTGAGTCATGACTGCAGCTGGATGCTCTTTTGTGGGAAAGAATGGGGACGCACACGGCTCCGTCCGATCCCTCCTCGCTTCGATGCTGCGAAGTATCTGCAGGAAGTGGATCCCAGAGGCCCCTTTTATCAGCTCCAAGTTCTGGGGTCACCCAGACATGTCCCGAAGCTTCAGAAATTCGTCTAAACCATATGGCAGTGGGTCAAAACCTTGTACCCCTGGTGAACATCAAAATAGCTGGTAAATGGATGTTAATTCCCCTAAAAATGGTATTAATAGGTATTGATCCATAGCCATATGAGAATCTTTTCTGATCCATCTGCTCCATCTCTGATCTTTCCTGGGTTCAAAATTCAACCATGATGATCACTGATGATCACGGCCCTGATGACCAGGGCTTCTGAGGGTCCTTCAGTACAAGGGCTAACCGGGCTAACTATATAGGCTATAGGTATCATTTTGCAGAATTCCTATCAAAAACCATCATCTACCAAAGCATTTTTAGTTGTATCACCCTATCAAAAACCATCATGCCAACCAACATCTACCAACCAAACCATTGGTTTTTCCAGATCAACCATCCCCATCCACCATCATCCGGACTGGGCCTGGTCCTAAGGCCAAGAAGGCTAAGGCCTGGTCCTTGGTCAAACCTCGGAGCATGGCCACAAGAATAGGGGTAGATGTGGGTAGATGCACCGAAATCGAGTGGTTTTTCAATAGTTTTGATTCGATTTTCTCTTGAACGACATTGAATTCTTTGATCAACAAGAAATGGGTGTTGAAAAAATAAACGTGGAAAAAGATTAGGAGGGGATCAACGATCACCCATGGCCCTGGGCCGAGCAACTACCTCGTTCTGTTGACGCTTCCTCTACCTTGGAGCGCTAACAGTGCTGGTGTTTGCATGGATTTCACCAACAGAAAGGAAGATTTGACCAGCTATGAGGATCTTACGAACAGTGGGGGGCCCCAACCACCGATAGGACGTAATCAACAAAGATGGTGATGTTTCCATCATTTTCCCATTCGAAGATCTTCGATGAATCCATTTCTCTTTCCGCTGTCACCCCATTTGCACCCCACTTCCCGGACACCTCAAAAGTTGGGGTCCCAAATCTCACCCGCACGGGCAACGGCACCTTTGAACCAGGTCGGCCGGAGGAGCTTTGGGATCCTGAGGGGTGGAGCATTCAATGGATAGCATGGATACAAGCTGGATACTACGTAGCTACTGTAGTTGTATGTAGTTGTATGTAGTTGTATGGATAACCATTAGTGGATTCAATATTTATATACAAAAAAAACATACAACTACACAACAGTTCCCATTTCGAAATGTCATGAAATGTCCCCATATCTCCCCATAAAAACCACAGCCGTTGTCCGTTTTCCGATGCGGATCTCCCAGATGGGCTGGTTTCCTCCAGAAATCTCGGGAGGATATCTTCCAGGCATCGGTTTGGGGCGGGTTTTTCAGAAAGGCAGAGCGAGTTGGGCCATGATCCAAGGTGAAAATGTTTGCGATGTCATGCCATGAATTTCTGTCTTTGTCTCCGTTTGTGTGTGTGTGTGTCTATGGTTCATGTGTATATTATGTATATTGACATTGGGTTTGAGATCAACTTGGTGAAGGTCTGTAGTTTGTTGGTTGTTTTCTTGTGCACATCTTGAGATATTGCATGGCAGGCGAGACCAAACTCCATTGAAACAACACCACAAGGTGCAATCCATGGAAAAATGTTCTTGAAGTTGTATGTCATGCTCCAAGTGTCTACAATTCATGGCTGTCCAGTTCCCATAGATCCCATAGTTACTTCAGATTTTGGCTGGTTTTTAGTGTTTCAAACCAATAGCTCCCCCAAGTGGATCTCAACAGGGCGGCCATTTTGAGCTGCGCCACAGCCAGGTGCTGGGCTTTCACCAAGACTTCAGAAGCAAAACAGCCATCCCCAAAAGCCAAGGCATACCTCGGCAGCCACTCAGTTTAGAGGCCACAACTGGGCACAACCGATTCTTGCTGATACCAGACAGGATCATAGAGAATCTATATGTAAAGTCGAACTCGATGTCGATGTTTCCATTGATGCCAAGTTCAACAAACATTCCGCTGTCGGACACAATTTCTGTGCAATATAATTCCAGCCAAGAAAAGGGATTGCCTTCCACCTCTCATCTTCCCTCAAGATGTGTTTATATTTTATAAGGTCCCTTCCAGAATTCTCATCTTGTCCAGATTTTTAAATCCAACCAAGAAATCCTACTCCGTCAGGGCAACACCATAGGGGCACCGAGGCCCCAACGACAGGACATCTGGAGCTGCCATGCGGCTCAGGAGATAGAGCGCCTCAACCGGTGCCAAGATTTACCAATTGCTCTGGAAAAAAATGTGTTTTGTATGTTTATATGATTTTGTAGCTGATTCACTAACCTGAAAAGACCGGCCCAAAATGGTGATGCCTCAGAAATACTGACCATCAGTGCATACCCTCTGGTAAACATACGTACAAAAAACTATGGAAATCACCATGCTATTAATGGGTATATCAACTATTTCTATGGCCATTTTTCATAGCTATGTTAGCTTACCAGAGGGCAGATTTCACAACATCCCATGTTTCCATCATGCTAAGCCATTATGAAAATGGTCATTTATAGTGGGTATGTTCTTAGAATTTCCAGCCGCTGGTACCAAAACTGCCGCGGTGCTGCCTGGCGCCAAGGGCACGTTTGCAGCAGGGCATTTTGCAGCGACGCTTCAGCAGTCAGGCCATGCAGGGCATGCAGTGCATGGGCATCCTGCCACGCCAAGGCCTTTCGGTAGGCGCCTTGGGCAGGACATGATGGCTTTCTCTGAAAATTTAGGGGGAAAAAAATAAATCTACCGGCAATTATGGCCATACGGATGCCCGGTATCCTACACTGGCAAAGGCAAGTAGCAAATAACCCTTAAGCAAATATAGAGAAAGCTAAATCCATCAAAGAACTCACAATGCTGAACCTACAGCAACTAGTAACTGATTCGTCCTTTGCCCAACTGTGCAGGAGAGAAAAAAAAACATGAACACAAGCCCGGAAGTCTACACCACGTGAAATTTGACGATCAAGTTTCACTGCAAAGTACATTAACACCTGGAATGGAATGCTAAACGCCAACAAGCAGGCATACATACATGAATTCCAATTTAGTGTTACCCTCTGGTAAACTAACATATATAAATATGGAAAATCACAAGTTTTAATAGGTAAATCAACTATAAATGTGCCATGTTCAATAGCAAACTGTTAGTTTATCAGAGGGTAAACCATCGATTTTCTGGCATCATTTTGACACAAAACCTTTTGGATCTCGGGTTGTTCACCCACAGTGCCAGTGGATCATGCCCATAGTTGGTGATCTGGTAGTCGATATCTGGGACGTTTCGCCATTGGATGCCACATTCTGAGTCTTAAACCATCCAAAACTCGCCAAATCCCCATGTTTGCTGGTAAATTCACCATGATTTCCTTAACGCCATAGCCACATCAAACGGATGGCCACCTGATATTCAATGCCAGGGCACCAGTCAAAGCCATTTGGGCAGTCTCATCGACCCTCAGGGCAAAGCTCTGAAAGACCTGACGCTGACTGGGCCACGAAGCCAGGAGGTGAGAACTATGTATTCAGTATGTGTACCCTCTGGTAATTTCTAACAGTTTGCTATTGAAAATGGCCATTGATAGTGGATTTTCCCATTAAAAATGGTGATTTTCCACAGTTATGTTAGTTTACCAGAGGGTATATACATTATAGAATGGTTTTATGTGTATACACTGCATATATTTATCTACATACTGCTTTCGTGTGTCAATATGTATTTAAAAAAATATCTATACCACATATACAACCTCCAGTAAAATTAGATGTGAAAAAACACCAGGACAGTAGATCGTTTTCCGGATGGGAAATGATCTAAGTTGCTTTACATCTTGTTTTGCTAATTCACTGGAGAATATGTCCAAGTTTTATGCCATGAAATATCCCATATCAGTCCATATCAGTTTTCCTTATACCCAGATGTTCCGTATAAATACCCAGCATTTTGTTGGGTATTTAGCTGGTTAACTATTAATCCACTAGAGTCAAAACATGGTAGATGGTTTATGCTCATCCATCCCCAATCCAAACATTCCAAACACAATGGCTATACATAAATCATTCATAAATCTCTATTCTCATGTTTTGATAACCCCCCAGGACTGGCTAGTAATGTAACTGACTTGACCGTGGCGCACCTTGAGGTGTTGCACCGCTGCACGCCACTTGCCACCAGCCTTTCATTCTGGGATCCAGCAACAAGTTGGGCATGGTTCAAGTCAGGCAAAATTTTGATCCAAAGCGCTTCTAAAAAATTTGTGGCTCCAGAAAACCTCTTCAACTTAGATGTATGTATATATATATATATATTACATGCGTTTGATTCTTAAGCCCTGCATTCACCCATGTCCCCGCCCGACCAGGCCTCAAAGCCGATCAATGTGGTTGTCAACAATTCCACATCCGGCCTGACAGGATCTGGGAAGACAATCGATGTTGAGATCGCCTGGTTCGATTTTTGATCCCGCCACCAAGCAGAAATCTGGGCACACTTCCAAGACTAAAGGGTTCGAGGTATCGGGTCAGACCGAGTCAGACCCCCCCAAAAAAAAAACGTGGTTATTTTCCAGTCATTCTTCTGAAGCACAACTCACAATTCTTGTTGAAACCACGGATTCACTTCCCACCAGCACCTCAGGGCAGAAGTCAGCACCTGGGCAGCGGCACACTTCAAGTCCACAAGAACTGCTGGGTCACTTGCGATTGACCTTTTTGATTTCTTGTGAAAACATGTTTTATCCAAATTTCACTCGACCTAGTACCACCGGTGTCCTTCACACCACTGGTTTGTTCAAAGTTGCGACCAGTTTCTCAGGATGTGTATATAAAATGACGGCCTAGTTCCAGATAACCCTGCAATGATGTCTTCCCCAACTGGAATCATTTTTCCAAATCAAAACAGGGAAAATCAAAAAATGTTCAACAGCTACTGAGAATGTCATTGAAAAATTACAGCCCCTTAGACCCCAAACAATTTTTCCATATCCATCGTAGCGTCTGCGTGCATGTTTGTGGTTTTATTAGCTCCTGATGTTGGCAATTTTTAGTCCATCTCAACTGAGAACAGCATGAATCACAAGCAACGTTTTTTCATGTTATTGCTATCTGGGGTCTATGCTGGTGTAACTCCTGAGACAACAAAAAGACACAAAGGGAGAAAAGGACCAATCACAATGAAATCGTGATGAAACAAGAACAGGACGCCGGCACTAGGGGAGACATATGAATGGGGAGACAAACGAAGTGGGAGATTGTGAGAAACAAATGATGGAAGACACGCCTTTGGGCGAACAGGCGAAGGAATCAGACACCAAGGCAGAGTGATGATTGAAGATACATGAGTCGGGAGACAGATGAATCAGGAGATAGATGGTAAGAGAAAAATTATGGGAGCCCAGTGGAAGCAAAGAGAAGACATCCGAACAGCCGGACACCACTAGTGAGAGACACATGAAGGAAGACACGGAAAGACAGACACCCGGAGAGCCGGACACCACCACCCAAAATGGAGACACCACTAGCCAGAGCGGGAAACACATGAAGGGAAACAAGTGAAGAGAGACATCTGGAGAGCGGAACACCACCAGCCGTCGAAAGCCAGACTGGGAGACAAGTAAAGAGAGACCAGTGAAGAGAGGCATCCAGAGACCCGGAAACCATTAGCCAGAGTGGGACATGAAGGGAGCCCCGAAAACAAGCACCGCAACAAGAGAAATCCAGAGAGTCGGGCACCAGTAGCCAGAGTGGGAGACGCAAGGAGACGGAGAGAAGTAAAGAAAAACATCTGGAGACGCAGACACAATTAACCCAGCTTTGCAACCCAACAGCAGTGACAGTTTCAAATTCAAGGCTGAGAGGCTGAGGGATACAATTGGAGGACAATTGGATCACCACATCTAGCAGGCAGCTCGGAAACACTTGGAAAGCGATTGAAAAGTTATTGGGGGACTAAACCTGGAAGACAGCCGGGCGTTGTGGGGGCTAAGTGGAAGGCAACTGGGAAAGAATCGGGAGAGCACATCTGGAACTAACTCGGAAACAATTGGAAGACCACAGTTGTACGACAAGCACGAGACAACTAGGTGACAAGTGGGAAACAACATCTAAAAGACAACTGGGAAACCACGGGCGACAAATGGAAGGCACTTAGAGACAATTGGAAGACCAATTCTGGGAGACAAATGGGAATTGTGGAAGGCCTGGGAAGCAATTGGAAGAAATCATCTCAGCAAACTGAAAATTGGAGGCTCCAAAATGCAACCCCTCTCAGGAAATCAGCGCCCGGACCTCCTAACAGCTCTGATGAACATGTCTCTTGTACTTCGCCTTTCCAGATCCCCTTCAAATGTCCCACGCCTGCCATCGTTTTTTGAAATGCTACAAAACCCTCACGTTCTGCTCACTTTTGACAAGGTCCACAATCCCTTGCACCTGCCACGCGAAACGACATCTGAACGTCCAAAAGTGGTCCGAGCACGTAGTGTCTTTCACATTTTGACTTCGAAATGTGCTTCGCGCCACAACAGCGCACACTTTTTCAACATCTCAACTTCCAAAAGTGCTCTGAACGTCGTGGTGTGCTTTGTACATTTTGACTTGGAAATGTGCTTCGCGCCACAACAGCGTGCATTTTTTCAACATCTCAACTTCCAAAAGTGCTCTGAACGTGAGGTGATTTTTAGTTTTTTTCACTTGCAAATGTGCTTCGCGCCACAACAGAGCGCACTTTTTCATCTCTCATCTGGCCAGCTGGCTCCGCACCCGCCGCTTTAGCGAGCATACTTTTCGACCCTCTGGAGCCACAAATCATTGGAAAAACACAGTGTTTCGCGACTTTCCTACCTTTCGCGCACCTGCATCTTCTTTTTTTCTGACTCTTTCTCTTCTCTGATCTTCTCTCTTCTGCTCTTCTCTTCTCTATTCTTCTGCTCCACCTCTGCTTTTCATCTGTCCATCTTGTCGGAAGTTTTACTTCTAAACTTCCTTCAATAAGATACAGATATGATACATATCAACATATATATTATTTAAAAAAATATGATACTTGTGTGAAATGTATATGATACGTATATGATACGCTTATGATACGTTTATCGTACATATATGATACATATCTAATACATATATGACACATATACAACGGATTCATGAAACATATATTGTACATATGTGATACGTATATAATTACTATGAATACTATACATATATCAAACATATAGGATACAAATATGATACATATATGACACACAAATGATACATATATTGCACATAAAAGTTACATATGTGATACATATATGACACGCTCATGATACATATATGATACTTAAATATGACAAAAATATTTTACATATACGTTCATGATACATGTATGAGACATAGTATGATACATATATGATACATATACATTCATGTTACATATATGATACATATATGACACGCATATGACACATAAATGATACAAATACACTCATGATACCTTAATGGCACATATATGACACATAAATTATACAAATACATTCATGATACGTATATGATACATATATGACACATTCATGATACGCATATGGCACATATGTGAAACAAAATTGTACGTACATAATATGAATATGATACATATATGATACATATATGACACATATATGTATCATATATGACACATGAATGATACAACTGCATTCATGATACATATACGATATGACACGGTCATGCTACATATAGTGTATGATACATATATGACACATATATCACACATAAATGATACAAATACATTAATGATACATATGGCACATGTATGAATATGATACAAATACATTCATGATACATATATGACACATATATCACACATATATGATACTGAAAAGCAAAGTGGCAGGCAATCAGCCCTTTTCCAGAGCGCCTGCTCGTGTGTCTCCCCCACACGATAGGGCCTAAGCCCATGTCTCCGCTGGCGAGGACGCGCTTTGTTCAATGATGCGTTTTGCATCCCTGAAATTCACATGGACCACACTTTATGTTGAACAAAGCGTGGATTTCAAGAAGTTTCTTGTGCCCTGTCTCGGTGAGAGACCATTTTCCAAACTTCATCACTCTTTGCAAGAATCCCGGAGGCATTTTCTTGGTTAATGGGTCTGAAATCATGTTGGTTCCACATACCCACCGGACCTGCCCCTTTGTCTTCTCCAAGTCGTCCTTCAAGATCGTCAGATCGATGGCCGTCCGCTTGTCATCTATGTGAGCCGATGTGTTTCGGCACTTGTTCACCGTGTCGTAGAGCGACTTTGAGTCTGTCACTGCTATGAACGGCAGTCGGTGTAGTTCTTGTTCCCAGGTGTCTAGGTTGAGTCGGCCACCTGAGATTTCTGTCAGAAGAAACCTGTGCCAGTGTAGGTTTCCGATCCCCTGGATCATCGACTGGCACTCAGCGCTCAGTGTGTTGACGGTGCAGCGCTTCAGTTTGTAGCTCTTCCAAGCTGCTATTGTCATCATCTCAAGTTGTTCTGATACTTCCAAATTGGCGTCATAGTACACCAGGAGGTATCCACCTTGACTGTGTGTTCGGGCCAATTGCAGAAACCTCTCATTGATGGGTCGATTCACCTCCTCTTCTATAGTCGATTTGATGAACGTAGTTCTTCCTGTCCATTGTTGTTCTTGGCGTTCTCGGATTCCATCTTTTCCATCCCATTCGTCACTGCTTGTTGACATACTCGTTGTGGTCGTTCTTCTCCTGGATATAGTGTGAAGATCTGGTCCTCCGGGAGCCGCGCCAGGATGAAATAGGAGTCGACGTGGAAGAACATGATGTCGTATCCAGCTCGTCTTTGTTTCCTCCCAGTAGTCCTTCTTGGAGTCTTCCAGGTATCTTTCGCCGGCATTTCCCCAGCTGGCGTCGGTAATGACACCGACTCTTAGGCGTTCCATCGGGATCGGTTGGATCCTGATCCCAAGGTCGGGTTTTCGTTTGAGCTCCTCTGCGACCTGGTTGGCCTCGACGATGTCTTTGATCATCGGGTTCGGCATGGTCTGTTGTAGGATGGCAACCTTACCAGCTATGTCTGGTCTTGTCTCCTTTGCTACCCATGAAAGTCCACCCAGCAGGGTTCTCAACTGATTGATCTCAACAGGGGTGCATTGTGAGTACCTCTGTCTCTTTCTGGCCTTGTCAATCTTGATGACGTTGATCTTCTCCTCGATGTAGTGTTTCTGGTGGATCAAGATCGATCCATCATCGGCCGGTTCAACCATCTTCCCCGTGAACTTCCCGCTGCCAGTCGTGTACTTGCCCATCCTGTATTGTTGTTTCAGCCATTCCATGTTGCTCCAGTGTTTCTCGGTTCCACCATGTATCATGTCATCAGTAGCGAGGGCTATCAGGCCTTCAATCTTTGTTTGGTTGTCGTCATAGAGGATGAAGAGGCATGGGTCTGCCTTGCTCTTCCTGTACCCTCTTGATTCGAGCACTCGACTTAAGTGCCTCTACCATTGGTATGGCCCATCAGTCAGGCCATAACAAGTCTTGAGGAGTTTGAGTAGTTGCCGGTCATGAAGTCCTGGAACACCTTCAGGTGGAAGAGAGCAGTATAGTTCCCGGGCGATTTTATCACCACTGTGAAAGGCCTGTGTAAAGTCCAGGTGTCCGATGATCCACTTCATGCTGGCGAGGATCTGAAGGACAAAGAACACTGTGTCCTTGGCCACCTGGGGTGTCGTTGATTCTAAGTCCTCCGCATTGGCTTCAGAATAGCCCTTCATGACATGTCTGGCTTTTGCTTTCAGGACCTCTCCTTCATTGTTGTCTAGGAGCAGACCTTCTTTCTGGAGTGGTTCTACTTCATGTGGTTCTACTGGTTTCTCCGTCAGTACATACCGGCTTTTCATTATCAGATCGGGTTTGTCTCTTCGTATTTGTTCAGACTCTTCTCGGGTGAGAGCCTGGTAAGCTCCTGACTGGAGATTGTTCTTGATTTCCTTGAGGATCGCCTTGTCGAACTTCCTCTGGTTCTTCTTGTCCATGGTCTTGTAGTTGATCTCCTTGCGCTTTCGGTTCATGTTCGCCTGCTCCAGCTGTGTGAACATCATCTCCAAAAGTTCTGCTCGTTGACGTTTCGCCGGCCTTTCTTCATCTTCATCAAGATGTTCTCCATGTCGAACTTGACCGCGTCCATCATCCTCTGCCTCTTGGTTACTCTCCTCTGAAATCACTGCATGTCGTTCTGATCCTTGCTCAGGCAAGAACTGCTTCTCCATGTCCATCTCGGAGTCGACCACCTCCTCATTCGGAGATCTTGGTTCGAGATCTTCAGTTCTAGCTGGTGTGGTCGGTGCGATCGATAGTGATCTAGGTGTCAGCACCAGCTCCGGCTTTTGTTCTTGGTCTTCTAGTCGCCGCCTCTTTTCGATGTAGGCGTCTGGCTGAAACTCAACCTCGGTCTCTCGATGTTTTCCTGTCAGCCGGTATCTTGGTGCTTGAGGTGGTAGTGGTCCAATGAAGTCCTTGTTGATCTCCGGCTGAAAGTCCAAGGCGTCCGGGGGCTTCTCATCGAGGACGATGTAGCCCTTGTAGTCGCCATCCTTGAGCTTCTTCTTCGTGTCCAGGATGTCTTGAATCCAGTCGGTGAGAATGAACTTCTCTTCCTCTGCTATCGGCCTCAGATGCTCAGGGCAGGCCTTGACAATTCTGCCCCGATGTGCCACCCATACTGTAGTTGGCAAATTCGTCAGGATGACCTTTGCTGGGCCGTGCCAAAAGTAAGGGTGATTTTTCTTTCCCCTCTCCATTCCCTTTTTCCAGTAGTAGACCGTCTGTCCCACCTCATAGTGTTGCCATACTCGTGGTCCGGCATGTAGTGAGTTCCGAAGTGCTTGTTCACAGTCCGCCTTGTGGTAGGCGATCGCTGCCGCTGTACGTAGATCCACTGATCGCTGAACTTGTAGGTCTCCAGCTGCATATCTTGATGCTGTTGACTGATCATTGAAACCTCCACTCATGAGGCTTCCTGGGATCCTCGGGCTATATCCCAGCATTCGCTGGATGGGGCTATACCCCGACTTGTTTGCCAGTCGATTGATTGTGGCCGTGACAACATCCACAACCTCATGCCACTCATCCCAGTTGTTGCACGTCACCTCCATCAGTGTTTTTGAGAAAACTTCCTTGTAAGTCCTTCCTGCTCGTTCTGTTAAGGATCTCTGCGTTGGTGACTCTAGTGATCCAGGGTCCAGGAAGATGGCATCCTGGTCCATCATCATTTCAAAACACCCACGGAATTCTTTTCCTAGGTCATCATAGACCCTTTCTGGAGTGCCGAAGATCCGTGTCCACTGTAGGAATGCTTGTCTTGCCGATCTCGGGGTGTGGTCATGTAGGGGTATCACCAGCTGGAACTTGGTGGCCCAGTCAATGATGTTCAGCGCCATCTTCCGCTTTCCGTTAAATTGTAATCCTGGGAGGTAGATGGTGTCGACTCCAACAATTTGGTTGGGAGTCAGTTCTCTCGGTGGTGCTGCAGCTCGGGCTGGGGCAATTTGCCTGTGTCTTTGGCAAACGTCACATTTGAGGTTCTTGGCATATTCCACAGCTTCTTTTCGTGCTCCAGCCTGGTGCAAGATCCTGGCCAGTCTGGCGTTGGCCAAGTGCCCCAAACCACAGTGAGCCCTGCGCACCAGCTGTTCTACTCCAAGTGGTCGTTCTCGTGGTAGCCATGAGTTACCGTCTTCTTCTTCATGTTCCTTCTCCTCATCTTCTATTGCAAGACCTTCCTCGTTGATCACTGCCAAATTCTCCGAGACCTCGTTCGTGTCAATCATCTCGTCATACTTGGCAGTCATGGTATTCTTTGGGACCTTGTCATACTCTATGTCCTCGTCATTCTTGATAACCTGGTCAATCGGTGGGATCTTGTCATACTTGGCGTTGAAGACCATCTCGGTGTGGTAGATCTCCTCGAAGAAGTCCAGATCTCGTACTACTCGAACACGTTCTTGTAGTGGTTGTTTCAGTGATCTGGCGTACGAACCCAGGATGGTATCAACCAGTTTCTTGGGATACTCTTGAGCCAGTTTAGACCTCGACCCTCCGGGTCCCGAACCGAACACAGGCAGGTGTTCATGAGTATGATCACACTGCCGGTCCAATGCCTTAGCGACGATGGCATTGTTGCACAACCATCCCGTTGGCTTTTTGTGAGGAAAGCCCTCTGTTGATTTGAGCCCAAACATGCATTGGTCATTGACTGTGAAGGTGACCGTTGGTAATGCAGCAAGTTTCTGGACCTTTGGTTCCTTCCATGCCTTCGAGGTTCTTGGCTGTTCCAGCAAAAAGGTGCCACCATATGACATGACACGTTCACAAATTTCACATGAAAAATTCAACAAAACCTTTGCCTGAATCAACCTTTTAATGAACTCTCTGTGTTTCGTTTCGTTTGTGAGGTGTTTCACGTTTAGGTTTTGCAGCTGGCTCAACATGGTGCATGGTGTAGAAATGACCACTAGTCCAGGTTTCATTTCATTGACATAGTTGCGAACACTCTGTCGTTGTCTGCTGTCCAACAAGTTGTCTCCTAGTGTCAAATCAAACGCTGCTCCCCTGTCCAGTCCATGTCGGTGTGTCCTTGGTCCAAAACGTTCCGGATTGAACACCTCAGCGACCAGTCTTGCCTTTTTCTTTGTTACCCCAAGGAGGCTTGCCAGTCGTTTCAGCTGGCGTCGGTCAGATACCCGACTTGGGTTCTGGACATCAAAAATTTCCTGAGCCATTTTTGTCATGTTTTTGTCAGGCTCAGGTGAGTTACTTTGGACAAGGGTTATAAGGTTCTGCCACATCTCTGCCGTCTCTCCCAGTGCTGTCTGGGCTTGGTTCAGCACATGCTTGACTCCCTTGTCCTTTTGGTTCTCGCCATCCTCAGTCTCGGTCATGGTTTCTTCCTTGAGCTGGCGGCTGGTGTCGGACCCTGATCTGTCCATATTCCGCCGGCTCGACATGCTCCAGATTTCTTCCACTCGAGGAACTCCTGGTAGTCGGGCTCGATCTTCTTGCGATTCTTCTCCTCCTCCATCTGCTTCGCCAGCTCGGTTTTCTCGGACTTGAGTACCTTGCCACATGTTGCGCACTTCACCATGATCTTGTACGGGTTGGTCCCTCTCTTGTCGACCTTGGTGTGAGGACAGTGTTTCTGAAGCTCCATGAGGATGTTCTCCACTGGTGTTCCTGACATTGATCTCGGTGAGTCCGGCGCATAGTCCTCTGGCTCCAGGTCGTCCTGGTAGATCGGGTCGAGGTACGGCTGGATCTCGCTCCAGATGAAGGTCGCACACTGCGATCCCCTCTGTCGTGGGCATCGCCAGAAGATCCTCTTGTAGTTGTGCCCCTGTTTGCGGCACACATAGAGCTTGGTTGTCTCGTGATGTTCGCATTGCGGTGGAGGCCCCACCAGTCGTAGTACTTGATCTGTCACAAGATCTTGTCCGGCAACAGTGCTCGCCATGCTTGGTGTCATAGACCTCTGCGTCGTTGTAGACCGTCCACTCGCCACGGAGATCACGTCGAAGTCGTCCATGCTCCTCGAAGATGATGCCCTTGGAGGTGTCCGGGAAGTTGCCATAGCCGATGTCCTTGATGTTGTTGGTGCCCTCGTCCTCGACGGTGGATAGTCCTGATGCCCTACTTCCACAGGTTGCGGCGTTTGAAGCAGTCGCATCGCTAGCTCGTTGACCCGAGCCATCACAAAGAGCAATTTGAGGACCATTCGACACCAGTCCTCCCGAGTTCCCTGACTGTGGTCGTTCTGACGGGATCTCTTCCGTTCGGACTCCATCACTGCTGTCTCGGGTTGGTGGCACGTCGTGGTGCGTGGTGGTTTCCTTGGGCCTTATGAGCTCTGATGCGGTGGCTTCAGGGTTGCACTCCGTTTTCAAAACCTCAAACTCCGTTTTTGTGTTCTTAAATTGTTCATGAAGTTGGCTCAACTGATTTATTTGGGTTTTTGAGAACAAACATAAGGGAATCCTAAGGGCACCTGATGGTCTAAATGACAAGGAACAGAAAAATCAAACTGTTTGAAGTAAATCCTTAAACCTTCAATGGGGTCTAAAAACAACGTGGACCTACAAAACATCAAAAAGGGAAGTGAGATCAAGAACGGTGCATTTCGGCTTTCGGGGTTTTCAAAAACAGCAGGTTTCAAGACACTACCCTTTCTCCCAAGTCCTGTAGGAACAACTGCAACTTGGCTGGTGACGGATCGTCCATGAACTGATCGAAACCTGTGTTCCTGTTTGTGAAGGTGTACTGGAAGTTCCTCGGGTAAGTGCTTGGCCAGCTTCTTAAGGGTTTCTATACCAATAGCCATTCTCTGACATCCCGTATCAACTGTTGCACATGCTTCATCTGGTAAGTGGTTGGCATTCTTGGTACTAGCCCAGTGGTTAGTGGAAACCCCATGATAAACAGATTCCATTTCACCCAGAAAAACCTCCCAATCATCACAACCTCGGTCCTTATACCGGGACATGGGCTTCACATGTTCAAAACTGTCAGACCACTTGGCACTACCTGCAGCGTCCGTTTTGGACAGAGGCTGTTCTGCCTCGCACTCACCCCGGCCGCTCAGTCCTGCTTCTCCCGGGGACAGTTGATCTTCTTGGTCTCGCATTGGGCTCACCTGTTCTTTTCCATCAACTTCCAACATGCCGCAAAACGTGGCCTCCTCGGACTGGAGGTAGTGCTGCTCCTTCTCGCCAGAGCCACGGTGCAAATCAGGACATTCTCTATGCCAGTGCCCCACCTTGTGGCAGTGTCCGCACTTGGTCACTTTCTTCACCTCTTCTATCGTCATTCGGTACTGCCCTGACTTGAAAGGCTGTCGACCGCCGGTGGTCGTGGTGAAGGATTTCCCTCGACCTTTCCCACTGTTGTGGTATCCTCGGCCCAACTCCTTTGCCTTCTTGGCCTTCTGGCTCTGTGCAAAGTTCCTCTTCTTGCTGAGCATTGTGCTCAAGATCTCCACGGCCTCGTGCTCCTCCAAGATGTTCCCTTCATCTTCTTGAGCTCCCGAAAGATCACCTGCTGGTTCTCCATCTTGTAGATCTCGGATCGCGGTCTCAAGAGCGAAGATCTCCTCGTCCTCCAAGTCGGTCTCGTCCTCGTTCAGCATGTAGTGCCCGCTGCCCTTCGTCACGTTGACATTCTTTTTCTCCACTCCGACCTGGTTCACCTGCAACTTGGTTTCATGCTTCCGAACCCACTCCTTGATGTCCTTTGGCATGATACTTCCATGAGTGAAGTTCATCATAGACTTGATCTCTTGGTCGTTGAGGCAAAGTGCCTGAATCAAGAGAAAGCCGATGTACTTGTCCGGCAATTGAACCTTGTGCTCGGTCACCTTTCGGTAGGCAGATTCCCACCTATTGAAGAAGGTCCTGTAGGCCTCATTTTTCTCACGACGCACATGGTACGTCACCTTGGCCAAAGCGCTCAGCAAGTCTTCATCACGGTCGTCTCCAAAGTACTCGGAGAGGTCCATCATGTTGATCAGCTCCTCTCCATTGGTGTCGCTTTGCATCCACTTGGAGTCTTTGGCGAGAAACTTCATCGTCTCGAATGGGGTCTTTGAGAGCTTGGAGAGAAGCAGCGGCCCTCTCGTGCGGGGTTTGCTACGAGTTGTAGCAAGCCACAACCTGGCTTTGATGACATAGTCCTGGAAAACCAAGCTCTCTCCATCCCATTCCGGTGCTGGTCCTGCGTTCGTCCGGCCATCATCATAGCCATCAGATCCAGCACTGCTAGTGCGATGTCTTCGTCGTTCTGTACCGCGTTGTCTACCGCGGTTGCGCATCCACGCTCTGAACTCTTCGCTGTCAAAGCCGTCGTCCTGGTCGGCCTCATCATCATCGTCAGCCGGTGAAGATCTGTCAACTCTGAGCGATCCCACCTCGGCTGTTCTCACTGGTGTTGTCGGCCTGCCCTGGCCGTGGTCACTTCTTGATCGTCCACCCAGTGCATCGTCGCTGCCTTGCGATGATGGTGGCACTGGCTGGTCCATGGCAAAAACCTATCTCGGATGCCCGGATGTTTCCCGGGCTCCGCTACCACTGAAAAGCAAAGTGGCAGGCAATCAGCCCTTTTCCAGAGCGCCTGCTCGTGTGTCTCCCCCACACGATAGGGCCTAAGCCCATGTCTCCGCTGGCGAGGACGCGCTTTGTTCAATGATGCGTTTTGCATCCCTGAAATTCACAGATACATATATGGTACAAACATGTACGTACAATACACATATGATAATATATGATACATTCATGACACATATATCGCACATAAATGATACAAATACATTCATGATACGTATATGATACATATATGACACATATAGACAAATACATTCATGATACATATATGACACATATATCACACATATACGATACTTATATGATACAAAAAGGTAGGTATATAATACGAATATGATACGTATATGACACATTCATGACACATATATCACACATAAATGGTACAAATACATTCATGATACATATGTGATATGATACATATATGGCACATATATGAATATGATACAAATACATTCATGATACATATATGATACATATATGGCATATATATATATATATGAATATGATACAAATACATTCATGATACATATATGCCACATATATGATACGTACATGAAAAAATGTACGTGCAAAATATGAATATGCTACATATATGATACATGTATGACACATATATGATACATATATTAGACATATATGATACAAAAATGTATGTATATAATACGACTATGGTACATATATGATACATTCATGACACATATATCACACATAAATGATACAAATACATTCATGATACATATATGATACATATATGGCACATATATGAATATGACACAAATACATTCATGATACATATATGATACAGTCATGGCACATATATGAATATGATACAAATACATTCATGATACATATACGCCACTATGATACGTACATGATACAAAAATGTACGTGTATAATACGAATATGCTACATATAGTGTTCAACATTCAGGATTCCTTCCTTTTTATGACTAAGCTGCGCTAGAGGCGTTATTGATCTAAGAGATGATCACATCTCAAAAGAACAGAAACCAGAGGAACAAAGAAACGAGAACCCCAGGAACATCAAGCACCACCAGATGTCCGGAGCCCCCCGGGTTCCCCCAGCCCCCCGCGCGCAAACACCTACCCAAAGCCACCTGTGTCTGTTCTCCCATAGGCCAATGCCATTATCAGACACAGACAAGTACACAGGGTCCCACTGTGTGGTGGTGCACAGGGGTTGGTGGAGGGTAAGCAAAGAAGCTACAGTCATTAAGAATGTATCACACTATCTGACAGGGGGACCGTTTGCTAGTGTTCAACATTCAGGATTCCTTCCTTTTTATGACTAAGCTGCGCTAGAGGCGTTATTGATCTAAGAGATGATCACATCTCAAAAGAACAGAAACCAGAGGAACAAAGAAACGAGAACCCCAGGAACATCAAGCACCACCAGATGTCCGGAGCCCCCCGGGTTCCCCCAGCCCCCCGCGCGCAAACACCTACCCAAAGCCACCTGTGTCTGTTCTCCCATAGGCCAATGCCATTATCAGACACACCCTGTGTACCATCCTTCCCGTTTTGCGCAAATGCGCGAGTGTGAAGTAGGCTGGCTCAAGCGGGAAAGATCAGGTGGGAAAAAGCCAGGGCAAGGGAGGAGAGGGAGATTCAAACAACTGCATTATCAAATGATGGCCTGCATTTCATTGCCAACTGGCGAAACTGTCGTAACTGGGAATCTGACAGTTGCAGTTCTGTTAACTGAGCAACTGCATCAGAAATATATATTCTAGCAGTTTTTACACTGCTCCATCGGCCTTTTACACAAATAGCAGCAATATTGTTTGTTGTTCTAAACGCATGGGTTGCCCCTCCACGTCGAACACTGTACCACCGAAAGGGGAACGAAATTTTTAAAGTCAGCAACAGGTCATTCAACCGTTTACGTTGGGTTCCACCAGAGACATGAGAAAGAGAGTCACCAGGAGACAGGTTAACCAGAAACCTTTTCAACAACACCAACACAAAAGGATCAGTCAAAAGGATACTTTCAGTCACGCCTTGTCGTTGTCCACTTTTTGAAAGGGGCAAGGTCCAAGTACCCGACTTGCTACCCAAGACAAAGTCACCAGCTTTGGCGCGAAAAAGTTCGCCCGCACGAGCAAAGGTGTGAAACCCCAGGATGAGCAAGACAGCAAGATCCACCCAGCCATGATCGGCGGCAGCCTGAGCAACTGCATATAGAAGCAGAGGTGTAAACGGTGGTGCTCGGCAGGGAAGTTCTGCTCGCCCCCAGGCCGCATGCAGTCTCCAACCGCCGACTAGGTAGGGTTTACAGGGTGGAATAAAGTGACCCAAACCACTAAGGCAGTCTCCAGCCCATCCTTTAGGGTCTCCCTGCTCCCAAAGTTCCTCAATAAACTGTGAGACCTCCAAATCCAAAACTAAAAATGATGACGGGTAAGGTTTCCCTTGTGAAATTAGGAATTCAAGAAATCGTGAAACACTGGCCAAATATCTAGCTTCAGTTTTGGGTGAAACAACCTGCGATTTTAGTCTCCCCAAAGCCTTTCGATCCCTTTGCCTCTCAGCCCGAGTCCTTTTTGCAAGCACTTGTCGTTGTCTAGGCATCTTGCTTAGCGCGTCTGCTGACCCATCGCGATGGGCCATCAGCAGGATTCCATTCTGATTTGACCCAGGCAACAACGAGGCGCGTGGATGTGGCTACCAAAATGGCAGCCAATCGTCGAAGAGGCTGTCGGAGACTGCAGGCGCTGGTGCGTCCTTTCGTAAGAATGCCCACGACTGAGGCATTGTCCACCAGCAGCAAAGATTTCTTTTGAAAGTTTGCTGACGTTCTGCTCAGCTTTCTCATCAGGTCCAAAACAGCCACAGTTTCAAGTTGGGTGATGTGGGCATTTGGCTGCTTCCATTTGTACGAAAGGACCACCTTCCATTCCCAGTGTGTGGGATCAATCGAGCGACGACAGAAGTCGCTTGCCGAGAATGGGACTCCGTGATCCAGCTTGACATCAGTCCCTCGGTGTGAAACGTTGCGGGTGATGAGATAGGTCAGCAATTGCTCATCACTGAGTGCTTCATTGGGATCCAGCAGGGACCTTGGGGAAGGCAAGAGGCGACCAGACCTGCAAAGGCAGTGCCGGAGGCCCCACACCGCACCCTTGGCCCCCGGACCGAATCGGGTCGACCATGAAGCCTCCTTGAGCTGTTGCACTCGATCTTCATTAGTTTTCCAAATTTTCCAGAGCTCGGCCGTGAGGTCCATGTCAGAATCTGGCGCATCCGTGCTACACAGACCAGCCAGAAGCCGCGCCACCACCAAGACAGGAAACGTGTTTCCAATCAGCTGACCTCGTTGATCTTCAGTCAACTTCTGCTTGAGGTCCAGGGCGTCGGAATTGTAACCCAAGAGTCTGAGTTGCTCATCTGAGAGCAAGCGTCGAGGGCCTTGTGGTGTTTTCACCAAATTGTCCTCTGAATATTGGTAAGGGGCCAGACGATACGCATCACCCCGCCAACGACCCAGAGTTTTGGCGTCACAGCGGTCGTATCCCGCTGGATCACGTGGTGGCTCTGCCCTCGGCATGGGTCGAGCGAAGGTGAAGAAAGGGCGCCCATCATCAATCAACTTGGTGCAGCCGCGCCGCAGAAACCACTCCAGCGGTGGCTTTTCTGTTGTGATCTTGGCCACAGTCAACTTGGTTTGCAGGTTCCCTACCTGCTGCTCCGGCAAGAGTTGGAGATCAGCTCCTTCCATGATGGAAAGGTTCTTCAGCCAGAAGAGTCGTGGCCGGCGGCAACGCAAGGCATCAGCAGCCTCACACATGATTGGCAGGACCCCAATTTTGTCCGATTGCACCGTGAGGTCCTGCTGATCCATCACTACATTTTCATAAAACTCGATAATGTCCCAGTCGGGCAGGTGTAGAGGGCGGCTGACTTGTTTCAGTTGCTCTGCGAGGGCCAGCATCACGTCGAGAAGCCTGGAAGAATCAGCTTCTGCTCCCAGACGATTGGTGTTGAGAGAAGAATGGTTCACACACGGCCATCCACCTCCAAGCACCACCTTCTGTGCCCTTGGGAACTGCAGCCTCCATGATTTCACCATTGCCCTGTCAACCTTGTGAATGTTGTCGACTGGCAAGACAAATGCGCAGTGACGCTTTGCCAACTTCAGGCACACTGGGTCCGTGTCAATCAGGATAATGCCTTGTGGAAGGAGCCCAAGCAGTTCGATCGCTTTTCGCAGGCCTCCCATGCCGCCAAAGACTTCAATGAGCACAACCCCATCACAGGCTCCTCCTTCTCGACCTTCATGTTCAGAACACATCAGGTGGAGTTTGGCTCGTCCACGTGCAGACAGACAAGTTGTCTGACAAGCACCTCCCCCTTCAGGAGAAGCATCAGTTGCATACACCGTCGGGTTGAGACAGGTGCGCTGGTTGCTCCAAAGCAGTGGCAGCAAGCAAGTGAGCATCAACAGCTCCTCGTACGCAGCCAGATCCACACAGGTGTTGATATCGTCCAGGTTGAGGTTTCTATAAAGATCATCAAAACAGCAAGCCACAGGGCGGCAGTACTGTGTGGCATGCATGTGCTTCCCAACGACCGACAGCAACTCCAGATCACACGTCCTCATGTCCTCTTTCATCAGGAGGCAAAGGGATGATGACATCACCGCCCTTCGAAATTTTCGTGAGCTTCCCACAAGGCCTTCCATGCCCAACTGTTCGGCTCCAAGGCTGACCCACTCAAGCGTACCTTCTGCCGCTTTCTTCTCATCACGGCCGATATCCCAGGTCTGGAAAGTCCGTCTAAGCTGCAGCTGGCTGTCAGACGGTCGTCCCTCATACTCCGCCAGGTCGGTCCTTGCAATGATGACAAAACCATCGTAGTTGTCGACATAGAAGCTGTGATATTGCCTTGGTGTCGTGAGCTCCAGAAGAGGAGATGGCTCACCCATCTTGACGCATCTGCTTGCCGGGATTCCACCCAGAGTTCCCATTCTTTCCAAAGACGATTGGACAAAGTCAACAATATTTGCCCACCCCATTGGGGCTGACCGTACCCGAGGTCTTCCTTTCTCCTTCACCCCGTCATTGAAGCTGCCACCACTTGCTTCTTTTGACAGCACGAAGTAGCCCCGCCACCTGGGACCCGGGGAGAAGATGTGAAAACAATGTTTCACGTCCTCACCGTAAGAGAGAACGACCTCGTCCTCCAAGAGAACCATGTTGCCCCAAAGGGGTGCATACCCCATTGACTTCGAAGCTTGATCTGGCATTCGGCGTTGCAGCAGATTGGTTGGGATCAAGTTCACAATGAGTCGCAGGGAGCGACGCCAGTTGCCATTGCCTTCGTCGATCCAGCCCTTGTGCACGCCAAAGAGGCCATTGTAGATCGGGGTTCCCTTGACTTTGACCGTCTCACTAGGGACCTCTCGTTCCAGCATGCCAGCCTCCACCAGGTGCTTTACAATGAGGTCGTACTCCGCGCTGGATTCTACAAGCACTGGAGCTGAGTATCTGACATCTCCCAACTCATCATCAGGAATTCTCAGAAGGTCAGGGTTGACCACATAGTCCTTCAGCTCAGGTGGGACTGTTTCCTCCAGGGCAACCCTTCCGGCTTCTCCGGGGCCTGGCACATGCGGGGCAATAGCTGCCCAGCTCAACTTGTATGCTTTTGTGACTTCATATCCCGTGTAGAAATCGCCCAGATTTTGAGCTTGTACTTCCCATGGAGTGATCTTCAGTTGATGCTGATCATCCTCGATCCACAGGTTGATCAGTGCCCGGAAATTATCCATCACTTGAAGCTGCTCTGCAGTGGGGTTCAAGGGATGCGGCATCACTCTGCCCAAGGGCCTTGAGCCACCACAGAACATGGCGTTGAGGACAGCCAGGACCAAGCCCAGCCATACCTCCCTGCCACATTCCTTGGCGAGCTCCAGGGCTGATGCCTTTTCTGAATCCGTCAGGGCCCGAGGCTGCTCATTGTCGAGCAGCAGCCGATGCAGACGCAGCTCTGCCTGAGTTTCCTCTGGGACACTCATAGGGAGCAGCTCGATGGGTGTCTGCCTAAATTGCCGTCTAGCGCAGGCTGGTAACATCCTAAGGATGTTCCCAAGATGTCCCGGGCAGCGACTCAACACCATCTTCAGCACCACCCCGACCAAAGAGACAGTCACCTCACCGTCCAGCTGCAGTCTCATGAAGGATTGGCATTGCTGCCACGTCCAGGTAGTCTTCTTCCCAGAGATTGAAAACTTGTCAATCACCTCTGCAGCCGCATTGAAGCCGCCGGGCTCGACATACACAGGTCGTCCGTCCAAAACATGAGCTGCCTTCTCCACCGCAATGTTGTCTGCATAGGCTTCCCGGAAAATCGAGGTAGGAAATAACTCGCAGCCATCACCAACATAGACTCCACCGTCTACGGCATCCCATCCAGAAAAGATCTCTCGTACTTGGGTTGACCCCACCACTCCAAGCAGCTTGCCTTCTTGTGCACGCTGATAGCGACCAGCTTTTAGGCCACGGCTGTCTGTCTTTCCATGCGGAGCCACCCGATGGAAGTTGCGGTCACCCAGTTGGCCTCCCTCTCGTGCCAACGGGGAATAGTAATGCTCCAGCAATTTCAAGATGGCATCCGGCGAATAATCGCACCATTCTACCATGAGTGATGTGAAGTCCTTGTAGACCCGTCTCTTGTCATCCAAGCTTTCATAGCTGGCTATGACGCCACCATAGATCTCGTGCAGGCGCTTATCCCGCAGGAGCAGGTCAAAACCCTGTCGGATACCATCACTAATGTTGGGATCCTCCAGAGCTCGGTCCAACGCCGGCAAATCCAAACGGCCATCGACCAGGTTCACTTGCGACCAAATCGGCCTTTCTTCCCTTTGCCTTTTCCTTTTCTCGCTCCCCCCTTCGGCTGATTGTTCGGCAGGGCGTCTTTGGCGTCTCCGTCCCCTTGACCTCCGGGTGTCTCGCTCGTTGGCCACGCTGGCGTCCATGTTGGGGTCGGTCTTGCCTGTCTGAATGGCCCCCTCTGTATCTTCCACTCTTCTTTGACCTCGGATTGTGCTGCCTTCAGCTCTGGCCTGAACACTGCCGATTGGTTGTCCTCCAGGACCAATTCCAGCTGTGAGGCCTGCGACCAACCCTGCTGATTGTGGGCCAGTTCCAAGGCTTTCAGTCGCTGAACCAATACATCGAGAGCTCTCAATGAATCGTTGTGACAAAGCATGTCTATCACAGTCGCCACTGTTCTGAGCTCTCTCAAGTTCCGCACGCCCACGGCTGCTGGGGGATTTTGGACCAGAAAGACCCCCGCCAGATACCCCATCGCAACCGCTGGAAGCTTCTCGTCGCTGTCCACTGCCGTTCCCCTTCCCTGCGCTCGATGCACCAGCTCCTGCATTCGCAAGAGGCTTAGGGAGGCCAGATTTCCTGGGCTTTTCTGGTGCAGGCGTCGGAGGCGTTCCATGCCTCTTGGAAGGGCGGCTGAATGAAAAAGCGACCCTGTGCTAGATGTCGATGAGGGGCTGCGACCACGGGCACGGTCACTGCTCGAGCTTCCGCTTTTCTTTTTCTTCTTCTTTTTGTGCTTGGATCCCAGCTCGAGAGCTGAAAGACGAGGTTCAGGAGGGACCTTCTTGTCAAGTTCCGCACGCAATCCCACTCGTCCTCGCTCATGGGCCTCACCCCGAGCAGCCTTGCGACCACGCTCTTCACGTCCAGGAGAGGGTGACCTCTTGTGAGGCTTCCGGTCTCTTCGCTCCTTCTTTTCATGCCGACGCTCATCCGCAGGCGTGCCACCTCTCTCACTGGCAGGTCGTTTGTTGGCATCCTGTCCAGCCCCTAAGGCCCTAGCTAAGCCTTCCACGCCTTCTTCACCTGTCTGCACCTCGCCACGCGCAGCATCCAGAGGAGGTGCTGCCCCAGGAGCAGGATGACCCCCACTCCCAGGAGCGTCCCTCCCCCCGATGACTGCGGGGTGTGCTTTCAGCCAAGCTTTCTGGTCTTCCTTCAGCCAGCTTAGACGTTCCACCTGAGTGCCACTGACCAGTCGGTAGACGTCCACATGAATCGGATCCCTGAATGCTGTGTGGCTTCTGCACACTGCAACCGGCACATCGCAGAAGTGAAAGAAGGTGACTGGAGCATCCTGGATCTTACCGTAGAGGTTTTCGAACCAGTATTCGTAGTAGCCGTCTTCCACAGCTAAGACTTGTCCTTCATAAACTCGTCCACCAGCAATGTTGCTTTCCAGGGCTGCCGCTGTCAGGCAAGCCACCACCCGGCCCTGTTGACGATGCCGGTCATCGTAGGCAGCAAACTCAAAGATGCAGCCAATCTGTAAGCCCTCATAGTGTCCGGCATCTGCTTTCTGTCCCGTTTTCCTCCAGGGGCCCAAGCGCTCACCAGCCATAGATCCTCCTCACTCAAGTCAGAGACTCACAGCGATGTCCACCCAGAGAGGCAGACACCACCAGCTCCAACGAGAGTGAGGGGACCAGGACTGGTAGCCGGCCCCCACCTTACAACTCCTTAAGCAAAGAAGCTACAGTCATTAAGAATGTATCACACTATCTGACAGGGGGACCGTTTGCTATGATACGTGTATGACACATATATGACACATATGATATATATATATGATTATATATGCAGTATATACATTCATGATACACTTGTGATACCTATATGACACATTCATGATACATAAATGATACATGTATACATATATATAGTGACGGACAATCACTTAGAACGTAAATTTTTTTCCATTTTTTTTTTTCGTACTTAGAACGTAGCAAAATTTCATCACTTAGAACGTAGGGAAAATTCATCACTTAGAACGTCAAAATATCACTTAGGCCCATTTATCACTTAGAACGTAAACCAACACTTAGAACGTGCTAAGTGATTGTCCGTCGCTATATAAACTATTTTTTCGATTTCAAAATCAATTAAATTTCCTTATATAGCGCAATTAAACATATTGCCAAAAATTGGATTTCGAAGCGGACCCTAATAATAAATTTAGACCCTTAATAAAGCGGCTATTTTTTTTGACTTCAAAATCAATTAAATTTCCTTATATAACGCAATTAAAATATTGCCAAAAATTGGATTTCGAAGCGAATCCTAATAATAAATTTAAACCCTTAATAAAAAGACTAGTTTTTTCGATTCAAAATCAATTAAATTTCCTTTTATAACGCAATAAGACTATTGCCAAACACTAGAGTTCGAAGCGGACCCTAATAAATTTAAACCCTTAATAAAACAAAACTATTTTTTTCGATTCAAAACCAATTAAAATTCCTTATATAGCGCAATTGAAATATTGCCACAAATTGGATTTCGATGCGGACCTAAATAATAAATTTAAACCCTTAATAAGAAAAACCGTTTTTTTCGATTTCAAAATCAGGTAAATTTCCTTATAACACAATTAAAATATTGCCAAAAATTGGATTTCGAAGCGGATCCTAATAATAAATTTAAACCCTTAATAAAAAGACTAGTTTTTTGCTTTCGAAATCAATTGAATTTCCTTTTATAACGCAATTAAAATATTGCAGAAAATTGGAATTCGAAGTGGAATCGAAATTATGTCTAGGTTTCCTATACGGAATTAGCTGCTGAATCCAACACTTAGAACGTCAGAACCCCTAAAAAACACCAAAAGGTATAGTGTTCCAGAGATAAAAGATCACCAATATTTGCAAATCATATGGGAGGGAAAAGCCAAATGGTACCAAATTATGTCTATGTTTCCTCGGAATTAGCTGCTGAATCCAACACTTAGAACGTCAGAACCCCCAAAAAGCACCAAAAGGATCCAAAAGGTAGAGTGTTCCAGAGATAAAAGATCGCCAATGTCAAATCATATGGGAGGGAAAAGCCAAATGGTACGAAATTATGTCTATGTTTCCTACGGAATTAGCTGCTGAATCCAACTCTTAGAACGACAGAACCCCCAAAAAGCACCAAAAGGATCCAAAAGGTAGAGTGTTCCAGAGATAAAAGATCGCCAATGTTTGCAAATCATATAGGAGGGAAAAGCCAAATGGTACGAAATTATGTCTGTGTTTCCTACGGAATTAGCTGCTGAATCCAACACTTAGAACGTCAGAACCCCCAAAAGGATCAAAAAGGTATAGTGTTCCAGAGATAAAAGATCGCCAATATTTGCAAATCATATAGGAGGGAAAAGCCAAATGGTACGAAATTATGTCTATGTTTCCTACGGAATTAGCTGCTGAATCCAACACTTAGAACGTCAGAACCACCAAAAAGCACCAAAAGGATCCAAAAGGTACAGTGTTTCAGAGAGAAAAGATCGCCAATATTTGCAAATCATATGGGAGGGAAAAGCCAAATGGTACGAAATTATGTCTATGTTTCCTACAGAATTAGCTGCTGAATCCAACACGTAGAACGTCAGAACCCCCAAAAAGCACCACAAGGATTCAAAACGTATAGTGTTCCAGAGATAAAAGATCGCCAATATTTGCACATCATATGGGAGGGAAAAGCCAAATGGTACGAAATTATGTCTATGTTTCCGACGGCTTAGAATGTCAGACCCCCCAAAAAGCACCAAAAGGTATAGTGTTCCAGAGATCAAAGATCGCCAATATTTGCAAACCATATGGGAGGGAAACGCCACATGGAACAAATTTTTGTCTATGTTTCGTACGGAATTAGCTGCTGAATCCAACACTTAGAACGTCAGAACCCCCAAAAGCACCAAAAGGGATAGTGTTTCAGAGATAAAAGATCGCCAATGTTTGCAAATCATATAGGAGGGAAAAGCCAAATGGAACGAAATTATGTCTATGTTTCCTACGGAATTAGCTGCTGAATCCAACACTTAGAACGTCAGAACCACCAAAAAGCACCAAAAGGTATAGTGTTCAAGAGGTAAAGATCGCCAATTCAATATTTGCAAATCATATGGGAGGGAAAAGCCAAATGGTACCAAATTATGTTTATGTTTCCTACGGAATTAGCTGCTGAATCCAACACTTAGAACGTCAGAACCCCCAAAAAGCAACAAAAGGATCCAAAAGGTAGAGTGTTCCAGAGATAAAAGATCGCCAATGTCAAATCATATGGGAGGGAAAAGCCAAATGGTACGAAATTATGTCTATGTTTCCTACGGAATTAGCTGCTGAATCCAACACTTAGAACGTCAGAACCACCAAAAAGCACCAAAATGCATAGTGTTCAAGAGATAAAGAACGCCAATATTTGCAAAACATATGGGACAGAAAAGCCAAATGGTACGAAATTATGTCTATGTTTCCTACGGAATTAGCTGCTGAATCCAACACTTAGAAGGTCAGAACCCCCAAAAAGCACCAAAAGGATCCAAAAGGTATAGTGTTCCAGAGATAAAAGATCGCCAAGATTTGCAAATCATATGGGAGGGAAAAGCCAAATGGTACGAAATTATGTCTATGTTTCCTACGGAATTAGCTGCTGAATCCAACACTTAGAACGTCAGAACCCCCAAAAAGCACCAAAAGGATCCAAAAGGTATAGTGTTCCAGAGATAAAAGATCGCCAATGTTTGCAAATCATATAGGAGGGAAAAGCTAAATGGTACGAAATTATGTCTATGTTTCCTACGGAATTAGCTGCTGAATCCAACACTTCGAACATCAGAACTCAGAACCCCAAAAAGCACCAAAGGGTATACTGTTCCAGAGATAAAAAGATCACCAATAGTTGCAAATCATTTGTGAGGGAAAAGCCAAATGATACGAAATTATGTCTATGTTTCCTACGGAATTAGCTGCTGAATCCAAATCAGAACTCAGAACCCCAAAAAGCACCAAAAGGTATAATGTTCCAGAGATAAAAGATCGCCAATATTTGCAAATCATTTGTGAGGGAAAAGCCAAATGGTACGAAATTATGTCTATGTTTCCTACGGAATTAGCTGCTGAATCCAACACTTAGAACGTCAGAACCCCCAAAAAGCACCAAAAGGATCCAAAAGGTATAGTGTTCCAGAGATAAAAGATCGCCAATGTCAAATCATATAGGAGGGAAAAGCCAAATGGTACGAAATTATGTCTATGTTTCCTCGGAATTAGCTGCTGAATCCAACACTTAGAACGTCAGAACCACCAAAAAGCACCAAAAGGATCCAAAAGGTATAGTGTTCCAGAGATAAAAGATCGCCAATTCAATATTTGCAAATCATATGGGAGGGAAAAGCCAAATGGTACGAAATTATGTCTATGTTCCTACGGAATTAGCTGCTGAATCCAACACTTAGAACGTCAGAACCCCCAAAAAGCACCAAAAGGATCCAAAAGGTATAGTGTTCCAGAGATAAAAGATCGCCAATATTTGCAAATCATATGGGAGGGAAAAGCCAAATGGTACGAAATTATGTCTATGTTTCCTACGGAATTAGTTCCTGAATCCAACACTTAGAACGACAGAACCCCCAAAAAGCAACAAAAGGATCCAAAAGGTATAGTGTTCCAGAGATAAAAGATCGCCAATGTTTGCAAATCATATGGGAGGGAAAAGCCAAATGGTACGAAATTATGTCTATGTTTCCTACGGCATTAGCTGCTGAATCCAACACTTAGAACATCAGAACTCAGAACCCCCAAAAAGCACCAAAAGGTATAGTGTTCCAGAGATAAAAGATCGCCAATATTTGCACATCATATGGGAGGGAAAAGCCAAATGGTACGAAATTATGTCTATGCTTCCTACGGAATTAGCTGCTGGATCCAACACTTAGAGATAAGAGATTTCACAAGCCTTTCCACTATCATCAGTGACCTAGACACGTTCTAAGTGTTAAATCCCCGGTACGTTCTAAGTGATGAATCTTGATATTTGGACGTTCTAAGTGTATGGTTTTCGACGTTCTAAGTGCAAGGCTTAGAACGTAAAAAAAGCAGTAATATTCAGAATTTTTTTTCCAAAATACGTTCTAAGTGATTGTCCGTCACTATATATATATATACACATGATACATACATCTGGGAAAATCTTTGGTTCCTCCCATGTTCTCCCCGCCACGCGCCTCCTCCAAGAGATTGAGGGCCAAAGTCCAGGCCACGCGGCTGCAGGCATCAGCTGCAGTGGCCAGGCTGACCTGTGGATGCGGGATTTCTTGAGCGAAAAATGGTGAAAAATGCTGGTCGAACCAAGAAAAAATGATGGATTTTATGGGACTTAATTGGATTTTAGTCGGATTTTAGAGCAAGTTGATGGTTTTTTTCTGGGAATTCCACTGATCTGGATCATGATCATACATTTGTGAAAAATCACCGCTCAGGAAAAGGAATGGAAGGAATTGAATGTGGATTTAAGGTATTTAAGGAAGGTGGGATTTAAGCACAAAGATGTTGATTTTCAGTAGCAAAATAGGATTCTGCGCCATTGGTTTGAAGAACCATTCTTTTCTGTGTATGCATTGAAGAGCCCTAAAAAACATTGAAAAGACATAGATGTTCTTTGACCTATATAACCATCTGGTGAATTCTGAAGCTGGTCCCAGAGCAAGAATCAACCACAGCCGTTGCGCTCCAAAGTTCCCAGTATGATCTCCCACCTCATCGATGCCAATTTTGCGCTTCTTCATGAGCTTCAACAAAAGCAAGGCCTCCGCCATCTAGAAGTGATTGCTTTGTGACGTTGGGATCACTAATATCACTAGGAATATCGCAGAGTAGGAATCCCCCTCAGACACCTCACCAAGTACCTGAAATCACCACGTTACCCTAGTTTCGAGGTCAAACAGCACTGCGACGCCCAGCCCCTACTTGGGATTGTCCGAAACGTGAGTCGTCCACCCCTAACTTCGACCAACCAATTGCCTAAACTACCACATGGGTGTCCAAAAGTGGAAAATTTACACAGGAAAAATGATATAAAATGATGATAAACCGAGAAACCTAAATAGATCTTGAGTCCCACATCTCGGACCAGCCATGACCAGCCCACATTTCCAAAGCGCCTCCCGCCACTTGCCGCTGACTTCACAGGCTTTTAGCGCGATGTTGTAGGCTCGAACATCGCTGCCTGCGCTCAGTTTCCACATCTCCTCACGATGGTGGTGCCGCTGGAGGGTTGAAGCAGTGGAAACCCTGGGCCTGAACTTGGGTAAGGGTCAGAATTCGGATTTCCTCGACCCACAAACATCACAAACTATGATTTCTCATGCATTTCAAACCCAGGAATTTGATAGATTTTGGACTACCTCAAGAAAAACTCCCAAAATACAAGATCCGCCAAAAAACTCCCCAAAAAACAGTTCCACCGTGAAGTTAATCAAAATCAACTCCCAAAAAAATACCCCAAAAGTTCATTCAGCAGAGAAAATATACACATCAATTCCCCAAAAGGCGACCCAAAAATCAGTTCCGCCATAAAGTTCAGTAACATTAATTCGGAAACAAAATCCGCCCTAAAATTAATTTTAAGCTGCCCACAAGTCAATTCCCAAAAAAACTTCCCAACAATCAGCTACGTCGTAAAGTTAAGTTTTTAAAATCAATTCCAAAAAAACTCTGCAAAAATCAGTTACGCCGTAAAGTCAAGTTATCTGAAATCAATTCCCCAAAAAACTCCAAAAAAAACATCAGCTACGCCGTAAACTTAATTCAAATCAATCCCCCAAAAAGCTCCCCAAAAATTAGTTACGCCAGAAAGTTTTAAGAAAAAAACTCCCAACAAATAAGTTAGCCCGTCAAGTTGAGTAAAAATTAATTCCCCAAAGAGCTCCCCAAAAATCAGTGAGCCCGTCAAGCTAAGTAAAATGAATTCACCAAAAATCAGCTACGTCTTAAAGTTAGTGAAATTACGCCGTGAAATTGCTCCCAAAAACTCAGTTACGCCGTCAAGTTAATTAAAACCCATCTCCCAAGAAGTACCACAAAAATCAGTCGCAGCTCAAAAACAATCAATTAATCAAAATCCATTCGTAAAAGAATTCACCAAAATTTAGTTCCGTAAAGAAAATGATTAAATTAGTTCCGCACATTTCTCCCCAAAAATTAGTTAGCCCGTAAAGTTAAGTAAATTTAATTCCCCAAAAAGGTCACAAAAAATCAGTGGGGGGTATCCGCTAATCATATATATAATATTATTCTATAAAATATTGTAAATATTCTGGGTCAACATTACCCAATGACTTCACCCATTGCTCCGCGGTGACCCACATGAGGGCCACATGGCAACACCACTGGCGAGGCCCTGCCGGGAATCCAAACGATATGGAAATGTTCACAATAAGTGGCAACCCGGTCATTCACTAAAATGAATTCCCCAAAAAGCTCCCCGAAAAACAATTAGTTCGTAAAGTTCAGTAAAGTTCAGTAAAATGAATTCCCCAAAAAGCTCCCCGAAAATCAATTAGTTCGTAAAGTTCAGTAAAAAATATGTAAAAATGAATTCCCCAAAAAGCTCCCCGAAAATCAATTAGTTCGTAAAGTTCAGTAAAAATATGTAAAAATGAATTCCCCAAAAAGCTCCCCGAAAATCAATTAGTTCGTAAAGTTCAGTAAAAATATGTAAAAATGAATTCCCCAAAAAGCTCCCCGAAACTCAATTAGTTCGTAAAGTTCAGAAAAAATATGTAAAAATTAATTCCCAAAAAGCAAAGAAAATCAATTAGTTCGTAAAGCTCAGTAAAATTAATTCCCCAAAAAGCTCCCCGAAAATCAATTAGTTCGTAAAGTTCAGTAAAATTAATTCCCCAAAAAGCTCCCCGAAAATCAATTAGTTCGTAAAGTTCAGTAAAATTAATTCCCCAAAAAGCTCCCCGAAAATCAATTAAAGTTCAGTAAAATTAATTCCCCAAAAAGCTCCCCGAAAATCAATTAGTTCGTAAAGCTCAGTAAAATTAATTCCCCAAAAAGCTCCCCGAAAATCAATTAGTTCGTAAAGTTCAGTAAAATTAATTCCCCAGCTCCCCGAAAATCAATTAGTTCGTAAAGTTCAGAATTCCCCAAAAAGCTCCCCGAAAATCAATTAGTTCGTAAAGTTCAGGAAAAATATGTAAAAATTAATTCCCCAAAAGGCGACCGAAAATCAATTAGTTCGTAAAGCTCAGTAAAATTAATTCCCCAAAAAGCTCCCCGAAAATCAATTAGTTCGTAAAGTTCAGCAAAAATATGTAAAAATTAATTCCCCAAAAAGCTCCCCGAAAATCAATTAGTTCGTAAAGTTCAGTAAAAATATGTAAAAATGAATTCCCCAAAAAGCTCCCCGAAAATCAATTAGTTCGTAAAGTTCTGTAAAAATATGTAAAAATGAATTCCCCAAAAAGCTCCCCGAAAATCAATTAGTTCGTAAAGTTCAGGAAAAATATGTAAAAATAATTCCCCAAAAAGCTCCCCGAAAATCAATTAGTTCGTAAAGTTCAGTAAAAATATGTAAAAATGAATTCCCCAAAAAGCTCCCCGAAAATCAATTAGTTCGTAAAGTTCAGTAAAAATATGTAAAAATGAATTCCCCAAAAAGCTCCCCGAAAATCAATTAGTTCGTAAAGTTCAGTAAAAATATGTAAAAATGAATTCCCCAAAAAGCTCCCCGAAAATCGTTCGTAAAGTTTAAAAAAGTAAAAATTAATTCCCCAAAAAGCTCCCCGAAAATCAATTAGTTCGTAAAGTTCAGTAAAAATATGTAAAAATGAATTACCCAAAAAGCTCCCCGAAAATCAATTAGTTCGTAAAGTTCAGTAAAAATATGTAAAAATGAATTCCCCAAAAAGCTCCCCGAAAATCAATTAGTTCGTAAAGTTCAGTAAAAATATGTAAAAATTAATTCCCCAAAAAGCTCCCCGAAAATCAATTAGTTCGTAAAGTTCAGTAAAAATATGTAAAAATGAATTCCCCAAAAAGCTCCCCGAAAATCAATTAGTTCGTAAAGTTCAGTAAAAATATGTAAAAATGAATTCCCCAAAAAGCTCCCCGAAAATCAATTAGTTCGTAAAGTTCAGTAAAAATATGTAAAAATAATTCCCCAAAAAGCTCCCCGAAAATCAATTAGTTCGTAAAGTTCAGTAAAAATATGTAAAAATGAATTCCCCAAAAAGCTCCCCGAAAATCAATTAGTTCGTAAAGTTCAGTAAAAATATGTAAAAATGAATTCCCCAAAAAGCTCCCCGAAAATCAATTAGTTCGTAAAGTTCAGTAAAAATATGTAAAAATGAATTCCCCAAAAAGCTCCCCGAAAATCAATTAGTTACAGTAAAAATATGTAAAAATGAATTACCCAAAAAGCTCCCCGAAAATCAATTAGTTCGTAAAGTTCAGTAAAAATATGTAAAAATGAATTCCCCAAAAAGCTCCCCGAAAATCAATTAGTTCGTAAAGTTCAGTAAAAATATGTAAAAATGAATTCCCCAAAAAGCTCCCCGAAAATCAATTAGTTCGTAAAGTTAGTAAAATTAATTCCCCAAAAAGCTCCCCGAAAATCAATTAGTTCGTAAAGTTACCAGCAAAAATATGTAAAAATTAATTCCCCAAAAAGCTCCCCGAAAATCAATTAGTTCGTAAAGTTCAGTAAAAATATGTAAAAATTAATTCCCCAAAAAGCTCCCCGAAAATCAATTAGTTCGTAAAGCTCAGTAAAATTAATTCCCCAAAAAGCTCCCCGAAAATCAATTAGTTCGTAAAGTTCAGTAAAAATATGTAAAAATGAATTCCCCAAAAAGCTCCCCGAAAATCAATTAGTTCGTAAAGCTCAGTAATATAATATTATTCTATAAAATATTGTAAATATTCTGGGTCAACATTACCCAATGACTTCACCCATTGCTCCGCGGTGACCCACATGAGGGCCACATGGCAACACCACTGGCGAGGCCCTGCCGGGAATCCAAACGATATGGAAATGTTCACAATAAGTGGCAACCCGGTCATTCACTAAAATGAATTCCCCAAAAAGCTCCCCGAAAATCAATTAGTTCGTAAAGTTCAGTAAAGTTCAGTAAAATGAATTCCCCAAAAAGCTCCCCGAAAATCAATTAGTTCGTAAAGTTCAGTAAAAAATATGTAAAAATTAATTCCCCAAAAAGCTCCCCGAAAATCAATTAGTTCGTAAAGTTCAGTAAAAATATGTAAAAATTAATTCCCCAAAAAGCTCCCCGAAAATCAATTAGTTCGTAAAGTTCGTAAAGTTCAGTAAAATGAATTCCCCAAAAAGCTCCCCGAAAATCAATTAGTTCGTAAAGTTCAGTAAAATTAATTCCCCAAAAAGCTCCCCGAAAATCAATTAGTTCGTAAAGTTCAGTAAAATGAATTCCCCAAAAAGCTCCCCGAAAATCAATTAGTTCGTAAAGTTCAGTAAAAATATGTAAAAATTAATTCCCCAAAAAGCTCCCCGAAAATCAATTAGTTCGTAAAGTTCAGTAAAATTAATTCCCCAAAAAGCTCCCCGAAAATCAATTAGTTCGTAAAGTTCAGTAAAATTAATTCCCCAAAAAGCTCCCCGAAAATCAATTAGTTCGTAAAGTTCAGTAAAAATATGTATAAAAATTAATTCCCCAAAAAGCTCCCCGAAAATCAATTAGTTCGTAAAGTTCAGTAAAAATATCTAAATAAATACCCGAAAAAGCTCTCCGAAAATCAATTAGTTCGTATAAAGTTGAGTAAAATGAATTCCCCAAAAGCTCCCCGAAAATCAATTAGTTCGTAAAGTTCAGTAAAATTAATTCCTCAAAAAGCTCCCCGAAAATCAATTAGTTTGTAAAGATCAGTAAAATGAATTCCCCAAAAAGCTCCCCGAAAATCAATTAGTTCGTAAAGTTCAGTAAAATTAAGTCCCCAAAAAGCTCCCCGAAAATCAATTAGTTCGTAAAGTTCAGTAAAATTAATTCCCCAAAAAGCTCCCCGAAAATCAATTAGTTCGTAAAGCTCAGTAAAATTAATTCCCCAAAAAGCTCCCCGAAAATCAATTAGTTTGTAAAGTTCAGTAAAAATATGTAAAAATTAATTCCCCAAAAAGCTCCCCGAAAATCAATTAGTTCGTAAAGATCAGTAAAATGAATTCCCCAAAAATCTCCCCGAAAATCAAGGAGGGCATAAAGTTCAATAAAAA